TCTCTCCGAGTCCACAGATGCTGTCAAGCAGCCGGCAACAACAAGCCCGTCGGAGCTTTCTCCTGTCAGCAGCATTCCTTGGATGCCCTTCGAATTCAGATCAGATGTGGATGTCGCCGATTTCAACAGCGCTCGGCCCATGGGCGACGATGTGTTCCGGCACAAGAAGTCTCTTTCCGCGACCGCAAAGCCCTTCTCCCCCGGTGCCAGCTTCCAGGGCACCGTTGCAAACAACTTCCAGGATGACTTATTGGCAGCCGAGAAAATTCTCCCGACGACCGAGGTTACACAGGATGAACAACCGGCGGCCTTCGAGCCTTCGCCAGTGTCACCTAGTGAGGTTACGCGCTTCTCGTCCCCCCCGCCTCCGCCTCCTCCCGTCGAAGACAAGCCCAAGCCGAAGGGTCTGGCTGCCTCTCGTTACGCCATGTCTCCACCTCGTCCGCCCCCCAAGACACTCCAAAGCTCGAGATTTACTACCTCTTCACCCCCGCCCGTGCCTAGCCCTAGCAAGGACACCAAGCCAGTTGAAGATACCAATCGCCCGGAGCAGCAGTCCATTACGTCTGGTCCCGAAGCCAGTCTCCAGACCGAGCCCGTCGTGGACGAGTCACCAGTCGCCGCCATTGACAGCGCGGAGCGTGAAGCCACGTTTGAGGAAATCGACGACATCATGCTTTACCTCAATGAGAAGGACCCATCACAGGGCGTCAATAAGGCCCTGGATTCCGCGCCTTGGCACCAGCCAGGCCCTGCGCCGACTCAGATGTCGCTCACCGCAGCTGCTAGTGAGGCCCCGTTGAACCTCCCTCCACCCACTCCATCCCTTCCGTACCAGCAATTAGCTCCCGAGCAACCCATTGAGCAAGGCATGCCTACGGAGATTGTTGATGCTTTCGTTGATCCATCCCAAAACACGGTGCGGTCATTGGATCCACTGGCTGCTCCGTTTCACAGCCACCATAGCGGTGGCAGCATGCCCCCTAGCGAGTGGGAGAGTGACTTCAATGGCGAGGAGCAACTCAAGCTCGAGTCTCGTGTCAACTTCTTTGACGGCCACGTCAACGATATTGTGGGCGGGATACTCGCAGCCCGCCTCGGCCCTCTTGAGGCATCTCTCGATCGGATTCAACATGCCATTAGTTCCATGTCTCGGGGCACGCCGCCCAGCCGACGTGAGCGCCGCAGCATATCCGGCGAAGTACAGGACAGCGATGCCGATGATGAAGATGACGTGCCTCCAGTTCCTCGTCGCTCAATGAGCCCCCGTCGGGACCGCCGCATGGAACAGATGCGTGCTGTGGTCCTCGAGGCTCTCAACGCCCACCAATTCAGCGCTTCCTCTCTTCAGCCTGCGCGCTCTTCATCTCCTACTTCGGCCGTTGGAGACATTGTTTCCACCGACTCTGTTGCGACCATTCTGAAGTCATTGGAGTCCATGAAAGAGCAATTCGGCCAGTCTCTGCGTCTGGCCTTCCGTGGTGAGGATCTCCGCAATATCGTCGAGGATGCGGTTGAGCGCCGCATGCCACAGACGCCGCAGTCAGCCGAGCCAACAGGAGTTTCCAACGAGGACGAAAACCAGAAGAAGTCCGACGCCTTACAAGCTCGAATTACCGAGCTGGAGGAGAGCCTGCGGTTGGAGCGTCAGAAGACCGAGCAAGAGGTTGTCACCCGGCGTGCTGCGGAGGATAAGGCCGCCGATCTGTGCCGTGCACTAGAGACTGCTGAGACGAAAATTGAAGTCGAGGTCATGAACCGCAGCCTTTACGACCAGCGTGTCACGGACCTCGAAGACAAGCTCAAGCAGGAGGCAGAACACACTCAAGCTGAGCTTGCCACGCGGAAGACTGCAGAAGATAGAATTGCGGAGATTCAACGACTTCTGCGCATTTCTTCCGATGAGGAAATGCGCCTTCGTGAGGCCGTCGATGATCGCGACGCGAAGTTGAAGGAGCTGGGCGAGGTGCGCGACAACCACCTGTTGCGCCTCACAACTCTTGAAGCCTCTCATACGACAAGCGAGAAGACGCACAGCGATCTCCAGAACCGCCTCAACAACGCTGAGTCCGAACTGCGCGAACTGGAACAAGAGGCTCGCCACTGGCGGGCCGAGGCCGAGCGGGCCATTAACCTGTCCCAGGATCAAGGCAACGATCTTGTTCAGACCGCGACCGAGCTGCGTCACCTGAAGAAGGTCGTCGACACTCTTGGCACTCAGCTAGAGGAGAACGAGCGCATCCGCGACAGCTGGCGGTCCAAGTTCGTTGCCCTGCAAGAAGACATGGCGCGGGCTGCCCGCGAGGTCGCCGAGGAAAGCGCACGCCACATCAAGCGTGAGCAGTCGCTCATTGCACGCCACGAGGTTCTTGATGCCAAGCTCCAGGCGGAGGCCCGTACCCGCGAGCGCCTGGAAAGCGAGCTTGAGCGACTGGAGAACGGCGAACGCCAGGCTATGCGTGCCGTTTCTGAGCTGAAGCGGTACGAGGCACTGATCGGCGAGCTGCGCACTGAGAACCACAACTTGCATAAGAACTCTCTCCGGTACCAGTCCGAGTTTGAAGAGGCACGCGAATCCGCAGCCAGAGAAGTGCAGCGTACGCGCGACTCGATGCAGGGCGAGGTGGACAGCGCCAACCACCAAGTCAATGTTGTACGCGTTGACCTAGAAGACCAGATGGCCCAGCTGCGTGGCCAGCTTGAGCAGGTAAAGCTTGACGCCGACACGTCCAAGGCGCGCCTCGAGATGCTGCTCGAAGAGGCCGAGACCACAAAGAAGACAGCGCTTGAAGCGGCAGAGGCCGACAAGCGGCACGAGCTGGAAGAGGCGAAGCGCGCCCACCGCAGCGAGGTCGAAGATCTCGAGGCACGGTACGAGCGCCAGATCAACAACGCCGCCGAGGACGCACAGCGCGCCGAGCAAAATCTGCTGGAGCGCCTGAGTATCTCGACCTCAAAGACGGAGCACCTACAGGACCGCGTTGCCCACTTGGAGGAGAAGCTCGAGATTGCGCGCGAAGCTGCACAGGCGGCGGCCAAGGCGGCCAAGGCCAGCGGCCCAGGGGCCGATTTGACGGAGGCGCGCTCTGTGGCGTCTTCTACGCCGGCCATTCCTCTGCAGCCGGCTGCTAACGTCCACTCTGTGTCTCATGGCATCGGCCTGCCGGAGAAGATCTCGCCACAGGCTCTCCGCGAGTCAATTATGGTGCTCCAGGACCAGCTCCAGCAGCGCGAGCACCGGATTGAGGAGCTCGAGCACACCCTGGACAAGGTGGACCCAGAGGCCGACATCAAGATTGCGAAGCGGGATGACGAGATCACTTGGCTACGTGAGCTGCTAGCCGTCCGCCACTCCGACCTCAAGGACATTATCACCGCCCTCGGCCGTGAGGAGCATGACCCGGATCGTGTCCGTGATGCTGTGATCCGACTGCAAGCCAACTTGCAGATGGAGGAGCAAGAGCGGGAGCGAGCGATGAACGGCGGGTCGGCCATCAACTTGCCAAACATTGCTGCTAGTATCCGCGATGCGGCAACGCCGCGTGTGGCTCAGGCCGTAGGCCCTCTAGCAGCTGCTTGGGGCAGCTGGCGCAAGGCGCGTGACTCTAACGCGGGCAGCACCTTCAGCAGCCTGTCTGGCGCTCTCCTGTCGTCCCCGGCGCCTGCCTCTGTCTCTAGAAGAAGCGGCCCGCCCGTCAGCTCGACTGTGACTCCGTCCAGAGCCGCATCCTCGTCGATCTCGTCCCGTGCATCCCGAACATCTCGCGCAGTCCCCGCCGAGCCTCAGTCTGGAAGCGACAGCAGCTTCTTGTCTGGACTCATGACGCCGCCAACGTCGGGCGTACGCCAGACCCCCCAGCAGCAACAGCAACAGCAGCAACAACAACAACCGACGGCTTTCTCAAGCACCGGTCGGCGGTACACTGGAGGGCAACCCGGCAGCCGGCACGCGTCGCGTTCTGACAACAAGCTTGCCACGCGCGATGTGACGTCGACGCCGCTGCCAACCAACTTTCGTCGTGCTAGCCGAAGTCAGCCCGTCACGCCTCCGATGATGCGCACAAGTGCTTACGACTCGGACGCCCAGGCGGAGGAGTTTGATGACGCCGCTTTCTTCGACGACTAAATAGACTACAACCCCAAAATATTTCCTTTGTCACTGTCCTTTTTCCAAATGTTCAATCTTTACCTGCTTTGCAGTCTTACCACATTCATTCAATCGTTTTCTCTCTCTCTTTTAACTTTTCACCTTTTATTTTCTCTCAGAATGGCACCAAAATATCACAATTAGAAATTGATACCCCTTGATCAGCACATTTTATCCCAAGCTGCCAATTTGATACTTGTTTCTTTGTACCCATGGCACGCTGTCAGCCATTTCATTCTCCACTTCTTGCTGTTCGCTTCCTTATTTTCTTTGTCTCTTTTCTCTTTTTTTTTTCAAACCTTGTTTTGCCTTATATTGCTTTTCTTTATGCCCTTTTTATCTTGTTACGACGCCATTCAGTCTGCATAGCGACGATGAGGAGGGAGGAGCATTTAGAGGCAGTGAGGGGGAAACTGGGTCATTGCCAGTCCAAACAATCACTTGAATCTCTTTTTTTTATGTTTCTTTATTTTAATTGTTTGTACACACTTCAATTTCTGTTGTCAATAAAAGGAGGTAGAAGTAAGTGTTCATGAGACAGACGGCCGAGGCGTGCGTGTATTTAATAAATAATATAGTGGTGACCCGCATCTTCCTTTTATATGCAAACGTCGGGATTCAAACGTCACGGAAGAGCCTCGGGGTAATGGTTTGCCTTTTGTAAATGTCCATTCGTATCTGTCATCAGTGGCTACCAACATAAAAACTATTTTGACGACAAGGCCCTTGGCTTAGAACAAAAACCATAGTTATAAAAAACGGAACCAGGCCACGTCTTAACGCCCATTGTCATCACAGCAGCCACCCGTCTGCTCGTCCCACCCCATCCAGCCATCGGCCCGTCCACTCGCTCCTACACATCACAATAAAAATCGAATTCGTCCGACGAGCTTGTCAGCTTGGTGAAAGCAGTCTGTGTTGCGGATGACGCGGCGGCCTTGCACTTGGCTGTTTGGGCGTCAGCAAAATGGTTCTTCTGTAGCTACATTGGTGTATGCAACTGACTATCTTGTGTATCACAGTCGCCGACGCTAAAGCTCGACGATTTTTGGCTGTTGGCCGCATTGGCACAGCTGTTGTGCTGATTGTCGCAGGAGCGGTCGACAGCCGACTGGAAATCGGTCTGTAGGAGACAAGACGAAAAGGGGTTAGATAGCCAAGACGGCGAACGAGATGACAAAGGTCCAACTATATGACAGTCACCGGAGACACTCACAAAGGTATCGCCGTCGACGGAGAACGGCCGCGTTGCGTCGTTGGATTGGGAAATCTACACAGTCAGTTTTGAGATCCCAGCGAGTGTGAGGGAAAGGTCAACGCAGGCCGCCAGCCTACCGGTGGTGCTGCAATGTTGGAAAGTGCGCCTTGGAAGAACTGCAGGTTGGTTGCGGCGCGCGGCTTCAGCACATTAGCAGCTGCCAAGTCCGGACGGTCTGGGTCGCTTCTTCCAGCACCGCGCTCCACTAAATTGAGCTGCTTGTTGATGTTGGGTGAAAAGCGCAGCAGGCCCGCAGCCGGGGCTCCAGCGGCGGCGGCGGCAGCGGTAATGTCGTCGACAATCGAGGGAGAGGCGCGCACGACGGCAGCCGACCCGAGGGCGACGAGGAATGCCGTGGCGCAGAGGAGCAAGGATGGGCAGGACGGTGCAGAATGCATTGTCGGCTTGTAGATAGCGTTTGTATTAGATAAAACGATGGTGATAAAATGGCAATGGTAGTCGTCTTGAGTAAACGAGAAAAGAGACTGAAAAGGAACAGCACATAAAATTACAAGAATGAGACCAGCGACTGGGTGTTGGCCAGGAGAAGAATATGGGGTGCTCGATGTAAACAGTAATGACGGAGCAAAAGAGAGTACAAACTGTGCCGCCAGGGCCTGAAAGTAATGTGATGCTTTGCAGAAATCTCACGAAAAGAAAGGTAGAATCATCAAAGCACAGATAAACAATGTCGCCTCTATCTCCCAGAAGCTTGGAGACAATTGTGAGGAAGCAGCCCCTCGCCTTGGAAAATGACGATGGCAGTCTGTGTGGATGTGATCTGAAACGATTTTGAGACACATCCGAGCGAGCCACAATAGCGACCACGGCACCCAAAACTGTCGGCGGAGCTCAGCGCTTTGAGCGATTAGGCAAAATGCAAGTGTGCACGAGCAGTCAAATTAGTTGCACATAGGCTTTCGCTGCAGAAATCATAAAGACTGCGCCGATACGGAATACAGGCAAAGAATGGCGCGTGACTGCGCCAGAGAGCTGTGGTCTATCCAACGAAATTGGGCGGGGGCGGCATGTATACGCCATAATCAAAGCGCAGAGAGAGTAAGTTCATATTAACATCACATACATATCCCGTACATGAAGAAGAAATATCCTTTCCAAGTAAGAGAGAGTCAGGTTGCTGCCCAGATATCACCAGGCCGCACCCGTTGTATTAGACATCTAAACTAGTCGTATAGCTTGTCGCAAAGCAGACTCACAGATCCGTAACAATTGGAAATGAAATGCAAGACAAAAGAAAACATTCCCTCTACCTTTTTCGAGAAGCAATAGGGTACTGATGCAAGATTGATAGTGGTAGCAGCAGATTGGCGAGTCCGTAAACGCCGGATATCTGGCCGGCGGGAAAGACGACCAATTATAGACACAAAACATGAGAAGATATAGTGACTGATGAAGAGCAGATTTGGGGGGTTCGAAGATGAAGTAAAGGGGCGTTGGGTCGGAAAACAAAAACAGAACAGCGGAAGCAATGGAGCAGCGCGTCGTCTAGAAATTAGATGCGGTGTTGACCTGTGTCGGCGTGTGGTAGCTCTCCAGCGTGCTCTGGAAAGGCGAGCGGCCGGGGGCGCCGGCCGCTGCGGCGCCGGTGGTGTTGTCGGGCTTCTCCAGTGCGCCTACGGGGGCGTTGCCGTAGTTGGGATCGTAGTCGTTGAGGCCATTGCCGCTGTCCTTGGCTGCCTGCTTGCGTCTGTGGATGCGAAGGGCCACAAGGCCGATGACAACCAGGACGATGGCACCACCGACGCCAACAACGACGCCAATGATGATGTTCCGCGTCGACGTGGACATGCCCGACGCCTTGCTGCCACTGCCTGAGGATGACAGGCTGCCAGTGGGGACGGTCGTGGTCTCGGATGTGACGGCGGTCGTAGAGCCGTCAGCTTCCGTAAAAGTAGTGACAAAGGTGCTCGTCGACACAGGTTGCGTCGTCGATGTGGTGGAATCGGGCGGTGTGGTGGTCTTGTCCGTGGGCGACGAGGTAGTCTTGTCGGTAGGCGAGTTGGTCGGCGAAGGAGTCGGCGTGTCCTTGGATGTAGTGGGCGTCGACGACGTTGTCGGCGGCGTGCTCGTCTTGTCCGTGGGCGAAGGCGTGCTCTTTGTCGGTGTTGGGCTGCTCGTCGTGGGCGACGGCGAAGGTGCCGACGATGTCGTGCCCGGCGTCGAGCTCACCTGGGCAGACGGCTGGGCGCTGGGCTTGGTCGAGGCATCGCCGGTCGGCTTGGCGCCTCCGCTAGAGGCAGCACTGTTGTCGGCACGGCGAGCCGGTTGACGGCCGGCGTGGGCGGCCTCGGCGACACGGAAGAAATCGGCATCAAGACGCAGGGCCTGGGCCGTAGCCATAAAGGACAGCGCCACGAAAAGCAGCTGCATCAGGCGTTTGGAATACATGGCTGCGGCTGTTGTCGGACTATTAACAAGTCGATGGTTGACGGGTAAAATAAAGATCGCGATGGAAGAGTAGAAAAGAAATAACAGTAGAGAAGAGCCGTTGAGCGAGGGACGGTTGTCGAAATGACCTGTCCGGCAGTCCGGCCAAAAAGGCAAAGCCGGAAACAGAACACGAGAGCGATGAAGCAAGGAACCGTGAGGGCGAGAGCAGCAGGATCGTTGACGTTGCGCTGCGTCTGGTGGAAAGGGAGAGGCGGTCCGGGACGTGGAAAAGAAAAAAAGTCGGCGGGGATTGCAGAACAAAGGAAAGGAAGGAAACAAAACAATAGATTGTTACGACGAAGCAAACGAGAGACAAAGAAGTAGGGAAAGAACGACTGGGCTTGTTACCGTTGTAGGAGGTTAACCGGCATGAGAAGGAACAGAATTTTTGGATGAACAAAACTGGGCAGGACAAAACAGGCATGTATGACAAGGGCCAAAGGACACCAAATCAAAGTCGTGTACGAAAGTAGCAACAATACAGAAGCAGTGATGGAGGGTGGCGGTCTTGCGTGGCTGTGGCAAACCCGTCGCGCTGCATCGTATTCGAGAATTAGTGGCTCGAGTGGTAGGTGCGATCGTCATTTTGGGGACCGTTCTCCTTTCCGTTGCTCCTGTCTCACGCGTGGCGCCCGAATATCCAGTAAATTACGTGGACAGAACGTTTCTAGTGGCCGGTTTAGAGCCGGCAACAGGTCGCTATTTTCTTAGTAGTGCGGTGTTCCGGACAGGCCGCGCTAAAACCTTTTGGCCAGGGGTTCTGTTTGGCTTAGTCCCTGCTGGAAGAGCTTTTTTGTGTCTTATTTTAGCTCACTGGCCAACATGTGCCCGCTGTTAGCGCCTGTTTGGTTTAAAACGGCTCAACGGGTGCCTGGCAGTTACTTGCGGGAAAGAAGGGGACGAAGGATCCATAACGGGTTTGCACAAAAGGGGAAAGAGACACCGGGGCCCGTTTTCGACAAAGGTGCCGTTTCAGATTCTCCCTGTTTGTCCGTTCTACTCCTTTCACTGCCGCCTCTCGACCTCTCGCTCCTGGTGCCTGGTGACCTCGTCGAAAACGTCGTCCAATGTCATCCAAAGCAGGCTCCAAACGTCTCCAGATTTGAAACAAATATCGGGGGGAACCATTTCGACCACCAGATGCAAGGAAAGGAGCCACCATATCCACCAGCGATCTACACACAAGATTAACAGAAACAACAGCCAAGCAAGCGAAGTGAGCGCCTGTGAGAAAATCTTTCGAGGTTTTCAGGGCGATGTCGGGCTAAGTTTCGCCGCCCAGGTGTGCTAATCACAACAACACAGTCTCGACAGAGACTGGCCGTCAGGCCATGTGACAACCGAAAAAAGAACGTCTGCGTTGCCACCGCCTGGTTTTTTCAACTACGGCTGCCCAAATGAGCAGCGATGGTTGCATTGCTGGTCATCCTTACGGCATACCTGCAACCTGTTATAGCGTAAGTAGCGAATTATGGGCACTGGGGCCCATCAAGTAATTACGGGGGGGGTCGGAGCGTTATTTTGACAGGAAACTCCGGCAGCCCACATACATCATGCTCCGCAATTTCCACCGTTTTGCAGAAACATGGTGAGAATATCCCGTTGCCTCTAGGTCGTCATACAGTATCGTCTATGTATATCAACAGTGGAGGGAGACAACGCAAAAGGCGAAAAGCGAATAAAATATGACAATGTGGATGCCGTTGATCATTTCGATTACATTCTGCGGTGAGATGCTCGTTTCTGACCTGACTGTTTTGACGACCCGTTAGCCTGCCGATATGCATTATCTTACCTCTCCTTTGGGAGCTTAATCAGTTTGCAACATCTCGTCGAACGCGAGCCATGCAACCACGGGCATAACCACAGACAACAACGGCATGGAAATAAAAGGCACGGCAGCCTCCGTCTTTTGAAAACGGTAATATATAGGAGACTCCGTTTAAAGGGCACAGACACGCTTTCGGTACGGGGTGGACAGATTACGAACATTAAAAAAAACCTGGGTCTGCCCCTTGCTGGTCTGTAATAAAACACGGGCACACGCATGGACACAAGCAAATTAGAGTGTCAATTTTGCCTAGATATGCTACGAAGCATACCTTCCATAACTAGAACGTCGTATGCCCTGTGTAGTCAAGTCTACAAAGGCATTACTACCTCCTTGCTTCTTTTGCTCAGTAATATGTGTCGATTATTTCTTCCGTAAAATATCTAATCCGTAGCATCCGTTGTAAATTGCACCGGATAGGCCTGGTAAATGCGCTAGAGCCTCTGGCCATGGTCTGACCTTCTCATGGCATCTGTCATAGTCGGAGGAAGTATCTACTGTTGTATTTCTGGAACCTTGGAGCGATGACAAGTCGTGCGCGCTTCTTTGATGTCTTGGTCGATTTTGCACTAGCACAACGACGCATTGCTCTTCCCGTTCTGTTCTCCAGCAGTGCGTACTTGCTTGTAGGTCGGCACGCTTCCGCAGGACGTCGGCGTTACTGGGAGCGCGCTAAGGAACAGCTTTGCACCAATTGTGTCCACTGTACAGAGTAATCGGCGGCCTGTAATTTGTTGGCGCTACGCCAGTTCGTTGCCGGGTTCGATTTTTGCAAGCCACTTCATATTTTTGCGCCGCGGATACGTCGTCATCGACCGATACTCCGTACATCATCATCCGGCCCTCCGTTACGCCGCGCTGACCCCCTGCTGGCTGCGCCACTTGTCGTGATGTCTGTCAAAAAGCCCACCAACTACAAGCTCTGGGCCAAGATGCTCGTTGGGTAAGCTGCGAGACCTTCACCTCCTTGGTTCGCACGCGTCAGTCTGTGTATGAAACCCACCAGAACCAAAGCGCACATGCTAACGCGAGGTCTCTCCAGCGGCGCCATCATGTGCGTTGGCGGCCCCATGCTGACCGTCTACGTGATGCCGACCGACGAGGAGCTGTTCCAGAGGTACAACCCGGAGCTGCAAAAGCGCAGTTTAGATCGCCGTGAGGAGCGCCAAGCCGAGTTCAACGAATGGCTGCAGAACCTGAAGCGGCAGTCCAGGAGCAACAAGCCCAGTATGTACAACACGCCCCAGGATAGCTGGTCATCAAGACATACCTCTCACTACAGAATGCGTCGTCGTTCAATCATCATTTATTCTCTAACAATGTCGCAGTCTGGGTCGTACAAGAGGAGGAGGCTCGCGAAGCCAAAGAAGCCAAGGCGAGCCAGACTCTGCGTCTTGCCGAAGAGGCCAGGGCACAGCGGGATGCCATGCGCAAGGAAGCCGGTCTGCCGCCGGAGACTACCACGAAGCGCTAATGGCATCCATGGCAAGCCCGTTGTGTCACTTTAGTCTACCATGACTCGTCTTGTCTTCCTTGTGTTTCTATGGCGTTCATTTTCTCTTCTGATTTTTTTATCTGGCGGCGATGAGGATAGTCGCATCCTGTCTTGGGTTTCAAAAACGGGCTTATCAATATGAACTGGGCGGCGTTGGTTACGGGTTGGGTGCATGTATACATGCACAAAACACAAAATACATTTCTACTCTCATACAAACAAACGTTCCGTCTCTCATGCAAAATCAATCTCATACGTTGCTTCACCTTGGACCGGTTGGCGCTAAGAATGAGCTGGAACCAAACGCCACAGCCACCAGCCACAATTCAAAGACCGGCGTCTAAGAGTGTACGTCCTAGATATTCACCTGCGACCATAACACAGAGCGGGGGTGGACCGACGACGGGCTGTCTACTGGTGGGGCTGGCCCCGAGCTCGCCAGTGAAAATTATTGTGTGCGTACTTCTAAGCAAAAACGGCAGCAGCCTGTCAAGAGAAAAAAAATTAGGACAAAAATTGACCACTTGCACCTTCCCGCCCGGACTGACGCACATTTTATCGCCCTCCTCACCGATCCCCAAGGCCCAGCACCACCGGATTAACCGCCGCAGCACGCAAAAACTCGCTACTCGTGCTTCTCCGATTTTCTTTTTCCATCCCCTTCCAACATTCTTCCGGCATCCGCCTCTCCATCTTTCGCTGCTTCACCTCCCCCGTGTCCACCGAACCGACGACGACGACGACGACGACGACGGCCAATTGATTTTTGTCCACACCCTCTTTGGTAGGTACTGCACCCCAGCCGACGCACCAATCAATCACATGGCGAGTCCCGAACATCCAGCATCTCTCTGTCATTGGGTCTATACATCCTTCCGTTGAACCTTTCCAACTCCTCATGCTTTCGCCATTCCTAAACGCCGTTCTTGACCCCGAAGAGCATGTCGCGCTTGCCGGTCGCGATGTGCACGACTACCCCTCGTCCGGTCTCCCTCCGCATCAGCTACCCGTCCCAGTATCTTACACCCTCAGTCCAATTGGCTTCCTGCATACCTCTCTTTGCTTCTTTGAGCTTCATACTCCTCGTCGCACACCTCACCTGGCATCACCTTGCTTTACCTTGCATCATCTCGGTCCGTTGCCTTGCAGCGTTTCCCGGCGTACATATATCTCTTACGATACCCTCCTATACATCCGCGATACAATCTCGCCTGGTCTCTCATCATATTTTATGGCGCTGCCTTTTTCTCTTCCTCCATGCTGTCGCCTCCACATCATGAGCGTCTCCAGTCTCGCGATCTCGAGTTGCAACCAACCGTATATCGATTTAGCTACTAACCTAACTCCTATCGCAGACATTTTTTAATCATCCACCGTGGCTCCGAGTTGACCCATCCCCTCCGTCCTCTCAACCGCAATCATGGCCGATATCCAGGAGCGTCTGAAGAAGCTTGGCGCTGTGTCGCGTATCGGTGGCAAGGGTACCCCCCGGAGAAAGGTCAAGCGTGCGCCGCCCCGGTCAGCTGCCGACGACAAGAAGCTGCAGGCTTCCCTGAAGAAGCTCAACGTCCAGCCCATCACCCAGATCGAGGAGGTCAACATGTTCAAGAGCGACGGCAACGTCATCCACTTTGCTGCCCCCAAGGGTAAGTCTACTGCTATCCCATCGATATGGCTCACCTGCTACGCACGTGCTTTTTGGACATTCCGACTAACTGCTCTCTTCCCCCTTTCCTCCTCAATAGTCCACGCTTCCGTCCCCTCCAACACCTTTGCCATCTACGGCAACGGTGAGGACAAGGAGCTGACTGAGCTCGTCCCTGGTATCCTGAACCAGCTGGGTCCCGACTCTCTGGCCTCTCTGCGCAAGCTGGCCGAGAGCTACCAGAGCCTCCAGAAGGCCGATGAGGACGCCAAGAAGGACGGCGCTGCTCCGGAGGCCGAAGATGATGATGCTATCCCCGACCTGGTTGACCGCACGTTTGAGGACAAGGTCGAGTAAACAAAAGAAAATTACTGTCCAGTGTCGTTGGGAAAGTTGCATGAAGACACCAACTGGCCAAATTTGGGCATCAGTAGATGTTTCTCTAGGACACAAGGAAACAAAAAAAAAAATTATAAAAATTGAAAGCAACTGCCAGGCTTCGAGATTGAGCGCGGTTTCTTGTTTCCTCGCAAGACAGAAATTCGCCTACCTGTATTTTTTTTCCGGTGGCAAGGGACATGTCGTTTTTCTTCGCCTTCAATTATTTTACTCCTTACCAATGCCATCTTTCGGTTATCTACCAAACGCCATCGTTTTCATATCTATATCTATATCCATATCCATATCCATATCCATATCCAAACCCATATTCATATTCGTATGCTTCATATGGCCCTATATAGTGTTCAATCCCCAGTTTCCGTCGTTTTCGTTTGGCGTCCATCCCATCAATGCGAGGTTCTTGACATCATCCTTCACCGCTCGTCGTGCAGCAAGTAAAGGAGAAGCTTTGAGAGCGTTATACGTTTTGCAGTCAAACAGCCTTTGAAGCGTCTTCTCTTCGGGCCGCTTAGTATCATCAGAGCCCTGAGCATTGTCCATGACCATCGTGGCGACTTGCTGTGCCAGCTTCCACATCTGACGCCTCGAGACAGCACTGGCACCAATCGGGTCAAATTCTTTACGCCCACGGAGGACACCATTCACCAAACATTCGTTGATACCGTTGAGGGTCCATGCGACCGCGAGATTACTGCTTGCATTCTTGGTCGAGATCATAGAGGGATGTCGTGTGGAAAATGCAAACTCGAGATCAGTTGTTTTCACCGCAAATGGCACAAACGCATATGGTCGGGGCCAGATACGTTCTGCCACCGGAGCCAGTCGGCCGACATCGGTCTCGGCAGAGAAGCAACGGCGGCAGCCCGTCTCTGAATACTGCGACGATGGCAAGACAACAGAGCGAAGGTATAGTCCTGTGCTAGGCGTAATGAGCAGCGTCGCAAGTCCACTCAGTAGTGTCGTACACTGGCGAAGGGCCAACTTGTCGGAACATGACTTGGATAATGTCGGCGGTGCATCAGCGCGACCTGGCTTCCTCCGTACTGTGCCAAGTCGTGAGAAAAATCCACGACCCGAGAGCAAGCCCAAGCTGCCCGGCGCATCCTCTTCAGCTGTTATTGGTGCATCCCAAGGCGAAGCGTCCTCTTGGGCAGCCATGGTCAGCTCCATGCTAGCATCACCACCTTCCCATGGTGTTAGCAACGTATGTATATTAGAGCCGGTCACTTGCCCCGTATCTGTGTCTCCTGATTTGGACAGACAGGTAATCTTACAAGGGGCTTCTGAGCAGTACATATGCAAGACAACATCATGGCGCCACTCAAACAGCTGGCCACTGTAGGTGATATCTGTGCCATCGCCTCTTTTCACTGTGCCATTGCCATCGTGTCGAAACCTTACAAATGGAGACTCGTCGCCCTGAAGCATCACATCGCGACACTCCTGCAAAATAAACCGGTTGAAAGCGCGCAAAGCAAGCGCCTCAGCGTGCCAGTCGTGAATGCCCACACCTTTGGACTTGGATAGCTTCGATGACGGAAGACATTTCATGCCAGTTCTGTATATTGTCAAAGTCAATATCACAGCTCTTTTAGGAAACCTACATACAGGGAGAAACTTACGCTAGAGCAACACAAACGAGCTGGCCATCAGCCACTGTGTAAAGGAAATATCAAATTTAGTCAGGTGACAGTTCACTCCGAGAGGTTGGTGATGCTGGTTTCTCAGATTGAGCACATACGTTCAGCTACGATCCCACTCAATGGCACCCACTCACGGATACCATTCGAGCGTACGGCCGGTTTCCGGTTCGTAGGAAGCCTGTCAAACTCTTCAAGAACGGCCTTTGCAATAGAGTCGGCTTGGGCCATTGCGTGACTGGGGGAGGGCTATGACCGGTAAGGAGCCTCAACTTGATCTAGGTGCACCCCGTCATCGACCTCGTGACCTGGTACTGTACTCTTTCATTCCCGGTGATATGTCATTTAGACAATTTGAAAACGACCGTTCAAAGGCTGAGGGGAGTGGTCCATAATCTGAGTGTAACGTTTTGCAGCCTTGAGCTTAAAGGGGAAAAGACTACATGTAGTATGGAGTAATTACCCCGTACGGTTTCATTCGAGTTCAATCTTGAGTTATTATATAATCACACGTGACCAAAATGGAAACTTGAGAGATGCGTCCCACTTTTTGGACGCTCAGCCAATCACATACGTGTAGTGGAGTCGAGACACGCACAACAATTTTTTGTCGAAATCCGAAAACTAGCCAATTTTCCATCACTAAACGAATTTTCGTCTCCTGGCAAAACCGTCGAATCTACATCAACCACCAACGATCACCGACACCTTCGACAAATCGCCAAAATGAGAATCTACGACGATACGTTTTCGGGCCAGAAGATTTACCCCGGCAAGGTACGTGACTTCGATAGTCGAAACTTCGTCCGTGAGGAAGAAGTCCGCATGTTGGGGGAGGCAGGTTGATGGATGGAACGACAACTCCGGAAAGACACGGCCACTACAACGACAACGACGACCCAAGAGACCCGTTTCAAAATCCGACCGTTCCTTTTTGTTTCGCCGCTATGAAGGAGTTGAAGACTTTTGCCGACCTTTTCGTGAATGAACGATCATTAGAGACAAATGGGCTTCAGCGGGGGCGGGCTCGACCTTGACATTGAAGATTAATGGGCGCGCCTGAGGGGGGAACCGACGTCGAAGATGACTGAATACGTATGCTGACTGCTTTTGCTCTCCCTTGCTACAGGGTAAGCTCTTCGTCCGTGGCGACAGCAAGATCTTCCGTTTCCAGAACGGCAAGTCCGAGTCTCTGTTCCTGCAGCGCAAGAACCCCCGCCGCATCTCCTGGACTGTTCTGTTCCGTCGCCAGCACCGCAAGGGTATCTCTGAGGTAAGATTTAGCTCTCCGATCTATACGAGTCCATGGGCCTGCGGTAGTACGACTCTTGCAACACTTCGAGCCTCGATAGACAACAACATTCGCACGAGACAATCGCAGATATATGCATGAGCCAGTCATGAGACCGCAGGACCGCAACGACGACACGAATAATCACCATCCACGCCCTTGACAACGGTCATGTATTAACAACCCTGTAGGAGGTTGCCAAGAAGCGCTCTCGCCGGACAGTCAAGTCTCAGCGTGCTATCGTGGGTGCTTCTCTCGATGTGATCAAGGAGCGCCGGTCTATGCGCCCCGAGGCGCGTGCTGCCCAGCGCGCCGCCCACCTGTCGGACATCAAGTCCAAGAAGGCCGAGGCTGAGAAGGTGAAGAAGGCCGAGAAGGCCAAGAAGGCTTCCGCTGCCGCCAAGGGCCAGGCCCAGCGCAGCATCCAGAGCAAGCAGGGTAGCAAGGGTGCGCAGACGCGGGTGGCCCCTAACACCCGTTAAGTGGCCAGTCAGCAGGAGAGGATGTAGTATTGCGGCCCGAGGAGGGCCGGGAGGGTTCTCCGGGCAAATAAAGAAAACTGCTTGGATCGACGTCTCTGAGCGGACAACTGGGTTTACAATTGCGACGGAGAGGATTTGCGGCGTCTACTCGGTAGCCATAACCTTTTAGGTACTTTTTCTATGTTCAAAGAACAAAAAAAAAACGAAAGAAAATTTGAAACCCCAGCGAAGGGATGGATATATAGTTGACAGATGCCTGTTGGCCGGCAACGTCCGCACGTCTTGACGTCCGCAGTACCACCGAGTTTGTCGTTCTTTGATAACCAGTGCCTCCTGACGCACAGTATTGCCTAACTTGATTCCAGTTTCTGCCAGGGCTTTTCTTGCATTATCACATAGTTCTCTCATAGTCACCATCTGGCCATACGTGGCGCAATACACGGCCATGTACCACTTATAATGGAGCCAGACACGACTTCTTAAAAGGTTTCATAGACAGATACCTACATCAACAGTTGTCTCTTTTTTATATACGGGCTAAAATTTACGGCTCTCCTTAACGTCAGACTCCTTAAAACCCCATGTTTACCTCTCCCGATCTACAAATGATAGAAACCCAGCGTAGGGAACGGAGTACATACATCATTTGCTACGAACAACGCAACGCTGTACTGCAATGTGCGTCGTTATTCCGGATGAAGCAGGGACGAATCAAAGACGCCTGTGGCAGCCAGGTGTCCTAGGGAGGCACTGGAGGGATGGAGGGAAAGTTCCAAAGTGGGTCACATTCAATGACGTACCAAAACAACAAACAGGGAGGGAAAGTGGCCGCTTGCCAGAACACCAAAATCCGCCAAGACCGTTCATTTAGCAGGGGGTAACAATTTTAAGTGACGCGCGACTTACGCGCAGCAAACATCTTCACAAATTTTTGTGGGCATGTGCGATGCAAGCTATTTTTTCGACTTCTTTTTGGCAAAACCATTCTTTCGTGCATGCACGATACAGGTTTTCTCCTCTTAACTATCCTCGGCCTTTGCCCTTTTTATGTATACAACACGATAAAACACCCATCCTTTGGCCTTTCCTCCACGTCGCTTTATTAATTTCATTTTTGTTTCATTTTTTATTTCACCGTTTGCGGAAGTTATTTGAGCACCTACGTTTAAGTTGAGTATCATCTAGAGCTTGGCATCCTTCGCATCAAAGGCCTTGCTAATTTTTTGGCCACAAGGTTATACGCCGCACAGCCTCCGGCCTTCCTATCGCGCTACAGCCAGTTTATAGTTTTATTCCAACATCTGTCTCTTCCTCTTTCACGGGGCTCACAGCTACCGACACAACGTCACCTCTGCGCCATCGCCGCGCAGCCTTCACCAACACCCGGTTATCCTGTGTCGCCATGGTGTACCTACGGCAGGAGTCCCTTGCGGGGCTCAAGCTTTACAAGTACTCGGGTGTCGACCACAGCTTGACGTCCAAGTACATCCTGAAGCCCTTCTACAACAACATCGTGTTGCCGTGCTTTCCTATCGGCATGGCGCCGAATCTCATCACACTCTCCGGCTTTATGTTCGTCGTTGCGAATCTCCTCACACTGTTGTGGTACAACCCGGCGCTCGACCAGGACTGCCCGCCGTGGGTGTACTACAGCTGGGCTGTGGGCCTGTTCCTGTACCAGACCTTTGATGCCGTTGACGGCGCGCAAGCGTAAGTGACCTGCAGGCAGAGACAAACTCGCTCACGACGCAGTGCTAATAGAAAACATCAGTCGGCGCACGCGCCAGAGCAGCCCTCTCGGTGAGCTTTTCGACCACGGTGTGGACGCCCTCAATACCTCCCTCGAGGTACTGATTTTCGCCGCTTCCCAAAACATGGGCCAGGACTGGAAGACAGTCGCAACCTTGTTTGCATGTACGTAAAACTTTTGTGAATGACGCGTACTCTCTGCGCAGACCACGATCATCCAGCTAACACTCCTAGCCCTCATGGCGTTCTACGTTCAGACATGGGAAGAGTACCACACTCACACACTCACGCTGGGCGTCGTCAATGGCCCCGTCGAAGGCGTCTTAATTCTCATCCTGGTGTACGCCCTGACTGGTTATCTTGGCGGCGCCTCGTTCTGGCAACAGCCTATGCTGGCTACGCTTGGCGTTCCGTCCAGCATTATCAGCCTTGTTCCGTCAGCGCTGCGGGACTTATCCTTCACCGGTTGGTATATGGTGCAGGGGGCGGTCGTGTTGGTGTACAACACGGCCGAGTCGGCCCGCACGGTGCTGCGTGTGTGGCGCAAGGAGCAAAAGGAGGCCAAGGCGAACGGGACGGCAGCCAAGGCCGGAAAGGGAGTCAACCGCGATAACCACCCCTTCCTTGGCCTACTTCCGTTTGCCATCACCTGGGCCCTTGTTGTGGTGTACTTGGTGCTGCAGCCTGAGATCCTGCACTCCCACCTAGTCCCCTTCGTGTTCTTTGTGGGCCTCATCAACGCCTACTCCGTTGGCCAGATGATTACGGCACATGTTTCGCATCTGCCCTTCCCTTATTACAATGTCTTGGTCCTACCTCTCGCCTGGGGCGTCGTCGACTCCCTTGGTCCGCTTCTACAGCGGATTGAGCCGGCGGTCGCACCGCTGCTATTCGGCAGTAGCGAGCCTCCGTCGTACTTCAAACTTGGCTGGCCCAGCGCTCTCGGCGACGGCGTCTACCAGGTTGCATACATGTTCTGCATGCTCGGTATGGCCGTAGGCGTGTACGGTTCCTTCGTCGTTGACGTCATTGTCACCATCTGTGACTATCTGGACATCTGGTGCCTGACAATCAAGCACCCTCATGTTGAGGGCGAATTATCCGACAAGGCCGCCACTGGTGCAACGAGCGGTCAAGCATCATCCACGTCCGTTTCTCTAGACACAACAACAGTGCAGAAGAGAAAATAGGCACGGCAATCATCATGGCTTTCCTACTATCGTTTCGTTTGTACAACTCTCCTAATTCTTCCTTCTGTTTTCATCAGTAACTCTTCACTTGTTATGGCTCTGGTTTTTTGCACTATATTCTCTTTTTTGTACCGGTATACGGATGAGTGTTACTTCATAGCATGGTTGTTCGCGTGGAGGCAGGACTCTTTTCTTTTTTAGATTTTGATTTGTCCAATGCACTGAAACTAAATCGTAGCGTTTTTATAAATGAAAAGGAAAGTCGAATTGTGGAAGCCATATGTCTGTGACGTTCTTGAGTAACGCATTCTCCCATCCGCGCATAAAGGCGACAGTTAATTTCTTTTAAAAAAAATCAAGAAAAAAGAAAATCCAATAACATGCCATTCCCAAGATATAAAATCTCCTTTGATAACCCAAACTCCATTTCTTCGTTACAGTCTTGCCTATGCGTGGTACAATCCTATTTCAGAGGAGGGAGTCGCTGCCGCTTCCAACGCTCTGCTCGATGGCATTCAAAATGGCACGCTCTTCAAAAACAGGACCTTGCCCGTCACACTTTGCTTGGTTCTTAAGCCGATTGCTGATATCAGCCACGTCAATCAAGCCGCGCTTGAAGGACTCGTGGCCAATAATCAGATCCCACGTCGCACCAGCACCCAAGAGACGCTCGCCCGAGTCAGATGTAGCAATACGGTGGCTCGGCGTCTTGATATCGTGATTGGACAGAAGGTCGGTGTAAAAATCGGTCGGGTTGTATGTCATCGGACCGGTGGTCAGAATCGGGCCCCCGACGCCATCGCTTCCCGGTGATGGGCCGGCGGCCACAGCAGCAGCCTGCAGAGAAGATGTTGCGCGTAGAATCTCATTTTCCGTGCTGACCTTTTGCAGGTCTCGCTTCAGCTTCTCGTTCTCGGAAACCGCCTTATTCTGCGAGGCCTCAAGGTTTGCGAGTTTGGTTTCGAGGTCCTTAACATGGCGTTCTTTTCGTTCACGGAATGCGCGCTGCCTATTTTCAGTGACTTAATATTAGCATGCACATCTCCTTCAACAACGCATCGTTCCGGGACAGCGGTGAAACATATAGGACGTACGCTGCTCGGTTTTGGGCTTTCCGTCGTGACTGTGCTGGTGTCATCTCGTCATCGTCAGAGTTTGAGCCGCCCCGGCGGCTTTGGTCCTGCTGTTGCTGAATGTCGTCGGTCATGCCCAGGTCGGGTTTCGTCGACAGGATATCCTGGTCAATGACCATGGCCGAGGTGGTTGCTAACGGACCGGTAGCGGGCACGGATGTCACCGGGGCATGCTGCTGTGGCGGAGGCGGCTGTTGCTGGCCGCCGTGGACGGCGCCAAGCGATATCGACTGCCCCGGCGGCGTCGGCGGGCCGGGGAAGATGGGCTGCTGCGGTGCAAACTGGACACCATAATTCTCAAACGCCGGGAAATGCTCGTTGGCAAACTCATGAAAGCCCTCCTACGGAGTAGCGCCAAGAAAGAACAAAAGTAAGTATGAGGCGGGATGACCAAGGAGCTGCGGAGATTCACGGTAGGGTGAAGGGAATAACGGTTCGCCACGAAGGGGCGCAGGATATCCTTGGGCATGGTTGTACTAGAGAAGGAGAGAAGTCATAGAACCACACCAGGCGTACTCTTCCACAAACAATGTCCTGGCCATGGACAGCCCATCATAAGCGATAAGGCGTGGGGAGAAAACAGTGTGGGTTGATTGCAAAGCGCTTTCAAAGCACTTGCAAAGCAACCCAGATTGGAGCGAGTGGGTACGAAGGGATGGGAGGGGGACGAGAGGGCCAGAGTATTTAAAGCGGGAGTTAATCCTCTCTCATTCATACACAAATCCAAAACGCCCTCGTCCTCGTGATGCTGGAATATAACTGTGAACCAAGAAGACAAAAAAAAAAAAAAAAACTCACCGGTGGTGATGTGGTCGTGTAGTCGTCGGAGGTGGCGGAATTGGAGTGGGACGGGGTAACCGGGGGAATACCGATGAACTGGTGCTGGAAGGGCTGGTTGCCCGCAAAGAATTGGTGCGTGTAGTCCATGGCGGCGACAACGGAGGACAGTGATGTAAATATGTAGAAGGACGCGGTCGTGATGTTTTACTCAAGAACGGTGGAAGCGCGAGATTGGCACCAGAATTGATGGAGGATGGAGAGGGCAACAGTGAGGGTGAGGTCTCCGAGTCGAAGTGAGGAGAAGAAAGAGAAAGTGCAGGTGCGGATTATGGGAGCAGGAAGGAGCACTGGAGAAGTAAAAAGCGAAAATCTGCACTGTAATACGAATAGGGTATCGTTGCAGGCCTAGCCGAGCCTGACAAAGAAAGAAGCAGGCCACCTCTGGGGGATAGCACAAGGTGTGTTAGCGTGCGTCAGAAGATGTTGTAGAGACCACCCAGGCTAGAACCTGGCCACTATATCTTTCTTTGCAGGCTGGGCTTGGCCAGGCCTCGCTCGATTACAGACGCTGGTCTGTAAGCTGAATAAAGTTTTTTGATCGCCAGCCAAGGTACAGTAGACACGTACTGATAGTGAAATTGTTGAGAGAACGTTTAGACGAAGAAGAAAATACTATATTAAAAAAAAGTGAAGAAAGAAAAGAAAACAGACCAAGAGAGGGCTGCGGACGTCTTCCTCTTTGGCCGGACACTGCGGGTTATTAATAAAGGGGCAGCCTCGGTCCATTGCTAATCAGATTCCATCGTGATGAGCCTGACGACCAGCACAGCCTTTGGGGAAAAGGCGCAATACAGGAGCGCCAAAAGGGATTTGCCCGGAGCGACAGACTGTGGGATATAGCCTCGCAAAGGATGGCCAGCAACGGGGGTGCTTTTCCCCCTGTGCGCATAGGCCGCTTGGTCGCTTTCCCCTCCATCATTGGACAGCAGGTTGCATGGCTTTCCATTTTCATGCGCCGCATCGCTTGGATTTGCGCAGTCTTTCCTTGCCGCCCTGCGTCCGTTCCAGGGGCCTTTCGCCATTGCCTGTTCCTTTCCCGAATCCCCAAATAGCTGCGTCTCGCCCCGATAGTCGCCCAACGCTTTGAAGGCGAGAAGGCGATCTAAAATCCCCAAGCCCCTCCTCCACGCACTTACCCTGTAACAACCCTTTCTGCCAACTAACCCAGACGGGTTAGCGATTGGACTGCTGGTACGCTAAAATAAGCATGCCTTTCCGCCTTGCGAGGAATAGGAGAATGCGAGGCAAGAACAGAGGACACCATCGAGTTTTCAGGGGGCAGGTTAGTAGGCAAAAATCAAGTTGTTTATTTGCAATGCGAATTGGTCGCTGCTTGATATTCTTTGCTGGGCCAAGATCACTCTTTTATTTCGACACCACCATCACCACAGTACACCAAACCTTTCCGCGCACAGCAAGCCAGCCACTGCCTCAACTCGGCTCACTGTATGCCACTGGAAGCGCCCGCTTGCTCGCCAAATAAGCAGTGCAGCAGAAGGCCAGGCCCATTGCTCAAGCAAGTTAAGTAGTATCACAAGTACAGCGGACGATGCGTCCCACGACGTGGAGGCCACCTGCCAGACCGCCATGTCAGTCTACGGGTGGTCCCATGCTGTGTCCGTTCGTACTACGAAGCCTCAGTATGTGGCATACGAGGTGTGCGGTCTCTCTCGCAAGACGAAATGTTCAACGAGAAAGGGCCAGAGGACGGCAGACGAACTGACCACGGCGGGTAATAAAATGCCAGTCTTAGCAGTGCTGAAAGCGCGGCCCAGTGAATCCCCTAACCTACGATTCGGGTCCGGTCACCCAGTACGTCCTTTGGCGACGTGTCAGTCTCGCACATTGGCGGCATGGTTTATGGCACGATTGGTGGTATAAAATGCAACGGGTTTGTGTCCGCATCCCGTGCCGCCCTTGTTCGTTGGCAGGACCTGACGTTGTCCGGCATTGCGTCTCGAGGGCACCCTATTCGCCAGCGGCGTTAGTGGTCACAGCCGACCTCGCCGACCTACCCTCGCATGATGACCACTCTGCATAGAAGATACAGAGAAGACGGCGCAGAAGCACCGCGGCAACCAATCTGCTCACGTCAGCAAGGTGGCTTATGGTCTCCTAATGTACTTGCAGAACCTCAGTGCCTCTGACCCTCTTACTGGGTAGAGGGATGTAATGAGGAGATGCGGCTGCAGAAACACGGCCCGGGTCGCAACAAGGCGGTGCATGAGGTCGGTTGCATTTCGGAAAGCACAACCTGCTACGTACGTCCTTCGCAGTCATGAAAATGCACGGAGGCGGAGAGCCCTGTATTTTGGCTTCCTGCTTTCCTTTCTTCTTGAGGAATTTGGCTCTGCGAATGCTGAAATTTAGAAGCTCGCCGATGGTGTTATTTTGCCTGTTGCAACTGCACGTATCACGTATCCGAATTCGCGGCTAGTTGGCATCATTGCAACCTTGGAAAGTTCAGGGCGTGTATGTGCGAGCTATTTTCTCAGGATTTTTCCTTTATTGTTGGCATAAACTCTCTCGGTAAAGCTTCTCAACGTCTGTATGTTTATTCGCTTCTTATATGCGGCCACTCCTTGTGGGCGGATATTTTGCAAAAGCCTTGCGTCTAGAATCAGTAACTTATTTGTGCTGTCTCGCTGTTTGGTTTCGGTGTGAAAAATAAAAGAAAAATAAAGTCCAGTGGCAACAAATGCCACTGCCAATAATGGTCACAATTCCAATCAAAACAATATCATACGTATATATTTTGTTTAAATCCCATAAAACGATACACTGTATACAAGTTATTCCCAGTTTACAAGTAGTATTCTATCCGTTTATTCAAACACATACATATATATATATATATATCCCACTAAAACCTGTAAATGTGACGTTCTCTTGGACATATAAAAATCACTTGTTATCAACGGAAATAATATCTAGAGTTAACGTAAACTCAACTGGGAGTAACAAGAACTTGTAGTTAATGTTTATCGTAGGCTATGTTTAAAAAATTGTAGACGGACTGCGGCCATGAACAAGAAAAGCCGGCAATGTGCTCCTTGTAGCTGGTGGTAGATTTACCACGCAGTATATTACCCTGTAGGCTTACCCTTATGTAGAGCATATAGTTCAGAACAAATGAACCGTCTCGACATTTTATCACGACGGTAGACATTCGACGATTTCTTGTGAACTATCATATCCACGCGCCGTGCTACAATCACCAAACCAGCACATGCAGATGGCAAGTCGCACCCAGTGCTCTCGCACCGATAGCACTTTCTAGTCATCAATAGTGCTAGCCTCATCTCAATGACACCGAGTTAGAACATTCTGAGCTACCGACACCATGGGATATCCATTCAAAGCGTGCGCCGCTGGCTTGAATAGCACGACACAAGATAGATATGCTTCGGGGGGGGGAGAATATTTTTCTCCTATCGTGTTCCTGCCGTTCTTTTTTTTTCGGTTGGTTGGCGGAGGCAACATGTATAGCTAGAACGGTATACAAGTTGGTCAGTAGAAGAGTTGTCAAGTTACGGAACTAAAAACGGGTGTCATTATTTACTGCGTGACGTTATTGATGAAACTCGAGTGGATGCCTAGCGACTGAAGTGCCCGCTACATGTGGTTTGGCCACCGATTTTTTATTCTTGTTATTTTTATTTTATTTTATATATATACGTTTCAAAAAACGCCGGTGTTTCTATATTTAAAATGAAGTCCGTGGCCCTCCCGGGACACAATGCTGTTGTCACTGCCACTGTCCGCACATTTGGGCAGAAAGTGTACTCTCTCCAACCACATGCACGTTATTACATACTGCCATCCTTCATGACAAAAAACTGATACTCTCCACAAAAATTGGCAATTTTTATTTATTCAAAAGTTGACCAAAAGGAGTCAAAATTCTACATAAACCCATCAGTAAACCGACAAAGTCGGGCCTAAGTCTGACAATTTTTTTCCGACGTTTTTTTTTCTGTCCTGGTTGAGTAATTACGCTCGATTAACGGAAGGCAATTTGGGATTTACGATAAACAATTTTTCTGCCATAAGGGAGCCGGAGTTGGTTTCAACGTTGGTGGTACAAAGCTGCTTGACTAGGTGTTTTCCTAAAGCCAAGCCGCAGTATTTATCGGGCGACGGGCCTGTCCTTAGGAATGGTCAACATCGAGCACTTCCATGACGCAACGGCAGCGAGCAGTGCGCCTCAGAGCATTGCCATTGGTTGCAGGGTCAGTATTTTGAAGGCGTAATGCGACATACCTGTGATTTACATATGCCAAGTAGTATATTTTGTTTGTCCAGCAAAACGATATTCCAGCTGACCAGCTACGTTTATCTATCGTAGAGGACGCGCTCTGTAACGACCTTAGCATTGCAGCCCAAGGGGTGGGGGTGCCATTCCAGTGTTAGCGGTAGGATGTCGTCACCTCGAACCTGGCATGTTATACACACGACTTGTAAACAAACACGGAGCACAGCAATAAGCACAGGCTGTAGAACATACTGCCAAGAAAGAGAATTGCATGTATATTGGGCTGGTATGCGGGCCTCCGCAGTGCCTAGTCGTGTGTCGAAGTCGCCGTCGGCCTTGGCAGTTGGAGGGCTCAGAAGCCTATCGATCGATGCGTACCGAAGATATACATAGATAATATGACGTCCCTGGCAAGCACAATATTCTCCAACATTCGTTGAGTCTCCTACCAAAACCCAGAACGAGCTTGCAATTTAATGCAGCCACTCGTCTTACATAGCATGCGCAATCGCTGATTTGTCAACGCAAGATACTAAGTACGTCGTATGTGTGGAGTATCTCGAGAAAATTGAGCCTCGCTCTCACAAGTCTGGACAAGTAAGCTTCGCTGCTGCACTTGGTTGCACACCGGGAAAGGTTCGGATCGGTGGCAGGAGACATGACTCATACGTTGTACAGTACACAAAAAACGTCGAACTGGACAACTGATGGGGCGCCTCACGCTACCAGACTCGATGGCGCCAATTCGGTTCCAGAGAGCGTTGCTGTTCCTATTGTACCCGCAAGGCAATTCCGAACATCGCGATGTGCGCTGTGTCTCGGCCGTCGGAGGTATTCGAGCCCTGCCCTCAATTTGCGGTGGTGCGATTGGCGACTGGAGGTCGCTGTGGCGTCAGGACAGCGAGTGGTAATGACCCTACAAGGATGTTCCCAGAGGAAGGATTTGACAGACCAACAGGGACGAGCGCCACACAGTGGTGGTGTGGACTTTGAAGGCACTATCCGAATAAACATGCGAGACAGCGCAGGAGAGGATAAACGGCAGCCGCTGTTTTTTGTGTTTCTTTCGGAGGGCCGCAGGTGGTCTCCTATACGGAGTCAAAAGCACATTGCAGCTTGGTTTTGTGCTGAGTATACGAATTATTCACAAAGTTGAAACTACTTTGTAGACACGCCAGCAGCCAACGCGACATTCCCTTGCATGTGTTCATGCTCACCTTTGATTCGTCTGCCTGACGCGTCTTCGCAAAAGGCGGGCTTGTTCTTACTTAATTTCGCCCTGTTGCCGTGAAGCGACACACCGCGCCTTCCTCCATCCCTTTTGCCAGCCTTCCTTCCAGTTGTGGGAGGCAGCTTAAAAGCAAGCCAAACGCGCAACCAAGAGCTCTAGTTCTAGCTTAGCTTGTGGTAGTGTCCCGCGTCGCCCTTTGCCTGGTTCTAGTGCGATCCTCATTTTTCGTGTTTCTCTCCCTCCTCACTTCCGTCCGTTTTACTTACCACCTCCCTGGCTTTGATGGCAGTCGTTCCCTTTTGCGCCAGTCTCCTTGCTTCAGCCCCCGTACGCAGGTTTGCCTTTTGTTCTCGATTTGATGATTCGAATGTACGGTATCTTGTATCGTATTGCTTCATATACGATGACGGCCGCTTGGTTGAGTGCTTCCAGGAGCTGCCGGATCGAACAGAGAGGAGGATAACGGGAAGATATATAAAAGGACCGGACAAGCAAGACGTCAGCAACGGAGTTCCAGCCCTTGGTGGGTTGGGTCGTTGGGTCGAGGAGCTGCTGCTCGGGAATTGTATCCTACCACCCAAGAACCCACATTCACCATCAGGAGACCCCCAGAGTCGCTAATTATATCGAGAGAACAGGTTAGCAAATGTGCTCCGTAAGGGTGTCCGGCCTCGTCATTTTGACGAGTTTACAGAGCAAGTCGCATTACAACATACGCTGTTAATCCCGTGCGTCGTACGACATACTCATGTTTGCTGTTTGCTAACTGGCGACAGCATGGTAATGCATGTGTACGACACCGACCATAGCATTATGGGCTAGCTGGGCGTGCTTTCATGTACTCCGTACTGAGAAAGTCGCCTTGTCTCTCTTCCCTGGGGCGCGGGCACAAAAAGCACGCCGTACTTTCATGTCATCTGGAAATTGTATCCGGTTTATACAGTACGGCCTGTCTCGCCTCCATCTCGCCACAGATCAAAAATAATGGACGGTGTACGATGTACAAAGTAAACAAACATGAAACGCGCTTTGTTTACTCTGTTGGTGCTGTTTGGCAGCTTCCTAGTGGTGCTCAGATCGCCCGTGTAGCATTCCTGCCGATTGGGTCACTTCTGCCACAACGTTCTTCAGAGACTTGCAGTACGGTCTGGGCTCCCACTCTCCACTCTCCATTGTTATTTTTTATGTATAGTTTTTTGGCTTGATTTTTTTCTTGCGTCTCTACGTGTGCTTTCCAACCTTTCGCCATCGCCGCGACCCACTCGCACGGCTCCCAAGCTAGAGAGACATCCACACCCCTGCACTATGCACCCACCCCCTAACTAGCTACGTATGGCTGCGGAGCATTGATGTACAGTCAAACAGAGTACGAATAGGTTTGCTCTCGCGTTTTTGACTCTGCACAGCTCGCCTGAGCCGCGAGTGTGACGTTGAGGGATCAAAGAACAAGAAACTCTCCTGCCTTCTCAATAGGATATCCCAGACGATACTGCACGGAAAACCTCCCGTCGTGGAGGCATGTTGCTTACGATACCTTGATCTTTTCAAAGGAGTAATTGCTACTCTTCCAATGAGGTTTGGAGGCTCTGTCGAGGGCTGGATCCACAGGCACAGTGGGCCCGGCAAATCCAAGATCGTCCTTGATGCCAGAAGGATGGGATTGCTAACCTCAAGGGCGCCAGCTCCCTGGAGAGGAAGGGAAGCAGAAACCGCGAGAGGGCACCTTCGCTTTACGATGTCGGTGGGGAGGGACGATACGAGACCTGGCCGGACCACAAAGGGGAAAAAAGAAGAAGAAAGTGCCACAAGGGCTTGAAGAGTGAAGCCAGGCTTGTTTCTCCCTTCGCCCTCCCTTTTTGGGTTTTGCCTCCGTCCTGGACAGCGTACTACCACGACTTGTAAGCCTGCATTCCTGCCACCTTCTTCTGTTTACTTGATTGACTTCGCGCACCCATCAGCGTATGGCACTCGAATGCTTGCATGTGCGGGACCCCGTCAAGATCAGAGCAACCCACCACACAGGCTAGACATTAGGAGCAGCGTGTTTTGTGTGGAGAATGCTGGTAAAACGAGATTTTCTGTTTGCTTTCCGTGGATCCCCATTTGACTCGGCACTTAAGACGGACGTCCTCCCCAATAGTGTTATTCTGGTCAAGGGTCGGGTTCAGGAATTCTCTCTTCGTTCTTTTCTCCTGTTTCTGGCTTCTGCTTCTTCTCATCTACAGACCTCGCCTGTCGTCGACGAGAATTATCACTTGGGCTCTTCACTGTCGTTCTCACAGCAACACCTTACGTCTGTACAGGCAATGTTTCTCGGGCAGTCTTGTCCGCTGACTTCGATTTGGACGCACTTTGCCCTGGTTGGCTGGTGCTCTCGTCATATCTAACGAACGGCCTCTAGTGACGCTCTCTCGAAAGCAGCCCGGAACTATATACTATCGCGCTCTCTCGTGCTTACAAACAAATCGCACGTCAAATACACACGCAACATGGCCGACTACAACCATAGACGGGCGGCATCGGAGCTTCTTGCTTATAGAGAGGTTTCCGGCGGCGCCGTTTATGGCCAGGATCGTTTTTCCGTCAGCCAACGCCCGGGTTCAGCTGGAACCCTGTTTGCGCACCCGACACCCCGGGGCCACCACATGGTTGATCAAAACGGAAGCAAGTACGCCAACACGAATTTTCACTACCGATCACAGTCTTATGAAAGCCCTTGCGGCTGGGACGCGTACGTGGAAGGTGAGCCGGTATCTGCACTGCCCGCAGGCCATTGCCGATATGGCAGCCTAGGTCCGGCGGAGGCGCGGACACAGCACGGTCACCTGGCGCCCCCAAACTCACAGAGGCGCGGAAGCGAAAGCAGCACAAGCTCAGCGATATCAAACTACACAGCAGCTACGGAAGCCCCGTCAACTTGGTCAGCCTCAACCACACCAGAAGCTATGTCACCGACATCACCAAACAACTCTCTTTTGCTTCAGTCGCCCCCGGAAAGCATGCCATCGAAGGCCAGCTTGGCAACCCAGGCGCTGCCTCCTTCCCCATCCAAGGTGCCGCATCAAACTTTTGTACCCGGCAGAACGGCCCGAGCCCGCGCCTTTTCGCACTCCGCGCCAAAGGGCTTCCAGAATACCGTCATCGAGTCTTCGGTTCCAGAGGAGGATGAGCAGACAGAGGCTGCTCGTAATTGGAATAAAGCGCACCAAAATAACGCGTCTCACGGGAACATGGTCAAGCAGCCGGCTCTGCCGTATGTGGGCATGACGGAAGATGAAGCCAAAGCGGTTTCAAATCTACGACAGCGCCGTCAACAACGGCAGCTTAAGATTGCGGGAAAGCCGCACTCTAAGCAACCGGTAAGGCTTCGTCTTTCTCCCATGCCGCCCCTGCCACTTCCCCAGCAAGGGTTGCAGGCACATTCTGCGCCATCGCCAAGAGCACTCAAGGCCAGCCGGTCTTCACCTCAGCTCCGGGACGCTGTCGGCCCGCCACCAATAGGGCCGCTTCCTCCCCTACCAGGCGCTCCAGAGCTCTCAAAACTTTTGCCGCCAACGCCCAGGACTCCTGCGATGCCTCCCACACCATCATTCGCAAACAATGATGCCCGGCCTCCACATCCGACTATGCCACCACCACCACCACCTTCTAGGCCGCCAATTGACTCTCCCAGTCCAATTTTCAGTCCGACAATGACAAGTCCCTTGATGGAGACGAAGCCCCATGAAGAGTCCCAACCACAGGGACAGGGGAGCCCGTGGGAAGAGGAGCTTCGGCGGCACAAGAAGCTTTTGGAGCAGTTCCCGGCTGAGTCGGAGGCACGTTATGGTGTCCCCAAGCTTTCCCGTTCGCACCGTTCTTTAGGAAACATTCGTGCCCGCTCACGGTCTCTTTCTCGTGCCGCGGGAGCCGCTTTCTATGACGACGCTGCCATTGCTGGACCTCGGCTGTCTCACCGTGCTTCCTCGTTCAGCCTGCGCGGATCCAACATGCAACGTCCATCAACAGCCAAAGCTTCACAAGATGTAGAGATCCGGGCGCCAAAAGTACAGCCCTCGCAATCTTCAGGAAATGCTCCACAATGCTCAGTGTTTGAGGACGATTCAGACGAGGAGGGTGACACTGTTCGCAAATTTGTTCGCAATCTTTTTACCCGCCGCACCCGCAACGGTGAGATGCCAATGGTTACCTCGAGCACGACGGAACAGGCTCGTGAGGTCCCATCAAGCTCCAAGCACTCTATGCCGTCGACCAAGCCCAGAGACACCAATGGCCATAACGACCGCAAGACGAACCATAGCGCTTCGTCGAATTTCTCTATTGCTACGACTGTGGGTGCAAGCACAGTTTTTTCTACTACCACAACGCTTGATCCGTCGAGCGCAGATGCCTGCCACTACGGCTGCGGGGTTGAATGCCCTCACGAAGGAGGGATCTCCTCGTCACCTCGGTCGTCGTCGGACCACTCTCGCCACCACCAAAAAGGGCCTCTCCTCAGTCGCATGTTTGTTCGCCGCAGCCATTGATAGCTCGCGATCTTTTTTCCACCACCTCTACGGCAGATTTTCCTTCCTATTTTGTCACGTCTTTCGGAATCACACGGTTTTATGTTTAACACGGCTCATGTTCCACGTTTCATCCTGTTAACGATCATCTATTCACACTCACTTACATCTGGTGCCTATCGTTTTACTCATAACGGAGCCGGCTAATCTCGGCGCATATTTCTTTTGTCTTCTTTTTTGAGCTACGTCAAAGGATGACGATACATTTATATCAGAATCTATTTCAAGCATCATTAGCGAGATTATAGTGGGTTGGGGCATTGTTAAGGACGTCCATGGTTTCCAAGGGTGTCTTTTTTTTCTTGCTGGAATTTATTGGACTTCTTTCATCTGCGTACAATTGTATCCTTTTCTATCCACACTGCTTTACACTACCGTACATTGTGATGCAATAGTTGTAGCACTTCGACGTCTGAATTAATGTCGCGGTCCTTAATCCTCGACTTAGAAGAACTAGCGCTTGCAGGACGTGCCAAAACCTATGCGTTTGTTAAGGTTATTTGACCTCTGTTTTGCTTTTCTTTACCTTCAGTTTGTCCATCGGACGTCGAGCGTGCAAGGGGACCCATCGTTCCCCGACCCTACTCAAATAATGCGAGACGCCTCGTGTATGCCGAGAACCACTGCTGCGTCCGTAACACTATTGACTATGTTGACAACATATCGCGATTCGTGGCCTAGTTGCCCGTCACATTTCGACTTATGCTGGTTTGTTCACGCTAAAAGAAGAGGCGGTGCGATGTAAGGGGAAAATGTAAGGGAGGCTGGATCGTTGCTCAAGGAAAAACCTGGCTGGCTTTGTAAGTTAATTTGTTTCACTTATTTTACAACCAGCTTTTACCAAGTGTCCCACATGACGCAGGACGTATTGTCCCATACTGTGTCTGTGCATAAAAATGGTACGACATTTTCCACGTGTGATGTCTCATCACTGAATCTTGTCACAATTTCGCCCTGTCGTGACCTCATTCGCTATGGCGTAGAACCTCCTATTGTGTCGCAGATGGGACACCGGAGATCTTCCTTAGGACACCAATGGATCAGCAAGTCGGCTGTTGCTTTATAATTTTTTATATTTTCCTAGGTTAAATCGGTTTTGTTTCGCAGGCTACATGGCCGTCTTCCTTAAAAGAGACTGAATAACTCGAGCCTGACCCTCTCCCTTAATCTCTCATCCTTGCCCATCCGCATTGTTGTTCCGTCTACTTAGCCACCATTCAATATCTCGAAGAGGACAGCGGAAGCGTGAGCGAGCGAGATGAGTTGGGGTCCGAAATCGCCAGACAAAAGGAAAAGAAACGACATAAATGCGAGACCAGAACACAAAAGAAAATGGTGAACGATTTTCTGCTTTATGCGGTGGGGTTGGGGTTCATCTGTTGGTAGTGGACGTCATTGTTAGCATTTACCTTTTAAATAAGGTCGGTCGCCACGAAGGTAGGTTGCCCGCCGAATGCCGGCCGCTTGGCTCCATGATTGATGCCATATTAGGCTTTGTTCGTACCTTGCGCTTGCCGCCGGTCAGGGTGACGTTCACGAAACGTCTGGTGTACGTCAACCGCTTCTTGGCACGGCCCTTGGCTATTCAAAAGTCAGTATTGTCTGATATCTGCTGGTGCTGGCTAAAGAGAACTGCACAGAATTATCCTAGTGTAGAGGTAGGGGCCAGGAACATACGCGTCTTCTTCTTCTCCTGCTTCTCAACTTTCTGTTGTGGTGCGTCAGTACTCCGTCCAGTCAAAAATCCAATGTCGTCCCATTTTCGGGAAAAGTCTGAATCCTCGCAAGCCAAAGGACGTAGAGAACAAAGCTGAGCTACAGCGTTGTGGAAGTCGCTTGCCATGACATCCAAGTCGGCATGTGGGCCGAGAAGTCGATGTTGCAACGTTTTCCTTCTACCAATGACCCTCGATCGTATCGACTGCTCGAGCGCCACAGTCGGGTCCGGTGGTACGAATCCTGCCTGGCATTGCCTTTTTTTCTCGCTTGTTCTCTCACGTCCCGAATTGCGATTCGCTTTGAAGTGGCCAAAGGTTTTCCCCTTTCGAGTCGCCAAGTTTTTCGGGTTAAGGATTGCTTACGGGAGTCTGCGACCGGACTATTGGACGAAAAGGTGGAAATGTTAGTTAACCGTATAGCAAGAACAAAATCGGAAGGCCGTCCATTCATCTAAGGAAGCGGAATGTCGACGTCGGGAATCAAATGTAAGGCGTACCTTTGCCGGCACGAGCGAGCTAGAGAGTGAAAAACAAACGTCAGCATATTATATTCCAGACAAGACAAAGGGTACCGAAGCCAGTTGACTGTAGCCGGGAAACGAAGCGGGAAGAACATACGGAGCCGTGAACTTTGCCCATATTTGCGGTTTTGCGATGTGAATGTTTGCCGAAACGTGGAGGTTTTGTGGTTGTCGGAAAGTTGTAATCGGGACACAAGGCGTTTCGGTAGCGGTCGTCGTAAAATTTTTGGATGCTTTCAAAAAGTTTGGATGTAATTGTGTGCGCGCTAGCCCTGGGAAGAGGGGATCTATCACGTGACCCAAACGGTAACTAGTGAAATCGGTTCAAAGGATTCGTAGTCGATATGAGATAAGAAATGACTAACCATATAGGAGCGCTAGTCTATATACGGTCTGAAGAACAAGGAACACCAAGCCCGTGCCTGAATCGATCACGGGTGGGCTCAAAGCTCTTACTATCGTTCCCATCACCTGCCGAGCGCACTTTCAGCACTGATTGGAGCTCGTCAACAATGCCGAAAGAAAAGAACTACAACCCGGTGCAGGCCCAGCGGAAGGCTGATAAGGCAAAGGCTATCAAGAAAGGTGCGCATTTTGTTTTGCTCTCACTTTTGGTTCACTGAAGACAGTCTGGCTAACTGGTATTCTTTTTGCGATTAGGGAAAGCCCATGTTGCAGCAGCACGCAATGAGCGGCTGAGCAAGAAGAACCCAGACCGGATACGGAAGCAAGTTGAGGATCTCAAAGCCATTACAGAAGGCGGTGGAAAGCTCACGACACACGAAGAGCAAGTGCTGGAGGGCCTTGAGGCGGAATTGAAGGCTGTGATAAAGGCGCGGGAGGCCCTGGGCGACAAGGCACCGACATTTGGTCGTACTGATGTGCCGCATCGTGGACACAACAGACACGACAAACACGACGGACATGACGGACGCGACAGGCATGATGGTTTTGGTAGGAAACGGCGACGCGACGACGACAGCGACAACAGCACGGACAGTGACGTGCCAGCCGACGTTCGAAACATCCCGATGCCACGCGACACACCTCCACCGATACCGAAGCGATACCTCGATGATTGGTATGCTAAACGACGTGCAAAGAGGAACGCCAATGCCAACTCGGAGCCACTGGGGGAGGGCCGCAGTGTAGGTCACAGTGAGGACCGTAGCGAAACGGGCAGGGAGTCATTGACTCCTTCGGCTGCTTCGTCGACTGCTCCGCCCAAGCCTGTTGAGGTTAAGACGGTCTACGAAGCGAAACCCGTTGTCAGGAACCTGCAAAAAGAAGCAGTGTCGGCTTTCATGCCAACAGTCGTGCGACGAAAGCTGGAGAAGAGCCGAGGCAAGGGCGGGTTGCTAGAGCCGGAAGAGGCGGATCAGCTCGAGAGGGAAGGCTACCTTAAGAGTTCCATACCGGCGGCTAGTAGTGACGACAAACTTACCGACTACAGCGGAGGAATAACGACGAAAGAGCCCGCTGCGTCTCAACAGTCTCGCGCGAGTGGACTAGGGGCGTACCATGCCACAGTGGAGGACGCCGAAGACAAGGAAGGATGAGCACAGCCTTGCATTGGATGGAATCATACCAAGAACAAACAAGCAGCGCAACGGCACATGCGACGTATGTTGCTGTGCAGCCGTGCTTGCCATCATTCACGACAGATTCTTTCGCTGGCCAGCTTCGGTCCTGTTGGCAAGCGCAACGTCTCCATGTGAAGATGAGAAGGAACCTTAGACCCACCTTTTCTGTGGATGCCTTTCCATCCGGAAACGACCAAGAATTTCATGGTGCATTCGTGCCATGTCCTCCGGTTTTGGCAATTGTCGGTCGTTAGCACTCCGTGCTTGTTGAGCGAGTCAGACGTATGAGTTGTACCCGGGACGCCCGTTCGTTGGTGAGAACCGCAATTTTGATGACTTGCTTGCCGGAAGGTAAGTTTGAGCCGTCGTGAAAATGGAGGGTATGGAACACAAGTCACCGAGCATTGTGCCTCATGGGGGCTGGTTATGACACCCGGCAGTATGAGCAAGACTAACTGTTGTGTGTGTATGTTTAAAATACGGACAACATGTGACCAGCACAGCACATAAACAGGCATGAGGTGACTATGTACGATTTGTAGTGTCCATATACTATTGGTAGTGACATAAATTTAAGCAATACGCGCTGGGATTCAAAAAAAAAAAAAGAAAAGAAAACTTCTCGTCATCCGACTCTGTGAGCGGATGTATGAAATTTAACTGATTTTGGTTCACTGGATTCCCCTGGACGATTGATACGATATACATAAAACCAGTAACAGAGAAGCCCAGCTTTGAAGGGTGGGGCCAGAATGGTGTGGTACATACACCCTCGTTGGCATTAAATATGGGAGACTTTCCTTTGAGACTTGCTTGGGAAACATTTGTTGGCTGGCAAGACATAATTGCTTGCTCTTTTCTAGGACCGAATGCTCTCACATAACCACAACATGACGCAACGACATTTCTCTGCCGTTTGTAAAGTGCGTGTTGGGCGTCGGTTGTATTTTGTTTGGTATATTTCTCGATTTCCCCTTCGCTCTCGCAAAACTTAAAGCTCGCAGGAGATCGACAGAACAGTGTACCGTAACTTAACTACTGTCTCGGCAACTGGCCCGTAAAACGGGCTGCTAAAAAAACTAGCATATAGCACAGACGAAGGAAAACAACCAAAAAAGTACGTAATAAAATCAAAGGGAAGAAGCAAAACGCTGCATATGGGTCAGGCAATGCGGGCTCATTCGAGTACGCCATCCGCCAGTGATCACACGCAAAACCCCTTTTGCATGTTGGAACATCGCATGGGCGGGTTGGATTCCGGAATACTGCCCCGTTCTGGGATCGATGTATGTGCAACAAAACAGAAAACGAACAAAGTCGAGCAGTATATATGAACAATAGAGTATCCACCAGGACGTAAGTCATATCTGTATGCCATACGGAGAAAGGAGAGCCTTCCATTTATGCCCGTGCCTTCTGTATCCGTCCACGCCATAGTTCTTGTTCCACGAACCAGGCGTCTGCTCCCGTATAGGTTTTGTTTTCCAACCTTGACTTCTAAAGTTTTTTTAATTTGGCTTTCGTTCTTTTCTTCGTATTCATTTTTCTGTTTTCTGTTCTCTGTTCTCTGTTCTCTGTTTTCTGTTTTCTGTTTTCTAACTTCTCTTCGTTTTTATCGTTACTCCGGTTGCACCCCACATCTTCCTGCTCAAAGTGTATGGTGTTGTCTTTCTCTTTACGGTTTCGGTTACATATTATTTTCCCTCACGCACATGTTTGCCTCGGAAACAAAACTCCTTGGTTTATTATTCATCCTACCGCCCCAAATTTCACATCTCCCTTTCCACCCCGCCACGAAGAATAAATCGACTGCGGACAGATCAAACGGTACGAAAGACTTGGTCGGGTTGCCGCCTCGTACATCGATGGATAGAAGGCAAAAGCCAGGTTTGGGGGAACCATGATAGACGACGCAGAGAAGAACAGGTCAAAGAGCAATGTCCGGGCGACGGCGTCCAGAGTGTTGAGTAACAGCGATGTCGGCGTCGGCATTGGCTCGGATTACGTCCGCGGCGGCCACGACCGTATTTCTGCGTCTTCCAGCACAGTAGCTTATTTCAGCGAAAAAGAAATACGAGTCATCGGGTACGCAGCAACCGTCACGAGCACACATGGACCGGCGGCCAACGCGGATGTTGAACCGTGCGCCAGGACCCTAACAAACTTTGTTGCATCTAGCATCGAAGCACCCGGTTCGACAGAAGGCGGCCCGGTAGCACAGCCGCCAGCAGAGACATTCCCCGAGGGCGGACTGGAAGCCTGGCTCGTCGTCCTTGGGGCATGGCTGGCTCTGTTCTCGTCACTAGGCATCCTGAATAGCCTGGCAACGTTCCAGACATATGTGTCTACGCACCAGCTGATGGAGCAGAGCCAATCCACCATCGGCTGGATCTTCTCCCTCAACGCCTTCATGTGTTTCTTCGCGGGAGTCTATATCGGGCCCGTCTTCGACAAGTATGGACCGCGCTGGCTTGTGCTGGCCGGCACGATGTGTCTTGTTGGTAGCCTCGTGTTGTTGAGCTTTTGCACAGGTGGGTATATCTGCCTCTTACGCTCTCACACTTTACAGTGATTTTGGCTAATAACGTCGTTCCGTCTCCAGAGCTATGGCATTTCATCTTGGTCTTTGGCCTGATGAATGGATTGGCGCTGGCGCTGCTCTTCACACCCTCCATCGCCGCCATCGGGCATTTTTTCTCCGCGAGAAGGGGCTTTGCCACGGGCATCGCATCCACCGGCGGCGGACTCGGTGGCGTGTGTATCCCGCTGATGCTACAGAGCCTTTTTGATCGAGTCGGATGGGCCTGGGGCATCCGGACCCTTGCACTGGTGTCGCTGATCTTGTCGGGCCTGTCCAACATCTTGCTGCGATCGCGTTTGGCGCCGGCGCTGGATGCCAGTACGCACCCTGACGTGCGCATCTTCCGCAACGTCCCATTTGCGCTGACGACACTGGGCGTGTTCTTGCTCGAGTTTGCGCTGTTTGTCCCCTTGACTTACATCTCCACATACACCCTCTCGCGTGGTTTCTCAGCCTCGTTTGCGTCGCAGGTCGTCACTATCCTCAACGCTGGGTCTGTGGTGGGGCGGGTGTTGCCGGGCTGGTATGCCGACAAGATCGGTCCTTTCAACGCCAACATCATTGCCGTTATTCTCGCCATTGTGTCGTGCCTCGTCATCTGGCTGCCAACGTCGATGCTCGACTCAACCCTCGTTAGTTCTAGTGGCGGCGACGACCGAAACAGCGCAGCGGCGGCGCCCGTTGTCCTCTTCGCCTTGCTGTTCGGTTTCACCAGCGGTAGCAACATCAGTCTTATTCCCGTCAGCATCGGCCGCCTTTGTGCCACGACCAACTACGGGCGTTACTATGCTACGTGCTACACTGCCGTCTCGGTCGCAACGCTGGTCGGCATACCCATTGCTGGCAAGATCCTGATCATAGACGGCGGCGAGTACTGGGGATTGATCGTCTTCACGGCCGCCCTGTACGTCGGCTCACTGGTGGCCCTCTTCGCGGCCAAGGCGTCCAACATCGGCTGGAGTCTTCTGGGTAAATTTTAGTCTGCGAGGCGACTCTGCTTAGAATAAGCAGGAGGCAGTTTTTTGCTTAGTCGTCTTGTTATAGTTAGTGTATATATGTCGTATACAACATATATGTAGACATATAGGGCCAGATGCAATACCGTTCAGTCGATGTGTTAAAGTTTCCATCGCATATGGGTCGGTCGACTCCTGTTGAACTAATTGTTGCTAAGCAGGTGCTGCGTTGGGTCTCTCGGTTGTAAGATTACCTGCCATCAACGTCCAATCGGGAATTTTAATGGTTGAAACAAAAGGATATGCCGCTCCCTGTAACAAGAAACGTGGCATAGACGGATATTGGGGAGACACAGGAGTGCGATGTTCCAATAGTGCCGAAAAGAATAGATCATCTATATTTGTACAGCGACGCGACATGGCCTGTAATTCCGAAGTAGTACATTCGTACAACTTACGCCCCGCTGATGCGCACAGGCCGTCGCAGCTACTGGAGTCCGTTTACTTAGTAAACACGGCTAGAGCAAAGGCCAGCGAGGCCAGCTGTGCTGGCACCGACATAGATCGCCCAATATCAATCAACCAGTAGCGGCAGGTGCGAGCCTAAAATTGGGGTCACACATCCGGATGGACAGGAAAACATGGACAGGAAAAAACAAGCCACATCTCCCGCACCGCAATACTTTAGGGAAATACTCAACACGCGATCCTCTAGCGATATGCAACGACTGGTTCGGCTGCTGGGGTTTTCCTTTTTTTCTTTCTTTTCTCTCTCTCTCTCTCCCCCCGTTACCTGGTATTTTCGCAGCCTGTTGACCTCGTTGTCGTGTCCCGGCTTCTTTCGTTTTGCAATCGTCTCGCATTCTCTGGCCTGGCGCTGTTCATCTTTGTTTACTTCACGCCTTCAACATCCTTCTTTGACATCCTCACCTTTTCGCCCTTTTCCATTTCTCGAACTCCCGAGCTGTTGGTTTCTTGATAATTTGGCATTTAACGCCCCTCTTCCTCAATAACTTATCCGTCGCTAGGCGCAGGCACATACGGCAATATTATACACATGGCAACTGTCTCCGTGGACCCCGCGAGGCGGAGGCGGGTTCTCAAGGTCATCGTGTTGTCTCTGTTGCTCGACCTGGTTTGTCCCCCCCGGCTCATACTGCACGTTGACATCTGCTGACACGCTCCCGTAGATATCGTTTACCTTCATTTTGCCTCTTTTCCCCAGCCTGCTCGAGTTCTACCGCAATGCAGAGACCGCCCTCGACGACGGCAAATCGCAGTCGCCCACACTGCTCGCCAGTATCCTCGACTACCTCAATGCTTATAAAGCCTCGTTTGCCCGCCCAATCGACTCGCGATATGATATTGTCTTGCTAGGAGGCGCTCTGGGAAGTTTATTCTCGTAAGGAAGCACCGTAAAACAGCCGCCGCGGCACATCCTAGCTGCCAGATCCTTGTCCTCTGCTGACTGAAATAACCTTTCCACGACTCTTTGTGCAGACTCCTGCAAGCTGTCGCATCTCCCGTTATTGGCCACATGTCGGACCGCTATGGCCGCCGCACCGCGCTGCTCGCGAGCATGATGGGAAACATTATCTCCGTCCTACTGTGGGTGGTGGCCGTCGACTTCCGCACATTTTTGCTCTCCCGTGTCGTTGGTGGCCTGTCCGAGGGCAACGTGCAACTTGCCATGGCCATCGCCACCGACATTTCTGACGATTCGACCCGCGGTTCCACCATGGCCTTGATTGGCGTCTGTTTTTCGGTCGCCTTCACCTTTGGCCCGGCCCTGGGCGCTTGGTTGAGCACCATTACAATGTTCAAGACAAACCCTTTCGCTGCCGCTGCAGGCTTCTCTCTATTTCTCATCGTGGCCGAGACAATCTACCTCTACCTATATCTGCCCGAAACGCTTCCGACCAGTGCCAGCACCGAGGCGGTGGCCGAGGGAGTCAAGGAAACCAAGGAAACAAAAACCACCAAGATACCTAGGCCTGGCAATGCAGCGTCTGGATCCGACCTAATTCACGACCGAACTAACTCGCACTTCATGCTCAACGCCGTGCATTTTGTCTTCCTCCTCTTCTTCTCTGGTATGGAGTTCTCACTCCCTTTTATGACTTACGACCTCTTTGGCTACACCTCTGCCAAGAACGGGAGACTGCTCGGCTTTGTCGGTCTTGTCGCGTCCATTCTGCAAGGCGGCGTAACCCGCCGCCTTCCACCCCTCGCTTCGGTGCGTATTGGCATTGTTGCGTGTCAGATTGCATTCTTGCTGCTTGGTAGCCTTTCTACGGTAGGAAATCTCTACTTGGCTGCTGCGTGCCTTGCAACCACATCAGCCACTGTTGTCACCGGCCTCAACGCCCTGAGCAGCTTCGAAGCGCACTCGGGTGAGCGCGGCGGGAAACTTGGTATTCTCCGTTCGTGGGGCCAAGTTGGGCGTGGTCTGGGCCCTGTTCTGTTTACCAGCGTCTACTGGTGGGCGGGCCGGGAAGTCGCCTATGGCGCGGGCGCCATCGGTATGTCGGCTGTTCTTCTCTTGTCCGTCTTCGGTCTCAAATCACCCCCGCGTGCTACCGAGCCAAAAGCGAAAACGCAGTAGCGCTGGTAAGGACGGAGGGATGCTCGCGAAACATGCTGTGCAGTTTTGCTTAGTCGCACAGCTAAAGAAATGCGTCAAGACACTCCGTGTCTTCCTTCCAGATATACATTTAAGGCTGGCTGGCTCTATTGGCTTAGTCCAGGCAAGGCTTATACATGCATGTTGACTCAACTGGTCTACGATGCCCCATGGCGATCTTTTTTCTTGTTCAATAGCGAGTTTTGCCTACCTTTGTTGCGTTTTTCTTGTCTTTCCTTCTTTTGCTCTGTGTTTTCAATCTTTGCTAAGATTGGTACGGAACACAACATTCTCACTCAAAAGAGGTGGTTTTGGGTTTCTACAGATAGTTCGTACCCGTGGGTTTTTATTTAATGTATACTCCAAACAAGTCAGCGACTTTCGGGCTCATAGAGCCGCGTCTACTGCGCCGCCGTGCGGCCTTTGTTGTGCCGTATATGCTCCTCATGGAGGCGGATGACACGCGGGACAATCAATGTCTCGATCTCGGCATTGGCCGCCACCTCGGCCTCCGACAAGCGCACCCAATCCACGTGTTGTGGGGTCACAAAGACTACTTCTTGTTTGCGGGTGTTCAGGATGTTACCAATTACAAGGTGGTGCTGGTAGCGTTCGAGGGCGCCCTTGGCCTTTCCGATTAACAGCTCGGGGTCTGTCTCGAGCTTAAAGGAGATCATCATGCTCTCGGGAGACCAGTTGTCGACCAAGCTCTTTAAAAACTTGGGCACTGGATCCAGGTCAATTACCAGACTCTTGCTACGAGGCACCTTGGGGGATCTAAGTTGTGTCAGCGCGCAATCTGCAAACGAGACGAGAAAGGTACGCCAAAACTCACGAGTCGAAGTTGTCGAATGTCTCTTCGTCCTCATCTACGGCGAAGCTGCCTAGCGGCTTGCCTCCTGACTTGTCCGTATTGATATCGGTGCTCTGAATTTTGTGCTCCGCCATACGGTCAGGCTGGAAGCTGTTAGTCACAGGCCACAAGAGCGAAAGCGAAACAACCTGGAAAGGAAAACACGAACTGGGAGGAAAAAGTCCGATACAGCAGCTGCTAGATATAGCAACCCATTGGGGCCGAGACGGTGCATGATGCGACTAATCGCCCGCAGCTCATACATGTAATCGGTTATGGTCACAAAAGACAGTGCCAAAAGACGGTCTTTGGCAGCACGGTACCGGCGCCAAACACCCAACATGGAGTCAGCGTCCTCGTCGCGAGACCGAACGCCATGGCCGTTCTCATCTTCTGTCAAGAAATCCAAGAAGCTGTGGGTAGCATGCGAGTAGTGGCGGCTATAAGGCTGCAAACTATAGCCGGAGTGGCAGTTAGTAACTGTGACAAAAAAAACGCAGCATGAAGACCTTTCCCCGTCACCTTCCCTGCTTCACATACCTGAATTGCCGATGCAAGAAGATTACGGCATAATCGGCCTTGTCGTCCAAAAAGTACTCGGCGCTTGTTGATCCGCGTGTACCGGCGGAGAAATTGTCAATGAAGCGGACCGTCTGCTTCTCTAGAGGGACCTATTTTGTAGTTCGGCCGTTAGGACGCTGCTGATTTCAAGAGCCAGCCACTACAAAAGCTCTTACAGTTGTGCCCCCGGAGGTCACGAGGACGATACGACGGTTTGCCTTTGCGTGCCTATCAACAAAGGCCTCAACCATTGCTATATGCTGCTCCAGATCCTTGGGCGGCGGGTTGGTGCTAAAGTAGCGGTCCTCATCTGACTGGGCAGGGCCGGTGGCCGTGGTGGCGGGATTGGATGCAGCCATGTTTGATTTGTTCGAAAGAAATGGAGGCGGAAAGGATCCGACCAAGAGATCAGACCAAAAACAGCAAGGAATGTCTTCTGCAGGATGACACATGTGTCTTAGGTCAGCCAGAGGTGTCAACGGCAGACGAGGTGAACAGAAAAAGCGGGCTTAGCAAGTGAGGCAGGAGAATCAAGTGGTTTTTGTGAAACTACGTCACCTTATATATGCAGCTATAGTTAACAAGGAGAGACACAATTGGCCAGAAGTGGACAGGTGAGAACGTAGAAAGGCGATGCGGTGCTTAGAGCAGCCTCCGGACGACGATACGCATCGTAGATGAACTGCTATCAAGGGTAAGTATCAACTTGTCGTCCCAACGACTCGATGGCGTAGTCTTTAATTCTGCCACGGGGATTTTGTCTCGCGCGTTGCCGTGTCGTCGGTCGGCTAGCCCGGCAGAGTCACAACAGAGCCGATGGAGAGGGCCGAGGCTGTGGCGTCGTTGGCGCGGGGAGTCACGTGATGTGGGCGGGTAAGCTGTTGAATATGGATCACAGGAAAACGAAACGGCATGCGACAGACACTTCGATGTCCTCGAAATGTGTCTATAAAAGCGGGTTAGAATTTTAATCGGAATCATCCGAGACAATACTTCGTTGGGGATACTGTGATCCCCCTCCCTACGAACTTAAAATCTAGCACCTTCAGTTTGACCACAACAAGCTGGTCCAGCGGTCCTTTCCAACAGCTGGAATAATACACTGGGAGGCAACTGCACACACAGCTAATACTACGAGAAAAGGATGAGACTCTGTAACTGCATTACTTCCTTAACATCGCCCTTACAGGAGCCAACAGAGACACCTAAAATTTCGTAACTACAACTTGCTAGCACACTTCTTTACGGACGGATACAAGGAAGGGGCTTTGGGATCACGTGAACTGAACTGCGGGGACGCAGACCTGAAAAGGTACCCAACAGATGACGTTGGAGATGCCAGGTCTCCTTTCGACCTATAAACACATTGTGCACGATTTACAAGACGGCCGGCAGACACAATCATAAAAGAGTGTTACTTGTATGTATTGTTTCCAAGTGCATCATTAAGGTCTTGTTATCCCCCAAGTGCACGTACACTGTAACAATCCGAAGCACAAACGAAAGACGCGAACACGTCATGACTCTCAAAAAAACGACGAAAAAACAAACCCAAATGATCGCTATCCCAAACAGTCCTGTCCACCGGTTTCCCAAAACGCCGTGTAAGTATGCAGTCCCTCTAGAATTCAAGTCCTCCCGCCTTTGGTTGGTCCTACTGAAGTGACCTATTTTATGCGATCGCAGTGAGCTTCTTCGCTAGAGCGCCGACATTGGCAGCCGGTTCAGTTGCAGCTTTCCCCGCGAGGAATTGTGCATACTGAGACTGCTTGTTGTGGATGCCGCACTCAGTCTTGCTGCGACCCTTCCACCGACCAGCACGCTCGTCCTCACCCTCGCCGACCGGGCTGGTCGAGTGCCAGTCGCCGATGGACTTGTATCCGCGATCTAGGAGAACATTGTACGGAACGTTGTGCTCGCGCACGTACGCCTGGACCTGGCCAAACGACCAGTTGGCGAGCGGGTTTATCTTGTAGATGCCCCGCTCGTCGTCTATCTCGATAATGTCGAGGTCACCGCGCTGGCCACCTTGTGACCGACGGCGGCCCGTTAGCACGGCAACCACTTCAAGGTTGTCGTAGGCGCGCTCCTGCGGCTCCACCTTTGCGAGGTAGTCGTACATCTCTTCGGAGATCTCATACAGGCGGCCGTACGTAGCTTCGAACTCGGCGGGCGTCTCAAAGCCATCAGGCTTGAAGCTGTGAATTTTGATGCCAGGGTATCGTGCCTGCACACGCGCGACGAGGTCGTATGTCTCGTTAAAGTGGTACAGCGTGTCGAGGAAGATGAGATCCACGCTGTGCTTGTTGACGGGCTCGGCATCCTTGGGCACGCCCTCCTGCTCCAGCTTCGCCAGAAGGTCGATCGTTACGAGGCCCGTGAGGCCGAAGGCGGTTGTCTGATAGAGGTTGGGGAAGAATATCTTGGCGAAGCGCAGAATGTCCATGGGCTCCATGTTCTCTAGCTGTTTGTTGAGGTGTCTCAGGTGCTCGGGTGTCAAGGACACACGCGGCAGCCGTGCCGTCGATGCGGATGCGGACGGCGGTGCGGACCCATAGCCGGACTCCAGAGACATGGCATCGTCGGCCTGTTTGGACGCCTTAGTAGGCTCGAGCCGCGGCGAATTGTCCATCGACACGCCCGTTGATGCTTCAGTTGATACGATGGGAGCCTCCATGGCCATTGTGATTGATGACTGTCTTGGCTGTCTGTGAAGGATTTTGTGCAGTGCACAAAAGGTGTCGAAAGCTGCAGGTACGAGTGTATCTCGGGTGTAAAATGTTGTTGACGTGTCTTGGATGTTGGATGAAAGGGAAGAGAGAGGAGCACAATTAAAAGGATGATGCGAAGAGATAGGCGGCGAAAGATTAGTCCACAATCACGCAATAGCGTAAGGGTAAAGGCGAGAAGCGATCGAAGGGCGTCACTAGGGGATGTTGTTTAAGAAAGACGTCTATGAAGAGGCGTGATGTTGGCTAGTATCATGGACGGAAAGGAGAGGGGAGGGAAAAGATATAACAAGAGACGACCTGATGATTCTTTTAAAGCCCGTAGCCTTTTCGACTGGATTTCTAAGGCGAATGCCCGAGAAGACTTTTGATTTCTTGGGCATTTTGTTTTGGCTCTTCAACTTTGCGTCAACGGGACCGACAGCCGGCCTCGACTCTCCACGCCCCTAAATGGTTCGGTGCGGCAAGTGTCAATATAAACCGGCATCCTTCCGCCCTCAAATTGCTCCCCCGGTTTCAATTGTTCTTATTTTTGCTTGCACCTCGCTATTCATTACGTTTTCCTTGCAGCAATCCAAACAACCCTATCCACACGCCGCATCCATGAAGCCTCTCACCCCGCGCCGCCCACGAGTTGACGGTTTTTAATTGTCAAGGCTTTTGCCGGTGATGCCAGAGCCCAGCCAAAGGGAATCAAGCATCGGAGGAGGCGTCGGCGAGGGCGTGGACAGTGAGCCGTGTTCTGGACACTGTGTATGTAAAGAAATGACACAGAAACATACAGTGCCGTTAACCGCGCCATGTCGTAGCTGATGTCGACATCCGACGGCAGGGCGAGGAAACCAATTGCGCCATCGGGCGGAACGCCGCAAATTGTGGGCGGACTTGTAAAAGCTTTCGATCACGACATCCACGCTAGTCTGTTTTGGAACTTACATAAGAGAATATGTGGGGTGGCCCAGCAAGCAGATGTTGGGCACCTATGGGCTGGAAGGCTTTGCACGGGATGGATTACGAACCCGACTTAGAAAGAAGATCCATCATCTAGTACGATCGAGAATGCAGTATCCTTCCAAAAGCCAACATGTCGACGATAAAGTAATAGTGCAAACGCATCACACATCTTAGATCACGTGTAATATCACACGCGACCAAGAAAGGAAAGAACCCTTTCCCGCATGCCTTTTCCATAAACGCCCTAGTTTGATCGGCGCTAGTCAGTCTGGCTGTCAATACTTTAGCTGACCTAAATATCTCACGTTACCAAATGTTGTACGACATGTTTTCTATTAACTACTTCAAAATAGGAAAAGGGACGACGACCAAAGACTACCCTGTGCTAAAGCCCTGATCTTGCCATGTCCTGTCGAACCTTCCACATGGCTTCTTTTTCTGGACGGAAGCGTAACCGCTGGCTGGCAATCTGAAAGTCCACCCACTCGGCCCGTAGATCCTCGTGGTCCTCCTGCGCACCAGGGCCCATGGCAGCTGTCGAATCGGCGAATGCGGCAAAGAAAAAGACGGTCTTGATGGTATTTGGAGTGGCAGCCTGCAAATCAGGGTACTGGATAACACCAACGAGTTCACTATTGAACAAACCGCACGTCAATTTGGGATCGACAACCGTTGCCACGACCGGCACCGTCTCAACTGCTGAGCCATCGACAAGAGCGAAGTCTTGACCCTCTGCGGCCAGCGTCCTCCCGTGTTTCTCGGACTGCACAGAGCCGTCCCCGTCAACCTCAAGCGGCCCTTTCTCTGGCAATGTGGGTGTGTAAGATTGGATGGGTGTAGAAGAAGCAGTTGAAGCAGTTGACATAATTGATGTGCTATACGCCGTGGACACAGACGATACCGACGCTGCGGAATGTGTTGTTCGGTGAGTTGCAGCAAAATTTCTCCTCCGGGTTGCATCGACAGCGGAGTCGTTAATGACATTGGGTTGTGTAGTTGAGCGCGTTCGGATTTTGAGAGGCAGTAAGTTGGCTCGCACCCCGGTCTCTTCGTATGTTTCACGCAGAGCCGCCGACTGGAGATCCTCACCAATGTTCTTCCTGCCTTTTGGTAGCTGCCAGATCCCAAGCCGTCTGTTGAAAATAATCAGAACTTTCGACGCGCGCGGATCTACACATACAGTGCCGCTTGATACGGTACATCGTTCCGATGGTATGAAAGTCATGTTGTCGTCGATGTAGTCCATGTCAAGTGTGTGGTCGCTGTAGCCGTCTCTTTTTTGGCTTTTGTGGGGTGCCGTTGGATAACCCATATTGAAAACCGGGTCCATAGGTCATCAATACGGCGGACGAGGACGGGCGCGCTCTAGTAGAAAGGGAAGAGGGCGAGCCGCGAGCCACGAGAGAGATTGTCGGATAGCCTCTGTGTTTATAAGTAAAAGGACGGGAAACCGGTGAAAAGGGTCCTCGGTAGGAAAGGGTGTGCGTGGTAGGATCAAGGGGGGTTCGAGTGTAAAAGCCTGTCTGCATTTACAATTGAGACACTCGCAGCACAGGTAGCAAAACAAGAGCGATGCCAGGACCCATAAGACTAGGCGGTTGACGGGAGTAGCCGGTAGCACTTCCGCCTAAAGAACGGGGAGGGAGAAAGATCAGCCCGAGCTCTTCGTACCGTTTTCGATCACCTACGGCTCGTATACAAGGAAGCAAATCAATGCACAGCATCCACGGCTCCCCTGCACGACAAATACAAGGATGACATACAGGCAGGCAAGCAAACAAAAGCAATAACGACTTCGCTAGGGACACAAATTCAGGGCTCGACACCGGGGGATAGACTTGGCAAATAGAGAAAGAGGAAGACGGAATCCAGAAGGGATCGTTGGATCACGAGGCCGTACCGATGTCGTGTGCAGCAGGAACCCTGGACTCTGATTATTGGGTCGTTGACGCTTCCGATGTTACCCACCCCAGAACATGTCCCTGCTTGGTTGCTGCAACTGCCCAAATAATTACGACGTAATACTGGACTTGTACGGTGTCAAATTGAACGTTAGTGACCATTGAGCGGTTGGGAGGATGGGCAGAGGATCGCAAACCGGTGAGAGCAGATATGGTCGGTGAGAGGATATATAGAAAGTCAAAGTGAATTGGAAGGCTCACGTACCAATGGCGATTTCGGGTGTCGTACATCGTACGGAGTGCTTGGATGGTTGTTGCAGGAGATGCCACTTCCTTGAAAGTACTTCGTACTTTCAGGGCGAGAAACACATTTGGCCGAACCCAGAGCCCGTCCCTGGTTATCATCTTCGCACTTGTACCAAGGTTTTGTCAGCATTACCAAAAGATGTGTGAGTGTACTACTGTCAAGGTATAAAGGCTAACGGCTCGGAGAGTGGGGACGGAAACGACGATGTCAATCGTAAATCGTATCTTTCTCTAGCCATAATCCTCCTGTGCTTTAAATACCCGGTCATGTTTGTTTAGTGTAAGAAATTCCAGCTACCCTCATATACCCTCTCGGCTTTGCTCTAAATTTCGGTATCGTACAGCTGTTTGCGGCGGTCGTCACTCTGCAGAGTCGTCCCAATGCCCGGCTGAGGTTTCCAGGGAGGGTGCTCAAGTTTACGTTTGATTCACGTATGCTTGCCCCCCCGTTTCTGCGGCCCGACGAGAGGACTCTAATGATACTTCATCCGGGTAGCAACCCGATTGAAGTAGGTTTAGAGACAGTCATTTATAGATGCCGTCAAACTTGCATGAAGCGTAGGGGGACATCAACCATTGTCGGTTGTTCTGGTGCTTAGGGAGAGCTTTTGTGACGGCTTTTGTGGCAAGACACAGGTCGCCAATCAGCATTTGGAACCCATCGCTGCCCAGGGCGGTCAGAAAAAAAAACGTCACAAGATCATGGGGATAATAATGTAACAGTAATGCGTTCGCTCTGTGGGCATTGGACTGCACATAGATTGCTGGATAACGAAACCTATCCAAACAAGCCTTACTTCTGTTAAGTAGATCCGCATCACAAATTGGGAGTAGATTGACCTGGAAGAAACAGATATTCCACAGACCTCCCCGCTGCTCGAGACATATCCGGCATTGTAATATGGAAGGCTTATTGTTGTTTTGCATAATGTTGTACGACCAGTTGAAATTCAAAGCGAGGTGCCGTAGCCGAGATGGGAGGATCGACTGTTCTATGCAAGGGGTTGTAAGCGTACCGAAATTTGGCGTCTTTCAGTTCCGCGGTGGAGAAAACACGACGGACACGTACTTCATACGTCAGTTTTCTTTTCTTTTCCGGTGTTCACGTTGGTTGCTGATGATTTGCAGGATAGGTGCATGGACATGCTTTGTTCTCTTTGATGCACTCTCCGCAGTTACTGTTTGTGATCTTCACTTGAAGGTCAGGGAAAGAAGGTCGTGGCAAGATATTGTCATTCTATGCAACAGTCGAACGTGGATGCTTGTCAGCCCTCCCTTCCGAAACGAAAGCATACCTAGCTTATTGGATTTTGGATTGGCCGACCAACTTCCGATCTTAGCAAATGGAGTGATATTCCATGCGTGCTTGTGGCTTACTGTCTCTCGTAGCCTTGAGGGTCAGCCTAGACCAATTTGTCGTTTCCAGATCGACTTGTCGGCCGCGTGGTGCAATCTCCACTCCTGGGGCAGCATGATCTGCCTATATGATACAACACAAAGCACAGAGCACCAGATGCATTGGGCTGAATCCAACCTGGCCTGTTTGACACGCCTGGCGATTCTAGTCCAGCCATCTGTGGAAATAAAATAAGGAAGCTCGAGACTCCGCTGCGATGAGGAACATGGTCGGGAATGCATTCTGTCATGAGACCTATCCTTGCAGGTGTACATTGCTTCCTCCCTATTTCGTGCGAAGCCCAGACATTGTTCTAAGAAAACTTATTAGTGACACCTTATTTGCGCAAGGGTGAGAGCGGGAGGATCGACAACGAAACACTCAAGCCAGGTCAACAGAGAAGAACATGCCCGTTCGAAGAGGGCTGGCGGACAAACCCTCCAAAGTGCTAAACCCAGAATATAAATGCTAGAGCGTTTCGGTATGGTAACAAACAGAGACTATCTGCCAGCGGTGTGTGACATATGTCAATGGTCTGATCTCGCGGCTGGGTGGCGTGCGGCGCACGGATTTAGATGTTAACATGGTGTTTCTGCCGATAGTGTGAAACCTCTTACCTTGCGGCAGGCAGGAGGGTTTCTACATGCAGAAGGTGGTGTGAACCCCTTCAGACATGTGCCTAAGGCTCCTTCCGTGGAGCACACCGATACGGGCACCTGCCGATCTTTGGACAAACGACGGCATGCCGAAAATATCGCTAGGCGTCAATTTGACGCAAGCGAAGACCCTCAATTCAACCACAGACCGAGCGCGTGCTTGTTATCATGTCGGCAATACCAAACCCCCGACATCGAACAAATGGTGGCTTTTGCTGGTTATGCAACATATTAGCTCCGTTGTCAAGAACCCCGCCAGGCCCAAGCACTACGTCATACATGCTGACAGCGAATGTCGTGTTAACGAAAACAGAAACGCGTGATAAACAAGATACAGAAATTGGCTGTACGCATTTTGGTTTCTCCTGGCCACGTCCCTTTTCCCTCTATCTGGCTCTACGGAGTATATAGTACAACGTTGTGTCCTCACGTTAACCACGATTGTAGCCACATGGGCCCTCACTGTTCAATGACTGGCTGAGTGCGGTGCTTGGCCTCTCGGTTTAGCCAGAACGGTCTGGGCGGCGAGGCACCGACACGTTTCGCCCCACACTTTGGGCACTTCTTAGAAAGTGCCCGATTTCGGGTTGTATTTTTCAAACCTCGTTCACGTCTTGCCCTGTTTCCCACAGCCTCCAAAGTCTTCACCGAGCGTTCACGCCCTCGATTTCGGTGTGTGCTCCGTCAAGGCGCATCTCCTCGGCCCCTCGAAGCACCCCCATGCCAAGCAAGCTCGGACCGAAATTGAGCCATGGACCAGCGGCCGCCATCCAATAACGGCCTCCCCGTGCACCGGGTTCAGTTTTCCCCTACACAGCACAGAAACCCCGGCCCGGGTAGACACTGGATCCGCCGGAGATTGCCACGGTGGCTGCGCAGCAGTCGACGGCTGATAGACGGGGTGGTAGTCACGGAAGAACGAGGTATGCCTCCGACCGACCTTACGCGCCGACAGGCCTCGAGGGCTTTTGCGACCGTTTTTCGGCGCGGAGGAGTACTGCAGCCCTTTCGCCTCATTGGGCAAGACTTACGTAACCTTCGTTCCCGTTATGTCTCGGACTGGACAGTATTCAACCAGCTGGTCTTTGCCAGCGCGGTATACGTCTTTTTCACAAATATCCTCCCCGGCATCACCTTCGCCAGCGACCTTGACGTCCTCACCGGCCAGTCGTGGGGCACCATCGAGGTGGTCTTTAGCACCGGTCTCTGTGGCCTCATATTTTCGCTGTAATAACTGCCTGCTCTACCATCTTTGACTCTTCCTCGGTGCTGATATTTGATATTTTGATTCTTGTCTCGCAGCTGTACTGACAAATGCCATTAATGAGCAGTTTCTCAGCACAGCCTCTCACGATTCTAGGCGTCACTGGCCCGTTCTCTGTCTTGGCCGAGAACATATATTCTTTGTGTATCCACTCTTTCCGAGTAAGTTCAAGGTCAGCGACTGCTGTTAGCTTCGCCCCCCCCCCCCCCCTTCCTTTCTGTGTGTGGCCATGTCATTAAAGGAAGCCAGATTGATTTCCTCCAATTCATGGCGTGGTCCCTGATACATTCGGCATGGATGCACTACCTACTCGCCATATTGAACGCACACGACTACACCATGCGCTATGTCACTCATTTCAGCGCGGACATATTTTCTCTGCTGAACAGTGTCATCTATTTTCAAAAGGCTGTCCTTGAATTGCAGCGCAACCAGCGTGCTGTCTCCATGGCCAGCTTTCTGTATTCCATTATTGGCGCTGCCGGCACATGTCTCCTGGCTGTTTTTCTTTCCACGGCCGACAAGCATTGGGCTCCTCTCTTTGGCCGTATTCCACGCATGCTTCTGACTGAGTATGCTGCGGCACTCTCGATCATATTCTTCATCGGTGTCCCACATATCGGAGACCTAGCTGCACTCGATCAGCAGCGTTTGTCGGTGCAGACCGAACTTCGGCCCACTAGCCTCGACCGTACTGTCTTTCTCGTCCGGTTCTGGGAATTGCCGGCGCGCTGGGCTTTGGCCGCAATGCTGCCAGGCGCAATTATCACTGTCTTGTTCTTTTTTGACCATGAGATCAGTAGCATTATTTGTACACTCAAGAGATACGGGGTGCAAAAGCCTGGTGGTTTTGCCTGGGACATTGTCCTTCTCGGTACTACTACTGCAATTTGCGGTATTCTCGGCATCCCACCTGCAAACGGGCTTCTGCCTCAGGCGCCCCTTCACTCGGAATCCTTGATACATACCGTTTTTGAGCAGGATGACGCTGCGGTTGGCACTTCTTCCATCAATGAAAATGCTGGACAGAACAGGAGCGAAATTACATCCTCCACCGGATCCACAGAACGTGTCTTTACTCGCGTGTATGAACAGCGGTACTCGGCGTTCCTTCAAGCTGCTCTTATTTTGGCCTTCACGTCGCCTCCACTACAACGACTACTCGGGCTTACACCGACGTCCGTCCTCGCCGGCCTGTTTTTGTTCATGGGTTACCAGTCGCTGTCTGTGAATCCTATCCTCGCCCGGGTTGCGTCTTTATTAACCCCGCCCTCCGAGACGGACACGCTGACGCAGTACAACTTGCCTAATAATGTCCACTGGGCGGCCATCCATTTCTATACCGTCACACAAATCGTCGTAACCGCGGCTGTATTTGGTGTCACACTCACTGTAGCCGCACCCATATTCCCAGTCCTCATCATTGTCCTTGTCCCTCTACGATTGATGCTCATGAACAGGATCTGGAGCAAGGAGACGCTCCGTTGGGTGGATGGCTGGGCGTGTCGTGAAGGAAAGCCCGAAGACGAATCATCCCTGGAACAAGGAGATGACGGTGGAGAGAGTGGCAGTCGGATAACAGCAACTCTTCCATCACCAGATGAGAAATGCGGTTCTCGGAAAGACAACATAGGAGAAGCACTCTTCTCAAGTGACCAAGCTGTCTCCTCTGGGATAAGTAGCAACCTTCCTGGAACCTGTGCAGAAGACAAGTTGAAGTAGCCAGGTGCATGCGGTTTTAAAACTTTGGATAGGGTATTCTTGATAGGTACCGGGGGGCTGTGTTAAAAAAAACAAATACGTATCACAGAATTTTCCTTACCACGTAAGACTTCTATCATATCATATTACATCTAATATCAGCCATTGTTCGTACAACTGCCAGCTGTGACGTATCTAGTATCTATGTTTACAGCCAAATACAAAAAGCATCTCAAAAACACCAAAGACTAGTATTGATTATAAGGAAACAAAGAGGAAAACGCCAAATATACCCCGGAACCAAAATATAGAGTACTCCAATGCGCGACGCACACCCCAAAATCGTTTCCCCAGCGAAAAGTTCATGATACAATCATTTCGACATTTCGTGTCATGATTCATAAAGATGGTTGATACCGATGGCCTTCTGTGATCGGCCACTTGGTCGGTTGGTGAGCTCCGTATACCGCCGAACTCGCCGGATACCCAGTCGACGGTCATCACCGGATGTGCCAGTGGCAAATATCCAGCGCGACCGCGCGGTGGGCAGCGACTTCACCCCGAGCTGGTCTAGCAAGGTTATTTTGTTGTGGGCGTTCTTAAATGAGGGCTCCTGCATCAGGTCATCATTTGCACAGAAGCTAAGGATCTCAGCTATGCAGGTGACGCTGTGCGGCAGGCGGAAGTTTCTGCGGCCAGGAAGCATAGTGAGAAGACAGATAAAGTTAAGCACAAGCAAAGCGAGGCAAATGGCAAACAAAGCCATGTTCGGCACCATGCGCACTTCCCCTGTCGATATGGTCAGTGCCATGAAGACACCGCCAACAAGGGCAGGAATGAATGCGGAAGCGGTCGTCATCAAGGAGAAAGTCGCAACTCTCCAGTGGCCATTTCTTGCGGCGTGCCAGCTGGCCTGGAGTGAAAAACATGCAACGTAGTCGGCCAGAATGGATGCAGAGGGTTGAGAACCTCCGGCATTCGCCGACAACTCCGCCCAAGGCTGCAGGATTCTTACTGTAATATCGATGGATGCCAAGAGAAGGAACAGGGCTTGGCCAAGAAGGGCAGGGAAGAAGCTGTACAAGAAATTAGCGGCAGAAAACGCACCAGATGTCGGTTCGTGTTCAACAAGCGGCGGAAACCCCCGCTTGATGTATGTCGACGGCAGGAAGGACACGGTCATGAGGGCTAATAACAGAGCAAAAGCGGCTATCGCCAGAGCGAACAGAGGGCCATCTCGTAAACACCACGGCAAATAACGGTTACGGACGCCATCCGAGTGCGGAGAGAGCACCAATGCCTCCAAATCGATTCCATCTAACGCAGCGGCATTGGCACGGGTGCGGAGCTTTTCGTTCCATGATCGGGGAGACTTCTTTGTCGCCGGAGGCTCTGCCATGCTATGGCTACGGGCGTCGAGCCAGGCGTCGTCCAAGAGATCGGTGCCAATTCCATGCCAGATGCCATTCGTACGACCGTCCCTCCAAGCCCAGTAGCCGATCTTGTCGATGGCGCGGTGGCGAAGAACGCGGCGCAGGTCATCGCGGGTGGCCAGTAACTCGCTGCCTTTGTAATCCGTCATGGTGTTGCTGTTCGAAGCAAGAGTTATAAAGTCGGCAATTGAACGAGGGTCCCAAATGAGGCCCGTGGAATGGATGTGCCAGTCGATCAGAATGGTTATAACGGCGGCGGTGAGGCACACGTAAAAAACAACCAGCGTCCAGGCGATACCTTGCACAGTTGCCCATCTCCAATCTCCGCCAGCAGAGACGACCGAGAAGAGCGAGCCCTGTAAAGGAACGGAAATGTTGGTCAACCAAAGGGTAAGAAGAGGGAGGCGGGTTCGCCATGGCACAGTGTTTGAGACTTGGGGCCAGAGGAACAAGCCAGGATAGAGGTTATCGAAAATGGCACCATTGCGGCGTTCTGGGTGAGGGTTCTCGAGTGCCTGCATGCGGGAAAACGGATGGATGCGGATGATTGTCGAGGAGAGATGAAGAGCGTAGAGAAGGATAACAACAGACAGTAGTTGAGGCAAGACCCGAAATATGAAGAATTGTCCACCGTAGTTGTTGCCAGAGTATCTGGTCAGGCCACTGTGCAAGTTGGAGTACATGGAAGAGAAAATGAGTCCGGCAGTCATGACGAGACATTGCAGGATAAAAAAACTCAGCGAAGCAGGTTGCAGTGCGGCGGGTTTGAAATTCGGCGCCGGAAAGACCAACTGCGTCTGTGGCGAGAAACTTTTCAAATCTAGGTAGGCCCAGGAATCTTTGAGATGGTCCGCGGGAAGAGAAACACGAGGCGGCTGCATAGCCGGGTGAACCAACGTAGAGATGGAGGAAGTTGTGCTGACGCGGGGTTCATGACTTTTACTGAAGTCTGCCGGCTGGGGTTGGTTGTCTCGTGCCCCGTGTGTGCCATCACAACGGGTAGAGAAGCGGTGATCCAGGTTGTGTTGGACAGGCGAGAGAGGTGCCGGAAGTTTAATGGACGCAGTGCCAATATTTGCTGCACCTCGAGTCAGAGACCGCGGCCGGTAGTAGCCAAGGCCATCGTCGGGAATATGGCGGAACGGAAAGCTGCTATGCTTGTTGCCGCTCGTATCGTCGGCGATGGCGTCCGTCGGCGACGAGCTGTGGCCGGTCAAGACATCGAGGGCATAGAGTATGTAAGGTGTGTCATCGACGCCAGGCGTGACGTTGGAAGCCTCACGGGCCACCGCATCTTTGAATTGCTGACCCGGGTCGACGAAAGCTGGGAAGGCAGCAATCGAGGCCGTACCCAGAGCCGGACCGCCCATGCAATCCGGTGGAACAGTAGTTGGTCCAAAGCGAGATGTCCGTTGTGCTGTGCCAGGTCCTACTGCCACATGCCTCGAAAGCGTGCCATGACGGGGAAGCGGGGGCCCGAAGAGTCGGTCTGGACCGTAAAGATCCTCGGAAGAGGAAAATGCGCCCGAGGCTGCTGCAGTGGTACCTGACGGGGGCGATGGTGCGTGAGGAACGATTGTTTGCAACGTGGCCGGTTCTTCAGACGATACAGCTGCTGCATTGGCCTCTGTAGTCCGAAAGCTAAGGTCAGAAGCACTATCATAGGTGTTTCCGGTAAGCGGTAACTGGGTTGTCTGAAGTGGCGGAGTCTCTGGTGAGAGTGGCCAAGCGTCCTGCGAGCCATAGAATCTGCGTTCTGGTCGGTCTATAAATATGGTGAAACCAATGTTAGCTTGTGCCTTATTCGTGAAAATAAGTGAATACCGTAATGGGAACCGAGCACTCCGTAAAGAGTACTCCCCGTACGAATAGCCACGTACAAAAAAAGATAAAAAAAAACGTACAGTCTTGGTCTGCCATGCTGCGGCCGGAATTCTCCATAGTCATCCTCTGATCGCCGTCGCCACCCACCAAAACTATTGCCAGCTACACTTTCGGTGCCCGAGTAGCCGATAACACGAGTCTGTGCAGGGCTGTACGTGGCAGAAATTGACGTCCGCAGCTCAAGATTGTCGAATTTCCAAGATAGCTATAGCAAGGTCGCCAGTCGAGGTGCCTATGTTGGGTATCTTGGCGCAGTTGCGGAGGATGTCTGAATCGGTGGACGGTAAACTCGCGGGGTGCGTTTCTTTTTCTTTCTTTGTGGTGGGAGTAGGGTCGTCGTGATTGGTGCTAGTGAGCATGCCGGTCGACAAATGAGACAAGCAATCAACATGAAATCTGAAAGTGAAGATAAAAGAAAAGTCGAATGCAATATGCAAGTCGGGAAGCGGCCGCATGGAGGGCGGCCGCACCGCAGAAATAGCAAGCGGCATTCCAGAGGCGAGGCTGGCCACCGTTCGTGACGACGCCTCGATTGGGCGATGCGGTGGTTGGTTTCGCGCGACACTGCACTCAATTTTGCAATGTCGAAACGAGGCTGTCACCAGCCTCCTCACGGACAGGAGTCAATAGCACTAAAACTACGCCCCTGACAATACGCTAATAGGTCGTCACGGCCACTAGGCCCAGGGGTGACACTTGGTCCGCGCTAGAAGTTAGCTAGAAATCCAGTGTAGATACAAAGTATGAGCTCAGTTTACCTCGTATATCCACGTACCGATACTTATAAGCACACAACGACTGAGTGGCTGGAAGGCTCACTCTTAGTGCCGCCTGCCCCACACTATCTGCCAGCCCCAAACTCCCCCTAGCCTTTCGAACTTCAAGGTACGATGTCACCCTTCTGCCTGCCCACCGCACCAAAAGCCGATCGCAAGCAGCCTTCCACAATTGAGCCTTGCTCAATGATTTTCCCGAAAGTCACCTCAGCAGTCGAATACTCCTTCACATGTTTACCGCACGGTACAACATACAGAAGTACTTCCGTCGGCCATACCTTAATACCAGCCACAAACCACCAACAACCTGGTCCATATTTATTCGCCGGGCCATACGATGTAGCTCTGTCATACCCCCCCCTGCTCAGCCTGCGACTTGTATGATCTCTCATTGCACCGCGTAACACCCCATACTGAGCCTCTTCAAAGTACTCCGCAGCGGTCATAGAAACTGTCAGTTCGTTGTAAGGAAAAAAGACAATAGATTATATGGCTACATTGTTAGCTTAGTCTCAACTGTATTCGTGCCGTTTGCTGTTCGAGAACGGTAGCACGCGTAGCACTTTGTTTTCTCTTCTTTCAATGAAAATCATCGTCGCCGGTATTCCCAAGAAAGTGTAGGAAGTCCCAAAATTACTCGAGCTTTTTGGAGAGACGACATTAGAGCGTCTCACACACCACTCAAGACCCAGCAATTCGTGTCCAGACAGACCATAGCTCCGTTCGAGAGTTCTTGCCTCATACGACGGACCTAGCCACGCTCTTGCCTGTTCCGGCATTAGAAACCTTGCCATCTCACTCGTACCTTCTGGCACCCCACAGAGCCCACGCGCGGTCAAAAGAAACGAAAAGAAAAGAAAACTGCAACGTACGAGAAATTATTTTTATTTCACTGCTCGCCAAGTTTCTCCCGACTATACCTCGGCAGCCAGAATTCCCACAGCACAAAAATTCGTCTTTAAGCGCCTCTCCCGCATTGTCAATGCCCGCCCACACATGGTGACAACGGACAGTACGTTCCCACACTTTAATGGCTGTTTTCTTCCACGTCTTTACTAACAGAAGGTCCTCCCATTCTCCCCTGCTCCAGGCTATTGCACTGCACCAGACTCGCCTGATTTGTACTTGGCGGGCAAGAGGCAGTAGAGACGAGGCCTTCGGTCTGCAAGCTCTGCAAATGCATGGTTCGGTATCTGACACGGTGCCTCGCAAGCAGCCATCATCCTAGGACCCAGAGTAGCTTGGATCAACAACTGCGTGACTACAAAAATAAACGGGGAGTCGGCTTGAACTCTCTGGTACGGCAACCGGACTGTCGACTATCAGCCGTGGCACATACGCTTGGCGGCGTATATCGGGTATACGCCAACCAGTTCCATGACCATGTCAGAGAACAAAATACACATTCAGCGCCTCCGACCTCGGCGTCTACTATATCCGACCCCGATCCTTTTTATCCAGGGCAGGCTCGATACCAGCAATGTGAGTTGCAGCCGCACAACAAAGCCAAGCCGAACGGCAATTTACAAGCCCCCACTGTTCCTCGCTTCTCTGTAGTTCCCTATTCTGACTGGGTATAAATGTTAGGTGTGGCTGACGAAGCCCGATGGTCGCCAGGGTTGGGCCTCAGCCTTCCTATTTATGGGTTACGAGGTCGTCCTGTTCGATTTCCCGTCCCATGGGCGGTCAAGAAGCTCCGTCACATGCGAGAGCGTTGCCTTGGACGTGGACCACATTGAAGCAGAAGTCACTGCGAGTGCAAAAAGCACACTGGGAACCCGGCCATCGGCAACGTGCCATGACAGGTGGCCAGGCACCAGGCTTTGTGGTGACCCTATATTCTCGGACTACTCGATGTCCCTCGACATAGTAATGGCAGATCATTCTCTGCTGCAGACACTTTCTCAAACTACTGTCGTGTCTGTTCTCAAGTCGCTCAAGGTCGCAGCTACCATCCTCATTGGGCAAGGCAGTGGTGCTACTGCGGCCTAGCTTGCCGCCGACCACGTTCCAGGGCTCGTTGCGGGTGTCATTGCCATTGAGCCAGATGGACCGCCTTTTGTGAGTGCAAGCCTTTACGGGCCCAAAGGACCACAACTCCACAATCTGGAGGCCTTTCCATGGCCAAGCAACCGTCAGTATGGAAATGCAGACGTTCCCCTGACATTTGAACCCCCATTACCCCCATGCGTTTCCGAAGGCAATGTATGGGGCAGCAACAACAGCGGTGCAACGGCCCAGTCGTTCGACCTAGCCCATCAAAGAGGTCGGGGCGAGAGCTACCTACTAGATGAGGCCTCACCAACTTCGGGCATATACAACCCGTTCAACGAGCCTGCAACAGTTCCTATTCGAAAGTTTCTTAACCTCTCCAGATTTCCCCACGCTGTAGTGACAGCGGAAGCCAGTTCCACGCATGACTGGGCCACAGTTGATTTCTTGATAAAGGCAGGTGTCCGTGTTCAGTGGCTCGAGCTCGCAAAGTTTGGAACACACGATAATGGCCACATCTGCTTCTTGGAAACCAATAGTAATACAATCGCCAACTTTCTGTCTGCGTGGATCCAGAAGTCAATTCCGTGTTCTTGGCCACCCACGGTGGCTTTACAGGAGGGAACCCAACCGTCCCGTCATAATTGGTCTTCCAGTTCTCACTCTCTGGAAGCTGAAAGCGACTCAGAAGTCGCCAACCATGCACATCGGCCATACAATGCAAACACTCGCGACGAGGATAGGACATTGGCTTCAAAACAAGAAGATCGTCTGTCCCTGATAACATCGTTCAAGGAGTTGAATCGAAAGTATCAAGATTCCATCCGCCGCACCATGGCAACCCAGAAAAGTGTGCACACAGTCACAATTTCCAACCAAGACATTGAATTAGCAATGCAACAACCCCAACCGCAAAAGGACCGCAGCCCCCATACACGGCCTTGCACAAGCGATCCTCTGCCCCCCGATCAGCTCGATACTTTGACATCGACCCAGGACGTGCCACCATTTTCGGTACTTTGTGCCCATAGCCATCTCAACCTCGACCAGACGCAATTCAATCAGTCCTATTTTGACAACGTGAAAGTCGCCCAAAGATATCTTGGACCTGTCCATCCTAAACAAGTCTACGGTGGTATGGGCAGTCTATCGGGTACCAGTATGTTCGGGACGCACGGCGCGGGAGGCTACCCAGACTGCTCCTTAGAAAACCCTGTAACAATGCTCTATTCACACCAATCTATCCCAATCCAGAGCTGTGAGCCACATGCTGATTATTGCACGGACCAAGGCTTCCCAAATCACCCTATTCCAGCTCTCGATATGCAGTTATCATTTGCAGCAGGTGCAAGAAGCACCGGTGAACCGTACAATGGTCAGCACCATAGGCAGCCAAACGGCCGGTATTCGTCAGGTTCGCTTCACAGTACGCAGGCAGTGATGTTTTCTCACGGGTTAGGCTTCACGCCAAACTCTGTGGGTAGCTTCCCCCCGGCGGAGACAATGCCAATACCATCCGAGCCATAGAACGGGGGGTGGAGTGCATCGTTGAATACGGCTTGTGAAGCGGCGTTTGCGCAGATGCATGCCCCGACCGGCGTGGCATCGAAAAGCTACACTAGTCACATTCTACATATGGCCGGCGAACGTAAAGGATCGTCCTCATATGGCAGTGACCAGAGCCTGACTAAGGTACGCCAGCAAACAGCAGAAGGAACTGCCCATCCAGAAAGGGCCCGAAGCAACCTAAAGTCACCTACAAACCAATTGCTTCGGTTCAGGGGCAGAGGGCCAGGAGCCGTGTTTGGCGGGGTGAGAGAGGGTGAAGAGAGATGTGCGCCCAGTGGTGCAAAGCGCAAACGCGATGACAGCACGACACCATACGGCACCGCAGTACTTCGGCGAGCGGTCTGAGACTTGCTTTCGCTGGGGAACATGGGATTGTGGAGGGTGAGCCAGGCTGAAGAGGGGAACCGTGCAATTATAGAGAGAGCGGCTGTGCTTGAAGTTGAGCTTGATGGGGCTGGGTGGTGGAATTTGATATTTGACCACGTGTGGCAGGATAAAATGGCGAAGGAGACCTTTCTTTGCCGTACCATTGTCCAGTAATTGATCCGATACGGAGTAAATACGGAGTAGATATGCGATAAATGTCCTCTTGCTTTGAGCAATATTAGCGTGGGCGAGGCTTTTCGAATATCCCTACACCATAATACCTTGCAGCATAAACACTGTAAAAAACTCCAAACATACCTTACCTGCATTACAAAGAAACCTGAGCCATGGCAGCTAATTGCACTTCGCTAGCGTACGAGACTTCTGAGAGCGGGATCCTATTGCGCCGTATTACGGGATTCTGTTGATTACTGCAGGGCAATATTAAAAATTCCTGTTCTACGATGGAGACAGAGTGACGGCCGGCCATCCTCGCACGACATCTCTGCAACCAAACTCGTTCCTCTACCTTCCCAAATATAACACATACATTAAGCCTCCGGTGGCTGGTGCGCGGTCAACGAACCACCATTGAGGCCACACCCAGCAAGCGACCATGCTGTCGACCGTTCTACCAAGTACTTGGAGCAACATGGGCCTGGGCGTTGCGGCGAGTTTCGCAATGTTTGGCCTCAGCGGCATCCTATTTCCTCGACACGCGGCAGAGTCAGCGTTCGGTATTGTTTCGGAGCCAGAGCCGGCCGCCGGCGTCCCCAGCAAGAGTGCGGCGGTGCTCTTGCCACCACTAATTGGGGTCCGAGACCTGGCAATTGCGGCGACACTGGTGATGCTGTACCATCGGCGGCTGAGCTGGGAGATGGGCTTTGTGGTTGTGTTGCGGACCGTTTTCTGTGCGGCTGACACGGTGCTCATCGCAAAACAAAAGAGCATGCGCGAGTACGTTTACCTCCTGTGCCCATTCCTGCTCTCGTCGGCTACCTTGTTCATTTAACTGACTCACCGGCGAACTATAGGGGTCTGCTTGCCAGTAGCGGCCTGATCGCTTGGCTTGTCATCGGTTTTGGGCTTATGTCGACGTCGAGCGCCCCGTTATAAAATGGATGCGTCGACAGATCAGCTCCGACTTCTTTTTCTTCGGCCCCCTCCCACAGAAGCATAACACGTTAGCAAGTAGATCGTTTCATTAGGGTCCTTCTTCAGGGCTATTGTGCTGAGATGTCGCTGTTCCTCCGTTGCTGGCACAAAGGCCCTGTGGGCGTCGTTGAGAGCATGTTGTGGAGAGATGACGTCACATGCTGTGTCCGGTTGTACCAGCCGATTCGCGTACGCTCTTTGGATCAAGAAAGTCGGCCATTGGCAAATTCAGCTAGATGTATGTTGTACTTTCGTGCCCAATGACATGCACGTATTAATACAGTAAATGCTCTGTATCGTACTTTTGTGTTTGGGTGTCTGAAATGCAATCAGCTTTGTAGGGCAGGCTTTGTGTGGGGTCAAGAGGCACCCTGCAGCATGTAATCAATGGGCACCGGTGGCTGGAAGCGGGCACTGTAGGAATGATCAAACCCGCTAGTCAAGGTAGTTTTGATTAAATATACCGACGTCACCCGGAATGTGGTGGCCCCAATGCGATCGCTTCAGGTCGTGCCAATTGATGGCGTTGGCAGTTGGTTGCGGGGTCAACTGGCGTTGTTGGTTGCACCTGTTGCAAACAAAGGCCTGGTAACCCCTGTGGGTTCGCATTACATAGCGCCTGCATTCACACGTTTTCACCCATCTTGCCACCTGCGAGGGAGTCCTCCAAACGTGAACAGTTACTACAAGTGTCAGGCCAGGCGCTGAGTGGCCAAAGTAGCCAAGTATTTATTAAGGCTCGGCGGCTCACAGGAGGATTCGCTGCCGTCTCAATCTGCCCTGTTCAAGCGGGAGACAAACGAAACCAAGCATACAATAACCAACCCTCTGATTTTCCGGCATTTCAAATCATCGTCTTAACCTCTCCCTGTATTCTTCTTAGGACAATCTTTCAACCCACTAATCCGCGCCCTCTCGCCTTTCACTATGGCTGAACAGAACTCTTCTGCCGCCGTGGACCAGACCCCCATCTCGCCGGTGCGCCCTACTAATCCTGTGCGACGCGACTCTCTAGAGCAGCACCTGCAGAACCGGCCCAACCGTGAGGAGCTTGTGCAGAGTAAGTCCGAGCCCGAGTCCGAGTCCGGGGCCAAGTCCGGGCCCGAGTCTGGATCCGTTTCCTCGCTATTTTGATGCCCATCTCATAAACCTGTTGCTATGGATTGTCCAACAACTGACTTTTACGCCAATAGAGAACATCCTGCCTGACTCAACAGCAGCTCCAGGCCTGCAGGCCCATCAGAAGCAGCTCGAGAAGAGCATGCGCGCAGATTCTCTCAACGACAAAATCTCGCACCGGCCGTCCCCCGAGGAGCTGATCAAGAAGGGCGTGCTCGACGAGGATCCGCGGTCGGCTGAGGAGCGGTACGAGGAGGCCATTGAAGAGGAATATGCTAAGCGGGAGGGTGGTGCTTGAGAGGTGTTTGTAGTGCAACCCGTTTGGGTGTAGGATCGATATTAGTTGGCTTGCTTGCGGGGAATGGAAACGTCTAATGTGGGGCGGCTTGATGCGCCAGTGCGGTGGCGGCCAATGCAGAGCCCCTCGGGGGGATATGCCATCTGTATCATAATGCCTTTTACACGCTCCAGTATCGCTTTTTCTCCTTAGATTCCTGTTCCTTTGGGCTTGTAAGTGACGACAATGACAAGAAATGGTAAGATAGCACGTTAGCAAATCCGAAACAGAAACCTATAAGAACCCTATAAAGAAAACAATGTCGATAAAAAGAAAATATAGGGGCGGAATAGTGAGCGGAGGAAAAAGATGAAGAAGAAAGGGCGAATAGCAAGATGCAGACAGAGATAGAAGAAAGCCCAAACACCTAACCAATTCTCTAGCACACTGGACGGCAGGTAAAAAAAAAACCAACAGAGTAAGTGTTAATGCCTGGGCCACGTCAACATACCCAAGCAAAGACAAAATATCTTACAACCTAAAAACGAGAGTACGGGACATATGAAAACGCCTGCAAAATTCATCAACGCCAATCATACACAGGGATAATGTCCGTATACAATTGTCACTGAGACAACTTGGTTTTGTGGTCAACGCGTGGCAGGATCTCGCCCACCAAGGCGTCTGTGTCAAACGATGTTAGAGTAGACCGCAGCCGCGACTCATATGTCTTAGAAGAGAGTTGTCCGCTTACTGGAAGTTCTGCTGGTGCTGGCCGTTGATGATGGCGGACTATAGGACAAGAGAGAACCAACCGTGGAGAACGGGCCTGACGAGCTCCAGTAGCCCCCTGTATGACTGGTCCTATCGGACGGCATAAGGATAGTAATTCGTTGGGAATAAAGTGCGATGGATAGTCGGGCCAGACAGTCGCGCACACACCCACAAACAATGATCACGAAACACATAATGGACGCAACTAGATGAGAGTCTCGGCATCATGTCCCGGTCCCCGGTTTGGCGTATAGGCGCCTCGTGTATCATTATCGTGTAGGAGACAGTCCACGCCGTGTCGCTGACCGTGTAACAGCCTGTACATTGGGACGAACTCAATGCAGGCCATATTTTGTGTCCTTCCCCAGCAAGAGCAACACGTGGCAAGGTTTAACAGCCAATACACAACCCGCCCATAGAGACTTAATATCCCTACCCCGGAGGTTCACCGCCGACAACTATCCTGCCGACAAGCGCAGGAAACCACTGAGAGATGAAAGTAGGGCCGGGGGGTAAGTGATGGTAGCCTTGCGGCCTTGGTGGTCCTGCTGGCCAACCAATGCGGCTTCCAAGAATGGGGTCTTGTCTGAACTTCATCTCAGTTTGCAAGGCTGGCGGACTTTCTTGGAGTGTGAGTGACGACAAAAACGGCAAGAGGCCTCCACTCCTGCTTAATAAGCATGGACAGCTGCTCCTTGGCCAATGGAAGCTCAACGGAGGATAGCTCCAAAAGAACTCATACATTCATACTGTGGTGTATTTGACAGTTCAGTCTCAATTGAGGAGAGGACGGCAAGGCGATCCTGCACCTTCCTTTTTCACCACTGTACGACATACATAGATTGACAACACCAGACTTTTGATCGCACACACACCACTACGCAACATCCCAATATGCACGGCCTTCTTGCTTCGCTCTCGCTCATGGCGTCTGCCGCCGCTGGCGTCCTGGCTGCCGACCTGAAGATTGACGTTACGCTACCGGTTGAATGTGACCGCCGTACGCAAGCCAACGACAAGATTTATGTCCACTACCGGGGGACGCTGCAGTCAAATGGCAACAAGTTTGATGCCAGTGAGTCCAACTGCATTGCCAGAGGTGGCCCACAATTTCTGTCGTTTTGTTACGTGTTTAGTGACTCACGCTGCCGCGATCCTTTCCCGCAGGCTACGACAGAGGCACGCCGTTCTCCTTCGTTTTGGGCCAAGGACAGGTGATTAAGGGGTATGATAACCTGCCCAGCACACATACGGACGGGGTATCCCATCCTCTCCTCTATACTCACGCCCACGTTGCTAACCTCTGGCACGTCGTGTCTCTCCCTCAGCTGGGAGCAAGGTCTTCTCGACATGTGCATCGGCGAGAAGCGGTAACACCCTCACTCAACCCCCCAGCTTTGAGACTTTGTCTCCTCCCGAAGTAAGGTTCTAATATAAACGTCTCCCTTAGAACACTCACTGTCCCACCCGAATATGGCTACGGCCAGCGTGGCATTGGCCCCATCCCTGCCGGCTCTACTCTGGGTACGTTATGGCTCCCGCACCGTTGTCGGCGGAGCATCTGATTGTCGCGGCCGGGAAAATGAACTGAGATGGAGCTGAGGCAAGACCGGTAATTTGGCAGAGGCCCATGAACAGATTACTGACAACGTCCGTTGCCCAGTCTTTGAAACCGAGCTGATCGGCATCGAGGGTGTTCCTAAGCCTGAATCGATCGTTACGAAGGCGGCCACCGGTGACCCTTCCGCGGACTCGAGCGCCAGCACTGAAGCCGAAGCCGAGGCCGAAACGCCAAATGTCGCGGAAAAGATTGCCAGCAAAGTTGCAGAGGCGGCCGATGTCGTGAAGACGATTGTCGCCGACACCGACGACAGCCAGGAGCACAACGAGCTGTAGTGCCGTGTGTGGATGAATATGCGCTGGAAATCTCACATCGCCCACGCTGCCGAACCGTTCCCGGGTACATGAGCTCGATCGCGTGTGCCCAGACACCGAATATGACGACACTTCCGGCGGTGGTGCCCTTTGTGCAGATGCCGTGTCATATAAATGGAGACTGCTCAACGGATACACCATTTCCATGCACATTTTATATATACACATTACATCAGCCCCGGGTGCGATATAAGTACATCAACTACGCCATAGGACAAGAATATGCCGTACCTCAGAATGACAATCCCGCTTTTACGTGCGTCGCGTTGCCCGTAGAAAGTACATACCATAAACAGGGCGAAGTTGTGCGAGACGGAGAGCATTTCATGTCCAGCCACACGTAACGTAACAGAGCGGTCGTATTTCACGCTGTATAAATCACTATCCTTGCCTCAGCAAACGAAAAAATTTGCAGGTCGCCGTGCTCCGTAACTGACAAGACAGTGGCTTTGGGAGTACGGCGACGTGGGAGTGCATTCCTATGCGGGTATCGACTCTTCTTCATCATCCCCGTTTTCGGATCATCCTTTTCTGCGTTTGCTTCTCTTCTCTGCGATGCTAACTGGCTATCTCTATTTGTAAGCAACGTTTGTTGTCGTTGTGCTGCCAGAGGCCTCGTTTATTGAACACCGGCTAAATGTCGGATTCTAACTAGTACACGACACGCAACAGTTGTTGGCACAAGGAGCCGGTCAAGAAATCAAAGGCGAGAACAGCGAAAAAAAAATCAAACATGAACATTCCCCTCCAACAATCCTCAAGGACACAAAATCAGAACCCGAGGCACATTCTCTCGACTTGAGAGATGCCGGGGCGTTGTGACGGGCTCGCTGCCTAGGTCCCCAAACCGGCGTGCGCCCATGGGAGTCCGCAAGTTTTCACCGCCTCTCAGCTTTATCACCATTCACTATGCATCTCGGCCAGGTGACGACTGACGCTCGTCTACGAACTCGCCGGCGTTACACGCCGGGCGCTTGTTCCGCGGCACGGGGTGGGCGTTGCACCGCCTCCTGATAAAGGAGACAGCGCAGAAAGCCGCTTTAGCTTCATCAGTCATCAGTTTCATGGCCAGCTTGCGCATGACCTCTGGTGGATGGTGCTTGCGGTGCTGGTCATCACCACGATTAAGACATCCCATTTCCTTGTCGACCCAGTCGCCTACAGCGTTTTCAACGTCGTATTCGAGGTTGTCTCGGCATGTGGCTGCGTAGGCATTTCCATAGGCATCCCGATCTGGGCATACTCCGTCGGTTGAGGCTGGCACAGCGCAACCAAGGTTATATATGCTCTGATGATCTGTGGTCGAAACCGGGGCCTCCCTGTGGCTTTGGACAGGGCTGTTCGGCTTCCCGGTGAGCAACTGCACAGGGACGAGGAGGAAGACCACCGTATTCGAAACGGTGTCAACAGTCACTGTCTTAGTGCCGATAGAGTTGTTCTGGTATAATGAAAAAGATGGTTATGACATCCAGGGCAGAAAAGGTTGGCGTTTTCCGACGGGGTGGAAAGACCCCCTCTACGCGACGGATAGAAGTAATACAGAAATACATTATACTGAAATACGCAAGAACAGAGCGGAAAGCCAGCGGCCGGGCGATTGCTGCTGCCGGGCCGCCCCTCGTATCGTTGAGCGGTGAACGACAGACGCCAGACGATGAACGGATCGATACATATTTTCAAACTGGTTCTCCACGATCGTCCCTGTCGGGCTGTTGTCAAGTAATGAGAATGCAAAAGAGAAATAACAGGAACTCAAGAGAATGGTTTCAAACATTACTCTCTGTTAAAAACGTACGTTGAAATATCGTTAAACTTATAAGAAAAGGTTTACACTTCGACGTAACTTAAATTAACAGTCCGTGTCTTAATGTTTTCGACAGTAGGTGTACGGTTGTTGTTCTTCAACCCTGTAGGTGGGATAGGCACAGTTCTTCTCGTCTATGATGCTATGGCGTGCCGGCGGCTCTCCGCCGCGGGCGTCGACGCCTCCACGTTTCCCAGCCGTGCCGCTGTATCTGGATTGCCGTTGTTTTGTTTTTGTTTTTGTTGTTGTTGTTGTTGTTATCGTTCTTTTCACTGCTGTCCCTCACCCGTTCACGGACTCATCCGGAGCCAAAATGTCGTATTTTTAAACGGTAAATTAAATTGAAAAGGGTCAAAGTAAATAAATCGGGGTATTGAAACACACTGTATGATTTAAAAAAGTAAATTTGACCAAGATGCATGAGAAACACAGTGTGTACAAACCGCACGGTATTCACCCACCAGAGAAATACAATACATTTCGTACAGTGCGAGTTCTATGCCGGCTTACTGGCAAGTGAACGGCAGAACAAGATAGAGCGAGACAGGAAATGTCGTTTGCTTTGGAACTAGTACGATGTACACGAGTCGCGACAGCGACCACAACGGTGCGTTTACAATCGTCAGCAATCATCTGTTCAAATGTTCCCGGTATATTGATCGGCTGCCCACATATGGCTTGTGCACTGCTCAGTCTACATTTGGACTCGCACAATGGGCTCTGCACAAGCCTTGGACCTTCAAGCCACACCCGAGGACTCTGGTGAGGCAAGCGCCGCAAACAGGTCAAAGGAGACGTTTTGCTTGGCTGATGACCACGAGGATGATAACGACCCGGCCCAGTTGACGATCCAACCGAATGATTCAAACCACCCATCGACACACGAGACCCTCAAGTACTCTCTTCTCGGCCCCTCATTGCTCAAAGCAGGACAGGAGTCGGTTGACCAGTCCAAAGTATGTACATGACATGCCACACCCGAAGTACTCTCTTCGTAATGCTGCCCCGAACTTTTTCTAACGCCCGACGTGCAGGTATCGGATGTCATATACCATGCATCCAAAGGCTCCAAGTATTTTGACAGGGAGGAGGAGAGGGACAAGCTACTGTCCTTAAAAATCAATCAAATCCTCTCGAAAAAGGCACAGCTCGAGCGCCTGGATTTAGCCCGTGATCTGCGACTTGTCGATACACTCCTCTCACAGCTAGAAAATGGGCGCGACCTCTCGCAGTTCATCGTGCACGTTGACTGCGATGCCTTCTACGCATCGGTCGAGCTTTTGGACCGCCCAGAGCTGGCGGACGTGCCCTTTGCTGTGGGTAGAGGAGTTCTTTCGACATGCAACTATGTCGCGCGCAAGTTTGGATGTCGAAGTGGTATGGCGGGCTTTGTGGCAAAGAAGCTATGCCCACAGCTCGTGCTGCTAAAGCCTGATTACACAAAGTACAATGCGAAAGCTCAGGATATCAGACAGATCCTGGCTGAGTATGACCCTCGTTTCGAGAGTGCCAGCATTGACGAGGCGTATCTTAACATCACACAATACTGCTCTTCGAACAACACGTTACCCGCTGCAGCGGTGGAGAAACTTAGGCAGGAGGTTGCTGAAAAGACTAAGATCACTGTATCTGCAGGTATCGCGGCCAACACCCGGCTCGCCAAGATTTGTTCGAACATGAACAAACCCAACGGACAGTTCATTCTACCTAACGATCGAGACGCAATCCTGGACTTTATGAAAATGCTACCCTGCCGCAAAGTCAACGGCGTTGGCAGGGTCTTTGAAAGAGAGCTCGCGGCGCTCGGCATCAACACTTGCGGAGATGTATTTGACCAGCGAATGTTTCTCAGCCAATTATTCGGGAACAAGGCCTGTCACTTTCTTGTCCAGTGCTACCTGGGCCTTGGAAGAACAAGGGTGCAGCCAGCCGAGGAGTACGAGCGGAAGAGTGTAGGCACCGAAAGCACCTTTGCAAGTATTTCTGACATTGGCCAGCTACGCCAAAAGCTGCGGTGGACAGCAGAGGAACTTGAAAAGGACCTGAAGCGCGCCGCGTGCAAAGGACGCACGCTGGTCCTCAAAATCAAGCTACACACCTTTGAAGTATACACCCGACAGGTTGTCTTGCCGCGGGCGCTGCAACAGGCCAACGACCTGTACGGCTATGCACTTCCCATGTTAAGCAAATTGGAACAGGACATACCCAACATGACCGCCAGACTTATGGGCTTGCGGTGTACTCATCTGATGAGTACCAAGCGTCCTGACGCCCTCGCTTTTTTTGGAATCAAGTCACCAGGAAACACCGAAACCTCGAGCAACCAGAACCCCGACAACAGAATAGAACGTGAGGAGATAAGGGAACCTATTGATGACGACCGCGAGTGGGAGGTTTGGCCCGAGGCGGAGAGTGATGGCGGTGGGATTCTTAAGCCAGGATCGAGGGACTGCAAGGGAGGCTCGGTTGCGCCACCGCAATTGCAGGGACCGCCTCTAGAGAGCGAGTTGTTAATCAGCCAGCCGCCTGCCGAACCTGCGGTACCAGAGCCTCGCCCCCACGGCAAGACCATTACGGCTAACCCAACGAGCAGCAGCAGTGGTTGGGGGCCACTATCAGAGAAGAAAGAACTGTGGTCATGCCCTGTGTGCCTCCGTGGGCAACCTGCCGACGAAAAACAATTCAATAGCCATATTGATAATTGCTTGTCTCGTCGTACCATCCTCGAGGTTGTACAGCAGAGCTCGTCTGCGCCAAGCCTTGAAAAAAAGAGTGTCGGGGCGAAGGCTGACAAGAAACGCAGTCGACCAGCCGCGGCGGCGGAGAGTCCCAACGACCACCGGCAAAAGAAGATCAGTTTTAAAGGCGCATAAGTTATCACAGTCGTTATACAAGTTCGTCCTTGAAAGACTGGAATTGGAATGACTACTACCTAGCCATAGTTATATATATCCCAAATTTGCCGCATGCCCAAATTCGAAATCGAAAAAAAAAAAAAAATAGTTTCCAAACGCCATACGCCTGTTCGCTCGTGCCGAAATTCGTTACCATTGCCCTTTCGAGCGTGCTTTGTTAGCTCGCTTAACCCATAACCGAATCTACCTCTTTGTAAACCGTGGCTCCATTGGGTCCTTGCGACACATGCATGGTGCTAACCCCTGGTGTGTATCCGTCAGCCTCTATCACCAACGGTGTTCGTTGACGTGATACTGGCTGGGCAATGTTCCAAAAGCTGTGTAGTGAGCGCTGATTCTGATCTGTATCAACACTGTCCAGGCCGAGACTGTGCTGTCCCTGTAATGCCGGAAGATCGTGCTGACTATCTTGCCCGTCTTGGCCGCCTAGGCCCACCATCTGCTGCCGATTTTGTCCTGGACCCGATGATAGTCGGACGCGCCCCGACTGCTGCGCCGAGTACAGCAGTTTCAGGGTATGTTCTTAAAGGCATGCGCGTATTAGTCGCAAAACATCATGGGTTTGTACATGCCCGCCGTGTGCGAGCTCTCTTCAGAAGCAGGATGTGCTTGGAGACGTACCGTGGACTTCAGCCTCCGAAGGCCGGCTGTCGCGGTACCGTTTCAGTGTCCGGCTGTTGAAATGTAGAGGCGTTCCGCGTCCGCGAAATATCGCTGGCAAGGTCGTGACGTCGTCGGACGGCGACGGCGAACTGCCGAAATCTGCCGTCGGCCTCGGAGGCGACGACAGAGTGGTGCTGCATGAAAATGAAAGCTCCGAGTCGGAGCGTTTGCGCTTTAGTTGGAATGCCATTTTAGTCAGTAAGAATACATTTGTAATGTGCGCGGGGTGCAATTGGATTGAATCGAGAAGCGGCGAGGATGGACCAAGTTGGAAGCGTGAAGCATGACCTGCGTGAGCGAGACAGGCAAGAGCCGCGAAGGAGGTTGGCGTCCAGTGGGGCGCGACGGTGCAGTAAACATGTCGTATTGCGAAGTGGAACTGGGAACGCGTTTTGTTGTCCTCAGCGCGTAAAGTGGTTTTAAAGGGGATTTTAGTGGGACACGTCTGCCCAAGTGGTATCATCAGCCAGCTCCAGTCTACACTACTCAGAGAACAGCGTACTTTATACACCGTAATAACGTTATACGATGAATCAAAACTATCCGCGCACTAATCCAAACAGCTACGGTGGCTAGTGTGTCTTTCCATACGACTGACTTGAACTGTTGTACTCTGAACACAAATAACCACATCTGCCAAAATCTGATCTTCTAGAGATGAAACGATGTTCTTAAGACCTTTACAGTCGTCATATAACAGCTTACCGATGCCGCTCTTGCCAGTGCTGACCAGCATGCATACTTGGCGGGCAGCGTCAAGATCCAGATAGCCCAATTGAGAGACAAGTGCCTTTATTTTACAGTGGCCGCTAGATTTCCAGCACACCCCTGATTCTGCAAATTCCGCAAAACACTCGACACAAAATCCCTCTTGACGTTCAAGCCGGCATACCACTGCTGTATAACGGCAAGCAGCCAGCCCATCCGGAACGGTACGTATTGGGGGCCGATGACGTGTGACGGCCACAAACGAATGGTCGGCAGTGAGGCATCACGCACGCTTGACTAGAACTGCCAAGCACGAATACAAGACATTTAGCAACGGGTAACAGGCCTGTATATTCAAGACGTATGTGAAAATATTCTTGGCGGCATATATGAACTGCCTTTGGGAGTGGGGGTGTGGCGGTTAAGAGAACGACGTGTGCTGAAACATGCATCAGTAGTGAAGAGGGTAGGAAAGAAAAGAAGCAGCGCAAACATGGAAAAGACATGAAAGCTCCAAAAAATGAATGAAGATAAGTAAATGGTAGATTGCTGATCCGAGGAAGGGACAAGGTATGGTTTTCACAAAGTCAAATGGTGAGAACAGGTATTACATCAAATGATGGAAGAAGGGAGCAAATTTAGAGGGAGATAGACAAAGACAGAGACTGAGAGCGGGATAGAGGGAGAGAGGGAGAGCGTGTGTATACGTTTTGCGATATTGCAAGAAATATGGTCGATGTAGGTCTGGCCCTGTGTTCACACTTTAAGCACCAAAAATTCTGACCTGCTGTGACAAAGCGAAGGGGTAAGGGGTAAGGGGTGAAAAGCGACAAATTTAGTTCTCGACCGATTTTCGGATCAGTGAATCGGATGGCGCTACACGCTGTGCCCATTCGCTAGATACGGCCAGTCAGTATATTAACATTCGATGGCCTCAAGACTTGCAAGCAGCATTGCGTGCTATCGGGAAAACTCACGTCCAGCTGCCATCGTAGACTCTCCTCTGCTCAGGAGAACCATACTGCGCCTCTCCAAGTGCAGTTTCTATCACACACGCTGTGACCCCCGTGCCGCAGCTTGAGATGATGGGTTTTTCTGGGTCAATGCCCTTCTTCTGAAACAGCTCCCTGAGCGCGTTTGCAGGGAGGAAGGTTTTCGAGGATGGGTCCAAAACAGCGTCGTAAGGGATGTTGACAGCGCCAGGCATGTGTCCAGAGGACAAGCCGGGGCGCGGCTCCGGCACGGCGCCAGTGAAGCGACCACTGGACCTGGCATCTATTATTTGGACACCTTCGGCGCCCTCCTTGTTGTGGTCAAACGCCACCTCTCGGACATCTTCATAACTGGCCACCTTAGTACTGTCGACTTCGGGAATCGGGTAAGCGCAGCATTCGACACTATAAACCTCACCGCTCTCCGTGGGCAAGCCTTCCTCTACCCAGGCGCGGAAGTTGTTTAAAATATGGACCTTTGGATGGCCAAAGATCTTCAACGACCAGCCTACCCGAGGCGCTGAGAAAATGCCGAGCTCTTTCGAGTCGTAGACAACAACAGTGTCCTCCTTGCGAATGCCCAACTCTGACATCGCAGCAGCAAAGTCCTTAGCACTCGGGAGCATGTGGGGGTACGGTGATCGTCGGTCAATCACCTTGTCGAGGTCGAAATAACGGGCTTTCGGGATTCGTTGCTTGCGAAACACCTGGATACCGGTCCGGCCTTCGGGGTCGTTGGGAAGGAACCAAGACGCACATAACGGAATCACGCGTGGATCTGTGCTTATAGAGGATGGCGGGTTCTTCTTGAGTGCGTCGTGCAATTCCTTGGGGGCCACCAGGTAAGAGGAGAACGAGCGCTTCGTCGTCGTAGAGCGCAGGCCAGATGTCGTGGAGAAGGCGGAGAAAAACTCGGCGCCGGCCCGGTACAGAACCAGGCGTGGAGTTCGCATCGTGACGGCGACGTGGAAATGTCAGGAGCGTGAGATTGGTGCACGATCGTCTTGTTTTCGCGCCAGGGTCTGTTTGAGAGATCTCGCCGGTGTCTAAGTTGCTATCATGAACGGCTATCCTGTCGTAGCAGCAAGTTCATCGACCGACTGCTTATACTACAGGCAGAAGCCGGTTAGCCCTTTGTTCTCAGTCTAGCTTCCCCGGGCAGTGGCACTATGGCCCTTACACCATGCTCCTTGGTCAATAAGACGTTCACTCCGTGCTCATATATGCGTGGGGAAGAATCCAGTGTATCTCGTAGAGCGCTGCTCTGATATTGGAATGGAAATTTTCAAAAGATTGCAAAGTTGGGGAAGGGGAGGGAGGGTGAAGGTTCCTTCCGTGCTTTTCATACCGTGTACACGCCCAAGGCTGCAATACTCATTTCTCCGTCTCCAGCTTTTGCAGAAAGGCCACACTTACGGCTCCAAATTGGTCGTGATAAGTGGTCAAACCCGAGTGTCAATGGACTGAGAAGGCTGCGGGGTTTTTTACCTGGTTGCTTTTTTGTCGAATGGGCGATCCTAAAACGTAGACGCAAAGCTACGTTCGTTTGATTGGCTACTGACTCTCTCCCGAGGCAGGCACCGAGGGGTTCTGAGCGCACTGGGCGTTAACTAATATTACTCCAAACTACTGTTTACGGAGGAACAATCAGCCATGCCTTACGACATATTTCGTGCTACGCCAACTACTACGTAATTACTCCAAAAGGAAACCCCATTACCTTAATTTTGAAAAAAAAAGCGATATGCGTTCAGAACTCTCAATCTGGCACACCGTCACCACCTGCTGACCGCAATCCGGTTCTCAGCCCCGTCACAGTATGAAGGTGAAGATACAAAAATGGCACGGCGTTGCCACATGGCGCTGGGACCTTCCCGAAGACGATGTGTGTGGCATTTGCCAGAACCAGTTTGATGGGACATGTCCGACATGCAAATACCCTGGCGACGAATGCAGCCTTTGTAAGTCCAAGTACCCAACCGAGCCTCTTATGTTGACTTTTTGATGTTGCTTGCGCTTGGTGCTTGCGCGCCGTCCGCTCTGCGTCCGCTATTCTCGTTTGCTCAGTGTTCCTGTGACTGATCACAACGGCTTTGTTAGTATCTGGCAAATGCGGTCACAACTTTCACATGGTATGCGCTCCATTAACTGTGCTTTAAGCCACAGGTCCAGAGGTTCCTTGGTGACACGACAGCTTATAATGGCTAACGGTCGCTATTTATTTTTGTTAGCACTGCATATCGGAATGGATAAAACAAGAGTCTGCCAAAGGCCAGTGTCCTATGTGTCGGCAAAGTATGAATGTACCCATCTAGGAAGCTCATGGACTGCCCGCCCGATCATCGGTGTTGTCCAACGCGAGGGCCTCGACCACCTGGACAAGGCGTCTCGTAATAAGGTGAAACGCGACTAACTGGTGCTCACTGTACAGAGTTCGAATGGGAAGGTGACGAGGAACCAACATCCTTGTCACAAGAGGACACAACTTTTGCGCCTGAGGTAATGCGCGAGACATAGATCTTGGCAACGCGCTGTATCTCGACTGTGCTGCCGAAGCTACAAAGGACCCTGACGGAGGGCGCTGGTGCAACGAAAAGCTTAATGCTTGTTTGTCTGCGCCTTCACCTGCAGAATAGCTGTCATGGCCTGACGCTAAAAGAACAAAAATGGCCACGAGAATACGAAATATTAATGAGACACCACTAGGCGTTGTCATGTTGCGGCGCAGACTGTTGTTTTGTGAACGCTGTCGCACGGAATAGGCCCTTCGTACTCTGTAATTGAGTGGAAATCATAGCATTACTAAATCTTCTTCGAGAATCACGTGAATGTAACGTCTAATCTCTCGCCCCGTATTTTTCTTACGCCCAATAGTTCCACTCTGCAGTGCCTTCTGCGGCAGCGTTTTCGTACTTTCGGCATAGGTACTCCACGTGCAACGGTTATGTGCAACTCACAAGGAAACTTGAGCAAAGCGAGCGTATTGCACCTCGTCGACCGCAACAATCTCCATAACCCAAGAAGTTGTTGCTGCTAGTCGCTTCGTTCTGCTCTACACGGAGCTTTCCCCGAAGCACATTTGTTGCCATACCATTCTTGCGGAAATGGGTAGCTCAAGCAACAGCATAGAGCGTCAAGATCAAAATGCCAGCCTCCAACCTTTAACAAACAATACCGTACAGCGCGACGCAGATCGAGTATCTGGCTCGTTGGGAGCTTTTGAGGCTCTCGACAAGCTCTCTGACGGTCGTTGTCGGCGTACTCCTGGGACAATATCGCCCGACCAAATTGTTCCGAGCCTTCCTGATGAATCAACCATCCGAGCTCCAACCGCCTTTCCACAGCTAAAACCTTATTACTCGGTCGTTTCGGACGCCACAAAATCGTCCACGTCACCTGAGACTTTCTATCCTCGCGTCCGGTACATTTTTAACGACGATGATCCGGACTTGCTTGCAGAAGCGTTTGTAAAACAGCCCGGCGTGCTGCATACAAGAACAAGAACGCCGCACGCATTCTCTCATACGTCCGGAGAACCTCGAGCAGTCTCAGCCTCTCGGTTCCAGCGGTTTGATCCAAACCGAGCGCTTATACTCGAACTGGATATCACATCGGACGGTCAAAGATATACCGTTGCACAAGCCGCTAGTTTAACGCCAGACTGGGCTGTCACAAGTGCCCAAGTGCAGTATCCTCAAACCGGCACGCCTGGTGATATGCTAAATGAAGAAGATGACAAAGCATTGCTTCTTCATATTCGGGGGTCGGGTCTTTCGGCCGACCCGCTCAGAAACGATGAGGCGCCGATAGTCGCAAATTTGACGCATAGATCGGACGGAATTATAACATCATCAGTGCAGGGTGGGAAACCCACACCTTCAGGGGAGAGATATGACTCGCTGGTGCAATCATTTGAGACCCGTATGGCATTTTTGCACAACGTCGCTAACTCAGAGGAAGTATCTCGTTAAGGTAGATGGCTATTGTAGGTCCCATATCACCAACACGGTAACCCCCGATATGATAATTTCAACCATTGCCCCAATAAGACTCAGCAGACGCAGCCATGTAACCATGATACACGTTGTATACAGTCCTCCTTTTGTGAAGGAAATCCATTTAACAGTTGCCCTGAAAGATTATCAATCTTGTATCTCAAGTGGTTTTGAGGGATATTGGGTAGGATTTTCCGTGTTGCATTGACATTGATACATCGTGATCGCGTGAACATATCAGTATGTTGTCCAATCAACTTAGTGAGAGGTAATCACAGCTTCAAGTTGATAGTAACGGAGAGAGATATAGAAGGCTGCCCGAATGCTGCAATATTGAAAAAGAAACCGATAACTGGAACAAAATGGCACTGTCGACGAAGAACACAAATGAAATAAGCACCATCTCCCCCAGCCCCCTCTTCTTACAAATAGTACGGAAAAAAAGACAAGAAAACTAGAGCACTGTAAGTAAATGTGGCTGACTTCATAGCCAATCGAACAGCGCTAAAACGGAATGCAAATAAATGAGGAAAGAAATACAAATGAAATAGTGGCAGTGCAGTCTACCCACAAAAGGTATAAGACGGCACATGGACCGTATGACGACAGAACATGACTGGGTGGCCGCTGTAGGGCACGTCGGGTTTTTAGAAGCCAATGCATGCTTATTAGAAGGAAAAACACGATACTTTGCGTCACCTGGACCACAGTCGACGAGGTGAGACTCTTCGGTGTCGTGGAAGAGACGCAGCATCGAATGCATTTACGTCAACGAGTGCCGCCTTTTCAAGAGGCGGTGTCATCTTTGGTGAAATCGGTATTTATGACGTACCGGCCGGATAGAGACGTCCGTGCGACAGCGCTCGCTAGTTCGTAGACGTGTGCCACCGACCGGTCATTGGCAAAGTCAAGGGCTCGCCCACCGATACTCCGTTTCTTGCTGCTGCCTTGCTTGTTGATCAAGACGTATACCACAACGATAATGACTATAACAAGAATGATTCCGACTGTGGGACAGTCTTGTTAGCAGGACACTCGCGTATAAGGCCATGCGTATTGACAATCTGCCAGAGCTGGGAATACGTACCGCAGATACCCAGACAAATCCACTTCTTTTTCCGAGTCTTCCTGGCCGTAGTGACAGCAACTGCAATCTCCTCATTACCCTTGTCTATGTTCACGACGGCCTCCTCAGCCTTCTGCTCGATTTGCATAACATTGACTTCTTGCTGGACAATAAGTGTGTCCATATCCTGGAACAACTGAGCCAGCTCGACCATTTGCTGTTCGATCTTCTGAAGTGCTGCATGCCGATCTTGGACGGCACTCAGAACGGCACGGGCCTGGCCACGACGGTCGCTCTGCATCATGGCCTGCTGGAACATCTGGCTACCAGCTGCCGTATCTTCCACAACAGCACGGACCTCGGATTCCGATGCGTCTGGCCGCACGATACGATATTGTCGAGCCATCTGATCTTGTGTTTTCTTGCGAAAGGCCGACTCAACTTGCTGGTAGGACTGGATCGCTTGTTTCAAGCGGCGATCAACGCGACCGACCTGTGGCGCATTTTTGGGTTGCTGGGCCTCCCTCTGGCTTTTTACTTGCCGCACCCGCTCAGTAAGTTGACGGTAGAGAGCCATAGTGTCCGACGCGAGAGCATCCAGCTGTTTCGACGTGGATGACCCAGATGAGTCGGCCTCGTTTAAGGATCGGTCTTGTAACATTCGCAATTGGTTCAGGTTCTGGTCGATTTGATCGATTCCCCGGTCGATGCTGCGGCACTCGTTCAAAATTGCATTCGGGTCGCCCGACGCAGCGAATGAGCCTGCATTTTGTGCGAGAGAGGCCATTTCCACGTTTCCTCCTGCAGGTTTAGAGAACCGCTATTTAGTATGCGGAACAGAGAATTCGGGCAACAATTAAACCATTTCTTCGTCTCTCTTAACGTACCTCCGTAGTCGTCACGCCCCATCGAAGGGGTTTGATTGTAGCGAGATCCAGTTCCACCCCCGGGGCGAGGGCCTTGGCCGAACGTTGCTTGCGGTGGTGCGCGCGCAGAACCGCCGTAGCCGCCATCCCCTTCCCCATTGCGGTCGTCGAAAGGGTTGGGTCTTCCACTGTATCTACCGTTTCACCGGTGTTAGCGAAAAATCAACTTAGAATCGTCCTGAAGGGCCGCATGCCAATATTCGCTCCGCACTAATGCCCATGATTTATTCCGTAGGGCGACAAAGACTGAGCAACCTGTCGAGGGTGACGGTAGGAGTGTTGGAGAGAACTAACCCGTACTGTGCCATGTTAGTCAATGCTTTGCATGTAATTATGACTGCTGACTGGAAAATGCAACTCAATGTCGAAGAAAGAAAGTTGAGAGTTGAGCATCGAAAGAGAACATCAACGAAAAGTGGAATGGTGAGGTGTGCAGGATGAAAGGAAGATAGAAGACTAAACAGATTCTAAGGATGGGAACGAGGATAGTGAGAGGGAGGTGAGAGAGAAATAACATGGGACAGATAGTTCAGCTGAGGTAAGAAACGGGACTGCTGAAACAGCCTACCAGAGATTGATACACTTACACTCATCTTGTCGGCGTACTAGCAAGGAGGCGTGGCAATATGTTGTCAGGCACGGCTTAGTACCAATTGTGTTGCATTAAGTGTCGCAGACCGGAGGTACGGAAGAAAAGGTGCTTGCCAGGTACGTGCGGTGTCTGTGTTGAGTATGAGGAGCTGCAGACGGAGCGGAATCCGAGGAATCTGTACAGGGAGGAAAGTTCGAGACAACGGGGCGCGAGGGAAGGGCGTCGTTGAGTATCAAAGGGAGAAGGCAACGATGTGCTTAAGCGAAATGGGCAGGTAGTTAGTTGACCAAAGGAAGGGAAAGGAGATAAACTTAGCACGGAGAGGAAAAGAGTGACAAAGAAGAGATCAAAAGGGAGAGGGAAACAAAAACAAAAAAAAAAAAAATTAACTAAAATAGCAACAGAGAGTTCAGAGAGGCATGAATTCTGCGAGAAGAGAGGACGATGGAGCAATGAGGGAGGAGTGTTTCGAAAAGGGGCTGAGATGGAAATTGTTTGGCAGCGAGCGATCCTGGCCAGTCTTTGCCATCTTTGGCACACAGCTGAGGCGTATCGTTACGTCGGGAGCTCCAACAGAGGTTTAGCGCGCCCATTGGCGCTAGGGCGAGGTTAATTTTAGCACTCCGTAAGATAAAATGAACGAGGAATGGGTAAAAGCGACGCATCAGACTGCTAAGAAACTGATTGTGAGCAGCATCTGACGGTGCAAATCAGCTTTTCTGCCATGAACTGTGATGTCGTGCAAAATAGTAGTACATATCACACCGTCCAGAGCCAAACATTCCAAATGATAAGTGCTGTTGACGCGAATGACACTTAATAGATGTGTTTGTGATAGAATTAAAAGTGACAGCATATGGAAGGTTGGAAGAACAACGTGTACGGATAAGAAGGAGATTGGCGGTAATGCCAAAGTATAAAGATGCGAGTACAGAATATTTACCTTCTAATTGGGTCAGGGCCACTAGGCCTGGCCAGTTCGCTGGAGGCTGGGTCAGGGGTGACCGATCGCTCCCGGGGGGGGGGGGGGGACGGAAGGGGCTAGGGTTCTGCCGTAACAGCGAAAATACTAAAACTCGTTTCAAAATGTTGATCGGCGACTTAGTCGAGCGGTTCAGTCGATGCTTCATCCCTTTTACATGACATCCAGCTGGAGCAGTGAACTTCTTGATCTGACACCGGCTCATTCACATTACTTCTACAGCCAGTTCATGCAAGGAACGAGAAAATGTATTCTGACAGAAAAAGAAAATGTGGAAAGAACATCGTTTGTCACAAATAAGTATGCAACCAATAAAAGCCATTCTCGGTATGTATCTTACGATGTTGTGTGATAGAAAACACTATCTTACCAGAGAAGCTTTGCTAGTAGTGAACGGCATGTGTTATAGGGTACTTATTACGCCGCGTCTTTTCCTCATTCACGAAGACTCTGCTCGTCCATGGTCGTAAGAACAGATTATGCATCAAGTTGGGCCCATTACCACATCTGGCCTGAGCAGCCAGGGGCTCAATCCATCCCGTCCGACCTCCGGCAAAAGTTCGCCGTTCCCAGCGTCGACATCCGTAAATAACATACGGAATTTTTCACAAGCATCAGCCACACCGGCCTTCGATGTGGTATTTGAAGCCGGAGCACGGACCCTTCTCAAAATACAGCATACGCAGAGGCGTAACTCACGCTCGAGTCCGAGGTGGAGGAGGCGAGTTCGCTTCGGTCGTATTTCACAAAAGCAAACTTCTTCTGCCCTTTCCCTCCAGCAGCCGCTATGGTTGTCGTCTTTCTAGCGAGCAACTCCAATGCCGCCATGATCACGCTTATGGGGTGCCGCCCGCAAATGGTGTTGTCTGTCAGGCGAAGATACCTGACGAAGTCTGCTTGCACTCCGGTTTCAATAATATTAAACGCAGCCTCATCGAGCGTACGGATAAATTCGTGGATAGGCGGTTCCGAAGGCCCAGGGCGTGACCCACCTCGAGGCGAGAGCGTGCGGATTTGGGTAAAATCGGCTCCGGGGCAGTATTGCCAGAATTGAAAGTTTCGGCCCCAGTGGCAGAAATCGGAACTGACAATAAACGCATTCTTCGGGTCTTCCAAGTAAGGTAGCAACATCTCGCCGTAGTCTTTCTCTGCGGCACCGTCACCATCGCCAACCATAATCGGAACGAGGGTGGGCCATGCATGGTTGTGGCCTATGGTCCTTTCAAGAACCTTCCAGATATATGGGAGGTGCATCTCGAGGCTATGCTCGCGCACGTCGTTGTGCCGCGGAATGTCGCTGAATCTTCCAGTTGCACGGAGCTCGGCCAGAGTATCCGCGTCGATTTCGAAGTCGCCAAATGGCGTTGCAAACCTCTCGAATGTCGTCAGAGCACAGCCGCGCAAGTAGAATGTATGGCTGGGTCCGAGAACAAAAACGCGCTTCGCATGTCGAAGATCAAGCGACTTGTACGCCCAGGCAGCACATGGGCCAGAATACTGATAACCAGCGTGTCTGTTCAACGAGCCAGGCGGTCACTGCGTCAATGGAGACTTCATGGAAACGAAGGTTGCGGCGTATCCATCAAAAGACGCAGGCATGAAAATCTTACAGGGAGGCAGGGGATGGGATAATAACATTACTCACGGAGCAATGACTGCCCTGGCGCCAGGAATGGGGAGGGCTTGTCCATTGATGGACGCCGGAACACTGTCAAGCCACCTATCCAGCTCGTCTGAAAGTTCGCCTTCATCGGACGTATACCAGGACCCAGCGTGGTCAGCAGCGCGCGTGCCTTTTAGTGCCATAGCGTCGGTCGAGCCACGGAGCAAAACGAAAGAATCGGTCAAAGGGGTCAGTAGCGAGAGGTATAGCCTGGTAATAAACGGTAAAAAGATTGTTGACCGTAAAAGGGCCGTGATAAGGCGCCCGCGCAGAAAGACAACGAGTCGGACCTCGGCGGGGTTGGTGGTTGTGATGCATTAATTATATTGTAAATCCCGTGCCAAAATGTGACAGAGAGACACTAACTCAACGACCCCACGAAATAAATGTCAGGGTGGAGTAACGGATATCGGCGTATTTTACAGCACGACTAGATGTGTGACTCGTCGTAATTACTCATTCGTGCAGGCAATTAGTTCAGGCGACGAAGTATTGACGTCGTGCGCCGTACGATTTGTACCGAAAACAACTTACCACCAAAACCCAGTTCATGCAAATTGTTGTTCCGTCTTGCCGGGGTCGTAAATATATTAGCGCCAAGCAACGTCCGCGCTTAACCTTACCACTGGAGCTTAAAAAGACCATGGTCTCAACGCGACTGATAATGATTTATGTGACTTTTAGGGCTTAATTGGCACGCGAACTTGACAGGATCTTCTACACTAACCCACTCCCCGATTCATCGTCAGATACGCCTGGTAGCAATACGTTACTACAGGCACCACCAGCATTCCACAAGCCCTCCACGAGGAGTTCTCATATCAAATACAGACAGCCTGCACCCTACCTCCCTTGGCGCCTTTAATCAACACGGCGTACGCGGCCAGTCTCGACGCTATAAACCCAACCACTCACAGTGACATCATCCGGGATGGCACTATGTTTTTTCAAGAAAAGGACATCGTCGCGCACGGCTTGGTCCAGATCCGGAAACGCCAGAAAATCGAGAGTGGCAATCTCTGTAGCGGCTTCCGGCCCCAAATTCTTTTGCACGAGCACATGGGCATCCTCATTGGTGAAAGTTAGCATTCCACAGCCGGTGTGCTTGATGAGAACAATCTCCTGGGTCCCAAGCAGCTGCTCTGAGATCAGAATGGACCGCAGGGCGTCGCGACCACTGCCCCCGGCGTTGCGGATCACATGGGCATCGCCCAAGCCAATTCCAAACGCAGCTGCGGGATCAATGCGTGCATCCATACAGGTAACTGTGGCGAAGGAAATTTGTTAGCAAGACTCTTGGATCAGGCGCCGGTTGGGGGGGGGGGGGGAATCGCAGCAATGTCAGAGGGGACTGGACGCCGCGGTAAAATAAATCAGTGGTAATATACCAACTAAGTACTTCTTCCCCGGCGGAAGCGGCAAGTCTCCTTTGGTAAATGCTGCCGCGTAGGCCGCATTTTTCGCCTGTAGGCTTGTTTGTATATCGGTCGTCATTGGAGACGGAAAAAGTGCAGTTGTCTTTTGGGTTATGTCGATTCGTTTTGAGTATGGTTGGAGATATTGTTCCAACGAATTTCTTTATATTATTTGATGGGACATAAATGCAAACCGCCAGATGAGATGCGGGCCCTCGAAATATACCCGTATCGGACATTTGTAAATATGGAATGGCGCAATTCTCATTAGATTGAGTAACATCAATCGCGGATGCCGCCTTGAGGGGTAGCGAGAAAGGGTGGCTGGAAAAGAAAGTTGTCGACTACCAGGTTTCTATTTACAGCCTCTCATTGGTGGTCATGCTAAAAGTGCAGAAGGTGCCAGTAGTGACGAATTTTCGCAATTGGCAGTCCAAGATGCGTACATAGGAGCTCAAGATAGACCTTATAATCCTAACGAGTACTGGCATGTGCGGGAATACCGCCGTGGGGAGAAAAAACAAATGGCCAAGACAACTTTGCACGGATCAGGACACAAGCAATGATGGAACGAAGGCTGCACAACAGGTATAGAAAGAGCATAATGGGCTTCGTTTTTCTTACTCACTAGCATTACCCTACTTATGTATCTTGGCTCGTAGATCTGTGACATGTCAATCTAACTGTCGTACATTTCTCGCCAAGCTCACCCTGGTGAGTCCTCTCTACGACAGGAAGGCGTTCGGCACCAAGTCTTCAGAAGGGCTTATATACTACGCAAAATCTACCTGCGTCACGTTGGCTTCGTACCATCAGTGCATGGTCCATTACGAGCCGCGGCATTTTGGCGCTGTTGGAGACATATACAGGGTCGCCACGTGGAAGAAACAGGACAAGACAAAAGAAGAAGGTTAAGAAGCCTTTGAATTTCAAAGACAAGAGAAATAAATTATTCAAGTTTGCACGCGGGTGGGTGTGTGGCCTATTGCCAAACGCAGCAACATCAAGATAGTTAAGCCCGCAGGATTAAAAGGGTATTGTGCTGATTTTAAGAGCTATTTTCGAACGAGAAGACCACGACAGCATAAGAAAACGATTTAACATAAGCGGAAAAGTTATCGGAGCGAAGTGACGCATTTGCGGTCATAGCCGGTGCCGACCAACTGAAGTCGCCAGAAAACATGACGCCTGTCGAGAAAGGAAACGGGCGGATTTGTCCGTGGATGTCCTCGCCAGAGCGATACTAGATCAGTGTGTGTTTAGTCAGACAGGCCCGCCGGCTTTGCCTTGCGCGACTCGTAGCCCTGCTCTGACCAGGGGAAGTGGAAGACAGGAACAACAAAGAATGAGTTGCTGGAGAGACGTAAAAAGTCAGTAACGAACAAGGGACAAAGTCGTAACAAAAACGAGACTATGGTTTGTGCGCCATGAGGGGAAAACAGTGTCGCAATGATATCAAGCCCGTTGCCTGGCAAATATTTTCCAACGATGGTAAATGACAGAAGACAGTGGAAGGGAAAAAAAAAACAGATATAAAGTGTCCTCGTTTAAGGGGGTTAGGGATTGAACGAGGGCCGCACCCCAAAAAGTACTTTGACTGAGTTCGAGATGAGGAAGGACGTGGAGCATACGCGAACTAGTTCAGTTGGAGGCAGATGGATTGGCCTAAATTTGTAGACAAGATTGGAGGAGGACAATGCACTTAAAATGTTGGGGGTGCTGGAGGGAAAGAGAAGCGAACATAAAATGAGAAAGCGCAAGAGAAGAATACAGAAAGCATAAATACGAAGGGGCAGATGCAACAAAGGAATAGACAGCAGGCCGAGGCGGAAAAGCAGCAAAGCAAGGCAGAAACCGAGGACTTGAGAGGGGAGAGATGGGGACGAAGCGATCACATACCTAGAATCAGCAATACCAGCAAACGCGTTGTACCAGGCGAGGAAAGCCGCGAGGAGGCCGAAAACGCCGCCAGCCTTGTTCAGGTTCGTGGCAGTTGAGGCATTGCCGTTGTCAGCTGTAAAGGCGCCAACGGCAAGGAACAGGAAAGCCAGATCAAGGGTGAAGAAGAGGCTAAAGAACATGACGGTCGAGCGGAGGGTGAGCAAAAGCATGACTGTCGTGAAAATGAACCAGCCAGTGAGGTAGAATCCAAGGGCAGCGTCAGTTCGGTCGGCGCCGCCCTTAGTCGCGCTGTACGCAGAAAGGAGGTCCCACTGAGGGTTCAGCAGGATGGAATATGACAGCCAGAAGCCGCCGTATGAAGACAATGCGGTCGCACCAAACGTGTTGCCAACGGCCATTTCCCTAGGGTGGCATTAGATGCTTGAAGCGACTATGACGCGGGAGAACACTAATCTTGCGTTTCAACACGTACCACATGCCAGCAAGAAGCTGAACGAGACCACCATACCCAAAGGCCAGAGAGGCGACAACGTTGGGCTCCGTTATACCGCGGGTCTGAAGGTTGATGAGAGACAGAACAAATGTCGTCAGGGCAAAAGCGCTGAGACCCAGAGGCGCTGGGTTGGCAAACTTGCGATGCGCAATGGGCTTGTACAAGCCGGGCTGGAATTCACCGCCGAATGCCGGGAGACGGCCCTCGGGGTCCTGGTATGACTGCGAGTGGTAGAGTGGGTTGCCGCCATAGTCAACACGGTGGACGGCCTGAGCGCCGTTGGGAGCAGCACCGGTCGCAGCGCCAACGTCCTTCTCAGCGCCAACGGGCGCAGCTGCCTCGGTGGATGCCATTTGTGGTGGTGGTGTTGATGTGTTAATAGTTGGAGGAAAAAATTAACGAAGGTCGACCTTGACAGTGGCAATATAGATGCAGAACAGAGAGCTCGTGTACATCAAATGAGATCGGACCGTCTTCTCATAAGAAGAAGGAAGAAGCGGAACAGGAGAAGGAAACGGACGAAGCGGGAAATTGGGAGAGGTGTTGTTTATATGCTGGTGCAACTGGACCTCAGAACTGGTGCTGGACGAGACTGGGAACTGGGGTTGACAGGCCCAAGCTATGTTGCAAGGGAGGGGGGATCTCCAACGAAGACGGGGGCAACGGACCCGGGAGGCAAAAGTCAGGATAGAAGCTGTCTAGTCGCGAAGGTGGAGTATGATATAAAAAAAAATCAAATAAAAAATCGGAAATAAAAAAGGTCATATGGCCGAACCCTCGATTTAGAGTATTACTCCCTGCCTCCGTAGGACGGAAAGAGACGAGAGGAACGAGAATCTGGACAGGACAAGTCTGAACATCTGAAGAGAGAGAGAAAAGGGTGAGGATCAACACGAAAGGTGTGGAAACAAAACACGGAGATCAATCAATGGGAAAATGGAACGCAAATCGCCAAAAACGGGGCAAAATTAGGCCCCATGTAAGTTGTGCAAGTAGTCGAATGGCATGGAAGCGGCCGATGTGACAAAAATATGGACAAATCACCTTGCCAGATGAAGAGATGCGCGTGGCACATATTACGACAATATATGCGCATATGGGCCACAAACATGCACAGAACTAGGGACACGGGAGAGGCGTCGTGGCTACATGGGCCTCTTGTACAATATACCATCGATGGTCCAGGGCTACGTAGCTAACTTACGTGTCCCGACAACGTGCCAATCACCCCCAAACTTGCAGGCCACACGCGAACTTCTTGATTGGCATGTAACAAGTACAAAGGTCAAAGTACAGAACACATTTACCGGTGAGCTTTCTAAATGGTCCGGCGAGCGACAAAGAACGGATGGGATTGCTCGGCATCACGATACAACGACCTAACAGCAGCGCCAAAGAACAAACAAGATTACTGGTGCACCAATGACACACTAGCACACCATCTTCGGAGACAAGGATGTGCCAGGACAGTGGGCCATGTCAATTCGAGCCATGAAGTGGCCGAGTCGCATCCCTTGAAAAGATCCACGACTGCGACGTGTCAGGACGGCTGGCCAGGCCATGCCACAGCACCCGTACCATGAGTGCCGGGGTGCATATTGTCCTCTGCGACGTATTACTCCGTATTACACACTTTAACGGGAGGAAGCACAGGCAAGGACGAGAACAAACAGCGGCCCGTATCTTATGTCTAACTTGGGGCCCAAATAGAACATCGCGGGCCTACTGCTGCCAGTTAGGTGAAGACGCAATAAACGGCGGAACATCGAGAAAACCCACTGACAATGAACCCAAGAACGGGACAAGGACATATTGTACATGTATGCAGCATGTTACTAATGCGTGTGAGTGATGATCGCCTGCGCGTTGAAATATATTTGAAGCCAGCACACCGGCCAGTTGCTGGTCACAAATGGCGATAGTGTGTATCACGTATGGGCAGAATCGGAGAAACGTAAACCTTGACCGTTAGGATTTCGATGGGAGAGAACTCCACCAGGTCCGCTTTCTTGCCAAGATTTTTACCTGCTTTTGTTTTCAATCTGCCCTTTTCCATGGGGATTTGCAGCCTCGAGGAAGGCACAGGTTGACCAAAAGAGGGGAACGTTCGGAAGGGGGGATGCATCCCGGGGAAAGGGAACTTGGGGTGATCAAAGGTCGGGGCCTTTTTAGAACGATGTTTTCGTGACAGACGAAGTCGGTGGGACCCTTGGTTCTGACAAGCATAATCTTGCCACACGTATTAGATGCGCCAAATAGAGAGACAAGTTGACCTAAGGTCAACTCACCTAACGATACAAGGTAATTACTGCACAAGCTGAATATACGAAGTACAAAGCAAACATGTGCTAGCTGGCCATAAGGCGACAGAAGACGCAACACACGGCCCGCAGGATCTCGGTCCTAAGTAATTACGCCTCTGTAAAGTTAGTACACATACCGGTCAGGTGGGAGTTCTCAAGTGTCGGCGGGGATACCGAACACTCGAGAGTTCCTGGAGAATATTGTTCAAAGCATTGCTTTCGTAAAGACTCAATAGCTCGCGGGCATGCAAAGTTGGTATCTGTTGTGAGTACCCTCGCGGGCATCTTCCCCAGACATAAAAAAGACATGCCTCCGTTCGCGAAAGTGATCGACCGCAAGTCGCCAGACCACTTGCTGCAGGCTGGTTTCGCCGTCCCCGCAAACATAGACAACCAGGTGGAGCTAAGATGGTTTCACTCCACTGTACCAGTCCTACTTTGGCCTAGTAATATGAGCGTCACCCAGAACACCACAGGAGGGCTTCTCTGATCAGGAGGCGCTCTGGCAATTTTGTCGGACAAGCAAAAAGAAAAGCTCCATACAGAGAAGAGCAAAAAGCCCAGGCCGGCAAATAAGGGAACGCGAAGGTAGAATTGGCAAGGGTAAAACAGGCTAAATTTAAAATACACAAAAAAGGAAGGGAAAGGAAAGGAAGACTTTTCGTTGCGGGCGCCGATCCGTCACTCTCCGCCCCTTTAACCCCACCCTTGCTGGCCTGGTCCACCAATACAAACGAGAGAGGCCATGGGATCGATGATGCTGCTTCCCGGGTCCTCTACCCGAACAACGAAGACTGGCTTTTCCTGCGACTATCAGACCCGTACTCCGTATATGGTTGAAGGATACTTTTACCGTTGCGCTTTGCCCCATTTGAATTATCCTTCTGGCCGAGATTTTTTGTTTTGTTTTGTTTTAGCTCCATAGCCTTCGTCAAGTAAACTGAGCGGAGAGCATTTAAAACGGGATGTTCTGCCAAACACATCGGACCACAGGATTGAGTAGCATCGCGCCAGAATCTGTGATGGTATCCACCAATCCAGGGATGCGAGTTCCACAAATCCACAAATGGAATGGCTGCCGATGGAACCTCGGCCTTCGTTGGCCGTCGTGCCCGGATTTCAATGTACTAGCCCCGAACCAAGAGAAAAGAAAACACTGAGAAAGGCCTGGGGGGGATGGGGGAAGCCCCGTCAGCGTGCGGAGTGAGCATTGGGTAAGTGGCCCATAAAAAGGGTCTTAAACAAAGAACCAACAATCAGAAAAGCAATGATGGGTCTTGGCGAGTAAAGAAAACAACTGAAAAGAGTTGCCTGATTTACCAGATCTCCCGCTTGGTCACAAACAAAAGGCATATTACTCCATATAATAATGCCTTAGCACTCTAACAGTAGGAGGCGTCCCACCAAAATTCTGTCTAAAGTACGCTATTTTTGGCGGAGAGCCAGACATTAGCGACAAGCAAGCAAAATAGCCAAAGTGGCACCCTCCCGTATTGAGAGCGAGACGAGAAAGTTGCGGAGTAAGTGACGAAAGCACCGAAAGCGCCGAAAGATTTCGCGCCCTTTTCGCGCGTGGAATACTAAGTGAAGGGATGCCAGCTGAAAGACACATGTCGTATTACGTTGCGTTTTACCTTGAACACGGCATGAAGTACGGTATTACAAACTATGCTTGTGGCCAGTTCGGAGACCTCCGCCGTTTGCCTTTCTCGACCGTATGAGGAGAACTACTTCCGAGCGTATACGCCGCAATGCTCAGTACGTTACCAGACGAAGTAAACAGCAAAGCGATACGAAAAGGGAAGCTGTCGTCAGGCATAACAAAAACTTTCATCGTACGTACGACGTACAGTGCATTAAAATACGAGCTACTCTGTGAGTGTACTAAGTAATACTCCGTACAGCGTATAAAATAAAGGGGGTCATTGCATATGACTGCGGCGCAGTGCCAAAAATGGGTCGCCTCACCCTTGGGAGTTTAGAGTAATCTGGAGGCTTCGTTTGTATTTTACAAAAGGTCGCAACCGGAGGAGAGATGCGAAAATGAAGCAGCGTTGCAACCAACAGGCGGATATCTTGTGTAATGGAAAAGACAACGAGTTTCATTAAGTGAAGTAATGACCGTTCCCCTTTTCTCGGTCTTTCTGTCGCTCTGTCCGTGTCTGTCCTGTTGGAGGGACCCCTTAATTTAATTACGAGCACGAAGTAATCTTGGATGAAATACTCCCACATCTCTCACACCAAAAGAAGAGCATCGCCATTCCTCTTACGACGTACATATATGTGACGTGAAATATGTGCCAATACAACTTTCAAGACGTCGGGCGGTTAATCTTGCAAACATATGTCACGGAAAAACGGGCTCTCCACGTGGGAAATTGGTAGTGGTAAGTAAGGTTGCGGTCAGGTACGAGCCCGGGACGTTCTCGAGCAGAACCCGACGTTCACAGCACTGGGGTGCTGCGCTATAAGTATGCGTTACAATCTAACGGTGTGGTCGGACGGTGCGTCATGATTCAGTTCAGTTCGCATTATAAGAGGTGAACTTTATAGATTCGCGTCTACAGCCCTCCATCCCCAAGTACGCGACTTCCTCACGAAGTATAAATTACGTCGTACGAGCCAACATATTTGCGCTTTCCGTACGTTGGTCACGTAGTGCACCACCGAAATCTACTCCTAGATCGCATGGCGGTTTCCCCACAGGCGCAACACACACATGGCCTATGGCGCCTTATCAAATACAGCTCATCATACGACGTACTCTGTACATAGTACACCCGGTTCTTGTTCGGTTCAGTCGGAATGCATGCAGTGAGATACTGGGGATGCCAATCCGTGGCACTGATGTCGATGTGTTTGTTGACGTTCTGATGCCGTTTTGTACGGGCCGGTCGGCCGATACGTTTTCACCATGTCCCATCTGCACTGCCCCGTGGGTCCGTGCTGGCGTTGATAGACGACATATGGAGCACAATAATAGTGCATCGTCGCGACACGACTGGTTCTGCTGTGCACATATGCTTGTTTTGCGTGCAGCAGAACGAGCTCTCTCAACCCACCAAAACGCGCGAACTGTCGTACGAGTGGTAGCGGGTGAACGAACCGCGTAGCTCGCAAACTGTCACGCCGAGGTTTGCAAAATGCCTTCCGCCCAACCCAGCGAATCGCAGTGTCGATTTCGTAATACTCTGAGTGGGAAATACCCTGTACAGTGTCAAACAATGATCCAGTTACGCGGCAAGAGCTCAATCGCGCCGCGCCAGCACAGACAACTTCCACAAATCGTAAGACCTTTTTGTGTTTAGTCTGTCCGTCTACTGTCAGAAGGACTAGTCACGGGATGCATCATATACGTGAACCATATATTTCATATTAAACCACCTACGCCGTAAACACGAAGGCCTCCGTTACTGTGATTACGGTGTATATTGGTTGTCAATCCCACGATTCAGGGGCTAGGGGGATAAATCCCAGGAGTGATGCAATGGGGAAAAATCACGGCCCCCCCCCTCCCGGGAGGTAGAAAAAGAAGAGTAAATAAAAAAAGAGGAAGAAAAAGAAAACGGCCCAAAGAACAGGCTCGTCACGTTTACACCTACAACACGTCCAGCACGAGGTGGAAGCAAGTCCGCATATAAGCTGTCCTTTTCAGAGTCCCCATCACGCGACAGCAGACGCATGTCGGGTATCTTTTTTTCTTGCCTGATTTGCCAGCCAATTTCCCTAGGCACCAGGTATGAACACGAAGGCGGGCGGCTCTCACCATCATCCGCCCATGCTCACTTCCGACAGCCTATTTTCATGGAACCGTGTGCTTCATGAGACCATGGGGCTCTATCACAGGCTGTTCAGAAGACCGGCGTGTACAAAGGACCACGATCCCATCAACGCCAATGCCGGCCTCAATTAGCTTTAACGAGCATTCGCACCCACGGAACCCAAAACATACAGCAAAAAGACCTCAAAACACTATGACTTCGTTTGGCCAGGGGAGATGGACCATCATTGTGGTCGACTCGGGACTGGCCGGCCTTGCCGCCACCCCGGCCGCTCTCCATTGAAACATCACGGACGTTGTGCTGCTCTAGCGTGCCACAGCACCGGAGGTAACAGCACCAAAGCGTGCCCGGGCATAAACGACATCCCTGCCCGTCTCCAGAACCTGTCACCACCGGACACAGCCTTCTCCTCCGACGCTGTGAGAAACCCGCGCCTGGTGATGGCCAGCGAAAGCGACGCATCAACCTCCTCGCAGAAGAGCTCCGCGTCCGCAATCAATTTCTTGGCGGATGAAATTCTTAGTGTCGATGCTGTGAGAGCGCTCCTCGACCATGGGCCCAGTAGTCTTCGCCACCAGTGAGCTTACTGGCGGTACGGATGACATGCTCGCCGCACATCTTCCGGATCTTGCTAGTCTTCCTTGCACATACAGACCGAGGCCACGCATGCACAGCTTCCTGACCGCCGCTGGGGGCCCTTCGTCGACATGGATATTGTACATGTCTATCCCACTGGTTTCGTTGATCCCTTTGGCCGGCCCATTCCCACACGTGAAATTTCTCGCAGCAAAACTTCTGCGAGGAGAAGGTGGGATTCTCCTCTGGGAAGGACGCCAGCTTACCAATGAACTCGACTCACATAGGCACACTCGAAGCACCATCAAGTGCCTCAAACCCGATTCTGGCCTTATAAGTCAGTGGGACGTACAGGCAGGTGTTTCTTGATCCAGGGGCCTAGGCCTGCAACGCCGCTACCTCGCATGTCGCATCTTTACATCTGAAAGGGCCTAGTCTTCATCACAAGGTTTACTTGAGTTGGATGACACCACGAAGTCAACGTTTAGACACTATTCTCTTGTCGCAGCCGGTAAATCAAGCGGTAAATTCGGCAGGCCTGGATTTGGCCACTGGGCACTGGTTGCTAGTGCAGAAGACGACACGGAAGTGCGTGTAGGGCAGGTAATGCCAATGACACATTTTACTATGGGAGGCGTTACTATAAACGATAAAGCAACGTTTATCATCGGCCCTCGGAGCTCAATGTAAGACAACATACATTGATTATGGCCCGCAGGTGATGTAACAGGTGGCATAGATGATGGCAACTGTCTCAGGGGTTGGTCCCTGATGTGCATTGTCTTTTAGCGTATCGCCGGGGGACAAATCGCAAACCGAGGGAAAGATAGGCGCGAATCGTACAGCAGCAGCTACAAGTAGTCTAGCTAGCCACCGCCTCAACGTGTATCCAAAACCCCTTCTTCGGTCGAGCAAAGGTGTGACAATCATTGCATTTCACTTCAATTAAGCCTTCACATGACCCTATTTTCTGTACTTGGTTTGGCCATTGCACCACCGAACCTTTCCCTTTCAACGATTCCAGTTCTCAACTAAACCCCAAAGGCCATGCCACTTAGTAGCGCTTGCCGTCTCTCAGCGTGTCCGCAAACTCCTCGAGGGGACTGCGGATCAGCTTAGTTTCCTTCCAGAGGTTAGGCGTCAGGAAGCCGTATGTGTTCGAAACAGCTGCGAAGGTGGCCTTCAACGTGTTCTCGAGAGTCTTGGTAGAGCCGGACGACGACGTATACACGTCTTCAATACCGGCCAGCTGAAGGAGGCGCTTGACAGCCGGGGAAGCAACAAGCGAGGTACCACGAGGAGCCGGAATAAGCTACAAGCAACACTGGTTAGCACAATGGCCACATAATGAAGACATACCCAACATATAGCGGATTTCGTCCGGTCAGAATCAATGCGGGTCAAATGGGAGTCAACATACGCGAACTGTGACGGAACCGCACTTTCCGCTCTCCTTTGTTGGGATCGAGTGGGGGAGACCAAGATTGGTTCCCCAGTAACCACGACGAACCGGAATCACGCTTAGCTTGGCAATAATGATAGCCGCACGGATAGCCGTTGCCACCTCCTTAGAGGTTTTGATACCGAGTCCGACATGGCCCTCTGAATCACCGATGATGACAATGGCCTTGAACCGGGTGCGCTGGCCGGCACGGGTCTGCTTCTGGACAGGCTTGATCTGAATTGGCGCCGGTGTCAGTTACGCTCTCCGTGGACTTCAATAGCTCCACGTAAAGGACAGGCCCCAAAAAAGATTGTGGGGGGTGCAGCTAACTTACCTTCATGACCTCGTCTTTCAGCTTCGGCAGGAAGAAATCCACGATCTGGTATTCCTTGATCGGGAGAGAGTGAAGGTAGATCTCCTCCATGCTCTTGATCTTGCCAGCTTTGACGAGACGTCCGAGCTTGGTAACAGGCTGCCACTCCTTCTCGTCATTCTTGCCGCCGCCCCGACGGCCGCCGCGACGGCCTCCGCGACCGCCACGGCCACGGTCACCGCCACGGTCACCACGAGAGCCAAACCCGCCGCCGCGGGGAGCGCTGGTTCCTCTGTCGGCCATTTTATCGAAAGTTGCGAAATATGTTGTTCAACGATAACTCTCGGTTGCGGTTTCGGTGGTGTTCCGTGCGAGGTGTGAATAACAAAATTCGACAAAACATGTTAGAAAAGAAGGAGTAGTGGAAAGCTCGAGAAAAAAATTAGTTGGACCCAAGTGTGGGGCCCCAAAACTGCCCTAAAAATATAACCCTAGTGGAGGGTCAAGTCACGTGTTCAGCTAAAATCTCCAGGGTGGGCGGGAATAGCTCACATTATAAGTCGTATTATCTAATCCGTACATACATTCGGGCTCCCCATAGGTGTACGGGCCCGTACAAATAAGAAAAAGTCTTACATAATATGAATTACGGCTTCTGATTGGCCAATCCACCCGTACAAATAAAATAATAACGTAAGCATTGTTGAACTTTTGCATCACGATAGAAAAAAAAAGACTTTAAATAAAGTATGTGCCCACGTAATACCCTACTACAACGGCTGCCACCTCTCCTGTATATTCTGTAGCCCTGCATCTACACGCTCTATATGTGCCATTACCGTCTGATACTCTGCGCGAGCTTCAGCTGCGATGGCCTCCGCGGCCCGCCCTTGCCTGGTGCGGAGCCTCCGTGTACGGACTGTCGATGTACGGGAGGTTCGTGTACACCGCCGGCGCCGTGTTACAACGCTCTCCGATTAGGAGGTCGGGAGGAGGGTTGGAGGCCATAGCTTTTGGCGATGCTTTTAGCGATGCTTTTAACGATGTTTTTGGCGATGTTATTCAAAAACTTCAACGATGCTTACGTTATTATTTTATTTGTACGGGTGGATTGACCAATCAGAAGCCGTGTTGAGATTATGTAATATTTTTCTTATTTGTACGGGCCCGTACACCTATTGGGAGCCATACATTCGTAGATAACTGTCCTACTTCTTATCGCTTACATGCAACATTATGGGACTCCACCTCTGATGGAAGCGCGCAAACTAACAACTCGGATCTGAATTCCCGCAGGTAAGGTTGTTGCTATCACCACCACCACAACCCATCCCTTTGTTTCGTAAAATATGAAAGCATCCAGCACGGCTTCGCCGGCACTTCCAGTCGGTTTCTCATTGGAGTTACCTCGAGAAGGACGGCGACTCAATCATGGCCAAGCAAGTCGACCTGCAACTCACTACGGAATTGACGAAATAGTCGAATCTTGCTCGGAGGATGTTCCCTCGCAACCTCTTAGTCCAATCCACCCCGATTCTACCGGATCCATGATCAAGAACGAGATACGGTCCGCAAAATCGGGCCTTCCCCGGCGCTTCAGTGGCGTACCTGACCCCAAGTCTCCTCCCGTTGTTGTTGACAGCGGGATCGTTCACGAACTAATTCACGTCAACTGCACCCCAGTGCCCGGCGTCTCGCCTTCTGGGAATCGATTGATCGCCACGATTTTCTATAGGGGACACAGATCCGAACGCATCATCCATCGTCGCCAAGTAACTCCGTCACCGGGCAACACCTCCAGGAATGGTTTTACTCCGGCAGCTGTGAAATGCGACTCTTTGAAGGAATCTAATTCCATTGCTGCTGACGAATTACCAATGAATCTAGCGCCTACCACCCAGTCTTCTTCGTTTCCGTTAGAACTCCCAGCTGCTGAATCCGAACCACCTCGTGATGGCATCTATGGTGCTTACGTCAGCCCAATTTGCATCGCCGCGTTTTTACACCTGATGTCAACGTTTCCACGCCGCCATGTTGTCGATAATGAAGGTCATAACATGGCACGGGATATACACGCCGCAGGCTCTTCTCCAAACCGGCCATTTACCGGAGGGTTTGGATCTGAATTGGAGGCTAGTTATCGCTATCTCGATAGGGCCGTACAGCCACTTGTCGTTGAGGTGGTTTTAGGTCCGGCTCCGTCTCTGCCTCTGTCTGACCTACGCAAGCACGAGCAGCTTTACCGGTTTGAGAGTGAGTGGGGTGTCGAGATAGCATTGCAGGATGATACACCCTGGCGCCGTCATCCTCGGCTGGTTGTTTTCGACATGGATAGCACATTGATCACCCAGGAGGTGATCGACATGCTTGCCGAGACCATGCCACCAGATGTTGCTGCAAAGGTGGCAGATATCACGGACCGTGCCATGCAGGGCGAGCTTCACTTTGATGATGCATTTCGCGAGCGGGTGCGTCTTCTGGCAGGCCTCCCAGCAACGCTATTCACTGATTTGCGATCTCGTCTCGACGTGACCAAGGGTGTGACTGCGCTTCTCGTAGCGCTTCGCAGGTTGGGGGTTAAAACTGCGGTCCTCAGCGGCGGTTTTCAACAGTTGACTGGGTGGCTAGCGGGTGAACTCGGTATTGATCATGCACACGCAAACAACGTTGTCATAGGTCAAAACGGTTTACTTACGGGCGAGGTCACGGGTGCTATTGTAGGACGCGAGCGAAAGTGCGAACTTTTAAAACAAATTGCAAGGAGTGAGGGCGTTGACCTTCGACAGGTTATTGCAGTTGGCGACGGAGCAAACGATCTGTTGATGCTTGGGACGGCAGGCCTGGGCGTCGCATGGCACGCAAAGCCAGTCGTCCAGCTGGAGGCTGATGTCCGTTTAAACCAGCCCTCCATGCTCGATCTGCTATACCTTGTTGGGTTTACAAGCATGGAAATAAACGACCTTTCCAGATAAAGAAATTTTTAGATGATAATAAATTTTATAATTATATACGTTTTATTTAATAGTAGCCGGCAGTTAAAGGTGTAAAGGGATAGGACCTATAGTAAAAAGAAAAGGTGACCGTAAATAAAAAGGTGGGATATAGTTTTAAATATCAAGTTGTAAACGGGACTTTTGTTTAAACGATACTTTTAAAATAAGTCTTAAAGTTGTTAGTCAAACGGGTCTTCAGGGTAAATTAATTATTAAAAAGTAACAGGTTTGAGGGCGAAGGTAGGTGTATACTATTAGAATAAAGATTATACAAAGAAATATGAATAGGTCTTTACGATAAATTAGTTGTTAAGAAGTGGTTGTATCAAGGACGAACATAAGTGTGTATTGTTTTAAAGAAGAATTCTTACCCCTCCTTCTAAGGTAAAGAAGGGAGTCTTATTATTTAAAGAGAAAGACTTTTCGTTAACGTGAGTGTGTAAAAGTAAGTACTTGAGGTTAAAACGGGGTGACTGTAAATAAGACCTAGTAAAAGAAACGAATATTACACGTAAGTTTCTTTTACGGAAACCTAGTTTAACACTAAGTTATAGCACTACTTAATAAACCCGTATAACCGATATATAAAATCCTTTTTATCAACTTATAATTTAATTAACAGGGGTTTAAAATGAACAATTATTTATTATATGTTTTATTATATACTTATTTAGAACTTACACTATAGTACGGTATTTAAACCGTAATACTTACAATTTTTTATTTTTTATTCCTTTACATCATATTTTAAACCAGTAATTATTTAATATAAGGTTGGGAATTAGTTGTTTAATTTTAAGTATAAAAACCCAAATTTAATACTATTAAATAAACTACAATTAAATTTAGTTTTAGTAACTCCAGCATAATTAAATTAAGTTGTTTTTATTAACTAAATTTAATACTACTGAATTTAGCCATAATAACTAGGGTTGGGAATTAGTTGTTTAGTTTTAGTAGCCTTAGTACAATTAAATTTAGTTACCAAGAAAAACAACTTAATTTAGAACAAGTAAATTTAGTTCCATTAAAAAACTAAACGTATTTAAATCTACATATTTAATTTAATACGTTAAAATATCAATTTAAAAATACTTGTTTTTTAATAAATGTTAACAAAATAAAATATTTAATACGTTAAAGTTATATTATACTTAAAAATAAAACTAATTCGAGTTTTATACGTAAAAAGTAAAAATATTAGTATTTAAAAACGTTTGTTTTGTTTTTATAAAAGTATCCTTTTACCTTTTAAATATAATTTAACGGTACTTATACAAAAACGTTTTATTTTGGTATAATATAGCTAAGTACGTATTATACTACTTATATTACCGTATACTTATAAAAAGAAAAGTATTTCGAGTTTTAAAATATAAAAAGTAAAATTTTCGTTTTAAAAAATATTCGTTTAAAATATAGTATTTTTTCCGTTAAATATTACATTAATATATTATACATAATATTAATATCGGTAAATATTACATATAATATATTACATATAATATAATATTAATATAATATACTATAATTATATTATAATTGGTTATAAGATAAGTCTTTATAATAAATTAGTTAATAAAAAGTACCGGTTTTAAGGGTGAAGGTAAGTGTATATTATAACAAAGACTAATTCTTACCCCTTTCTTCCTTTTAAAAAAAAGGAGTCTTATTATTTAAAGAGAACAACTTTTCGTAAGTGTAACGTTAACTTGTAACTAAAGACTAGCTACTCCGTACTTTATTATATAAACCTAGTTATTTAATTCGTAGTTTTTAGTTTTAAATTAATTATAATAATTATTCTTTTTTTTCTATAAATTAAACTTTAGTTTTTCTCGTAACTTTCTTTATTTTTTTTTTTACTTTTACGCGACTAAAAAGTGTTAAAAGTTATAGTTAATTTATTAGTTAAATACGATAGTTTGTTATTTTATATACGAGTTACTTTATAATCTTTTATATTATATAATAGTTTAGTTTATCGGTTATTAACGTAATATATGGTTTAAAAGTGTTAAGTATATTTAAATTATTTATCGTTAAACGTTTATATTTAATTAAATATTTTTAATTTTAATTAAAACGTAAATATTATTTAACGTCGTCGTTTTTATAAAATATACGTGTAATTTATATAATAAATAAGTAACGATAAACGTTTATAAGTTGTCTTTATTTAAAACGTTTATTTATAAATATCGTTTTTTATAAACGTTATTTATTTTTATCGGTTTTTTTTCGTATATAAGTATAAAACTAATTATTCCATTAAACTTTTATTATAACTCGTTTTTACTTTTTAACTTTTTACTCGTTTTTTTTAACGAACGTTTTTTAAGTAAATTATTTTTTACTCGTAAAAAATTATAATTTACTTTTTTTTCTTTAACGTTTTTTAAATAAGTCGACTTCTTTTCTTTTATAAATCGTTAATCGAATTTTTTTAATAACTTTTTTTTACTTATATTTTATAACTTATTCGTTTAAAATTCGTTTTTTAATTAAACTATTTTTAATATACTTTTTAATATACTTAAACGTTATAAATACGGTAAAAATAAGTCTTTAAACGATATTACAACGAAAATTTCGTAATTTTTTTATTATCTTTTTTTTACGTAACGGTATAAATAACTTAAACTTAGTTATTTAGTGTTTTATAAACGTATTAAACCGTACGTTTATTTAATATACCGTTAATTTACTTTACCGTTCGTTTTTTTTTTTTTATTAATTAATTTATAGTATTAAAGGTTAAAAAGTATACTTACGTTCATATTACCGTTTAATATATTAATAATAATTCGTTTATAAGTCGTTCGTTAATCGTTAACTGTTATAAGTGGTTGTGGGATAGGTCTTCACGATAGATTAGTTGACGAAAAGCACTGGTTTCGAGGGCGAAGGTAGGTGTATATTGTAACAGAGACTAATTCTTACCCCTTCTTCCTTACAGGAAGAAGGGAGTCTTATTATTTAAGGAGAATGGTTTTTCGTAGGTGTGGCGTTAGCGTGTGGCTGGGGACCAGCCACACCGTAGTTTATTATGTAAGCCTAGTCACCTGATTCGTGGCCTTCGGCCTTGAATCGATTATGACATTAAGTTTTTTTAACCTTAATTTAATTCGTTAAATTTTATTTAATAAATAACTTTACCGTCTATAAAAAAATCTCGTCTCTAACTCTTCTTTTTTAATTTATCGTTTAACTCGTTCGTAATTCTTTTTATTCCGTATTTTTAAATTATTACGTTTACTTTTTATTTTTTAATTATAAACCTTTTAAACTTAAATTACCTTTAATTAATTAATAATTTTATTATTTATAATATAATCGTAAATTTATTAAACTCGTTATACGCTTAATTTACTATTACTTTTAGTACTTTTATAAATCGGTAACGTATTATTAACGATACTACTTTTATTTTTTCCGTAATACGAGTTACGTTTATAACTTTTAAACGTTTCGTTTATAATACGTTCAACTATAATACTTTTAATAATATATACTTAAACGAACTTAACGATAAGTCGTTAAATATTTAAAATAACGACGACTTTAAACCGAAATTCGTTATTAACCTTTAAGTTTATACATACGTTACTTATTTTTTTAACGTTATTAATAACCTTAAAAGTATTAACGTTCGTTAAGCTTTACGTTACGTTTATAAAGTAACGACGAAATATTAACGATATAAAGTTTATTATTACTTTTATAAAAATAGTCTTTACGTTAATTATAAAAAACGTTCGAATTATTTTTTACGTTATTATTAAATTAATCGACTTTTTATTAAAATTAAACGAAGAAGCGTCTTAAACTTTATTATATACTGGTTAATAATACTTATTTAAGTTTATAAAAAACTTACCGGTTAATAATAAGTTTAATAAAATAACGAGTCGAACTATATATAAAAGAGTCGTAATAAAGTCGTTAACCGTTTATAACGGTATACTTACTTATAAACGTAACGTTTCGTTTCGTCATATAAAATAAATTATTAGATTATAAAAATAATAATAAATCTTATAACGAAGTAAATAAGTTTATTAACGTAACCTTTTTTTATATAGTTACTAATTATACGAAGGTTTTAAAATATATTATATTATAAGTAGTTTTAGTTAAAATTTATAAGTTACCGGTAAAACTCCCGAGTTATTAAGGTTGTGAGTTAATATACTAATTGTAGTATCGGGTTATATTAATTGTAATATTAGGTGATATTAATATTACAATTAATATATTATAGTACTATTTGTATATATTAATATTAATTGTAATATATTAATATTAATTGTAATATATTAATTATAGTATTTGTTAATATTAATATTAATTGTAATATATTAATATTAATTGTAATATATTAATTATAGTATTTGTTAATATTAATATTATATTAATATATTACACTTACTTTAACCACTTAACGTTAAATATTTTACTTTATTAAAACGAATATACGGTAATAAAGTTAAAGTATTAATAAAATCTTATATTATTTATATAAATAAAATAAAATTCTTCATCGTCTTTTAAACGACCTTTCGTATTACTTTTACCAAAAAAAAATATTCAAATTAAATTTAAAGTAACCGGTTTAAGAGTTTTCGATTTAACGACCGTTTTATTAAAGTTAAACTATAAAGTTACGAACGTTATTACCTTTTAAGTCTCGTTTAATAAATATTAACCTTTAATTTTTTTAAATACCGTATAATTTAATAAAAATAATTTTATAGTTTAAATTTATTAAAAGTTATATTACCGGTTATTAAAGTAACTCTTTAATATTAATTTTAAAAACTATCGATTAAATTATAAAAGGTATATAAATAATAATGCACTTATATATATTATTAACGATTATTAAAGTTTAAATACTTTAATAAATAAACAGAATATTAAATAAACATTAAAGAGTTGAAAAACACGTATACGGTTTAAAAAATCTTTTATAATTA